GTATTAGAAAACCTCGGCAATCCCTTATGTTGTTCAAACTTTGAAGTTTCTTAGACAATCTCACACTTCAATGATTCTTAAATCTATTAACGAAATTTATAGAATAGTATTATTACCGGACAAAGAAGTCCACCGTATCAGCTTTACAATATTGTTTGATGTTAATGTTATAGTTTATGAAGAAATTGAAAATTACATAGAATTCTTAAATGACAGAATTTATATTTCCATTATTTCATTTTCTGGCAATTGAAGATTTCAATGTTTTGATTTATGTATGCCGAATTTTGTAAATGACAGAATTTTATCAATTGCACTGAAATTGTGAAATGATGCCTATTTTGGTGGAAATTAAATTCGGGAATTTGATGCCCCTAGTTTCCACGATTTTTTCCACATGTTATTTAATAAATTTCGTGCTTAAGTTGCCAAATAAAGGAATTGTCAATTTCTTCTCTTAAATTCACGATTATTAGTTAAATTCAGAGTTATTTTTCCTCATCTAAACAGAGAGTGAATTAATTTAGGGCTCGTTTGGGACTGCTTCTCTAGGAAGTACTTCTGCTCATAAGCGCTTCTAACAAAAGCGCTTTTATTATAAAAATTTAGAATTTTCATAAAAATTAAAGTGCTTCGTGGAAAAGCACTTAGGAGTGCTTCCTGAAGAAGCACATAGCAGGTGCTTCTCCAGGAAGCACTTCTAAATTTTTTTGTCAAACACTGTCAGAAGCGCTTTTAGTTATCAGAAAGAGCTTTTGGCTCTTCCAAAAGCACTCCCAAACAGGCCCTTAATATAGTCAATTTAAGGGAAAATTACAAAATAAGTTTGTGAGCTAAATAAATCTATATAATTACCCAGTTAGATATAACAAAAAAATTTAGAAAAATTAGGTATTAGACATAAAAATCCTTACAAATTAGGATTTGAGACATATAGTATTTCTGTTTAGGTTTTGATACATATGAATCAAATTTTGTTTTAGATTTGGTCAAAGAGGAGGCCCAGATTCGTTGGGTCTGTCTAAATTATAAAGACTAAAAATACACTTTTACCCTTTTTGTTTAAAAGCACAAAATCAGATTTCTCTCCGCGACGCCGCTCCGAAAGCTCTTTCTCTTCTTCCTCACGATGAGTCTGCTCCAAAATAAAGCCTGAGCTTGGCCGTAGCAAGAAGCTATGGCAGGGCTCATCCGGGCGCATCATTGGTGTTGGCCAATTCTGGCGGAGGAGGGAAGGGCTAATTCCGAAGAGTAGAGGGGGGCAATTATCTCTATCTGGTTCTTCCTTCTTTGGAGGGCGCTGAATTGTATTGATTTTGAGTTATTTATGTTTATGCAATTTCTTCTTCGTTGTTGTTGACAGTTGGAAAATGACTTTTTATTGATTTTGAACAATTGTGTAGTTTGATGACAGTTGGAAAATGACTTTTTTCTTGCTCTAGATTCTGCGATGATGTTGTAATCTGATCTGCGTAGTTGTTTTAATTCATTTTATTTCCTTGTGTTTGTGTAAATTTGTGAATAGTCACATTGTTTGTACTGAATTTTACTTCATTAAATTGGTAATTTTTGTTAATAGTTAAAGGCAGTAATTAGTTATTCATATGTTAGATTAGTTATATTTTCAGTATAAAGACCTTTGTAACAGTTTATTCAATAACAAGAATCACACTTCTTTTAATAGTGATGTATAAGCATAAAGATCTGACTTTTTGGTTCAATTTTTTGATTGGTGGTTGATGTGTAGAGTGTAAAGGTTTGATTTGGACTGGGAAGGGACTTTGCATTGTGTGAGCTCGCACTGTAGCATTTGCACTTTTTTTAGCACTGTTTTCTTGTTTGTGATGAGAGAGTTGATTAGATTACTTTGTTATAGAAAGTGATCTAGTAATTGTAGCTGGAGTTTTAATCTCTATAGAAATTTGCAGCTTCGTTCTTGACTCTCTTTGATTGAGAATTTTTCATTAGATTTCATTAGCAATTTTAACACCAGATAGAATTGGACTTTTCAGTCTTTGGACATTTTAGGTGTTATTTCACATAGGTTGATTGATGAGTCATCTCTCCCCCATTTCAACCCCTATCATATGATTTGGAGGGGCAAAAGTACCGTGTAAAAATATTCTTTAGATTATTGCTCGCAGTAGAGTAAATATTTGTGGTTCAAAAGATGCCTAAAGTTAGTCTATCTCCTCATGGGTGTATTATGTGCAAGAGGGAGGCTGAAAATAGTGACCCTTTTGGAGCTGAAAATATTGAACCTTTTGAAGCTGAAAATATTCTTTAAAGCTTTGGCACAAAATGTCCATGGGAGCTTGGCCATGCATGTTTATGGTTTCTGAGAAGCACTATCCTTTTGGTGGGGAAAAACAAGAACTCATGTGGAGTTGTAGTGTATGGCTACAGGGTTTGTATGGATGGAATGAAATAAGAGGATATTAACAGATTCTAAAAATCATCCAAGCACCATCAAAACATATTGAGAAAAAAAAATCCATTTTACCTTTATTTAACCTTCACGAATAGAGTGGTGGGAGAGAAGAAAAGCAAGGGAAAGGGGGGAAGTTTAAAGAGAGAGTCCTCATACCAAATATGACTGTTGTCCCTGAAAGGACCTTTGTGAACTTCATAACTCTTGTAGAATCTGTAGCTCTAGCTCCCATGATGGATTTTTGAGCTCCTTTGGAAAGATTCTCAACATTCGAAGTTGATGATTTTAACTTATTTGAATTTGCATTATTGTTGGGATTGCTTAGGCTTTCAACTTCTTCCTATTTTAGAAGTAAAAGTATCAGTAGAATTTTCAGCCAATCAACTATGGCAAATGGTATGTTCTTTTCAAATTTATTGGACAAAAAGGATATCAAAATAAACCTCTAACGCCTTGGCTATGTGATCACTTGTATCAGCATCATTGGTTAGGAAGTTAAATCCTTTTTGCTGCACTCTTTCTGTTGAGCAAAACCTGATTGTGTTGGAGTATTGTACCTTCTAGATTCTTGGGAAAAAATTATGCATGTTTCGAATTGTAGAAAGTAGGGGAGTTTGAGGAGATGAGTAAAATTAAAACCAGTACAGTGTCAGTTTGAGAGGGAAATTATGCAGAGTTGGGAAATTAAGCCTCAAGCCTCAAAGTGAATGCAGCAACCAAAAAGCCTCAAGTGAATAATTTTGACGCAGGCTGCTATAGTTGCAGTAGCTTAACATCCAATATTTTGTGGACTAGGCCTTTTAGCGAGCTTGTACACTAGTACATGTAACATCATTCATAGACTTAGCTCCTTCTGTACTGGTTGATGGGTCTCCAGCATCATAAGTTCTCTGTAACAAAAATGCAGGCTGTTTTGGTGAAGGAACTGCTGCGTCATAATTCCCTAACATGAAAACAACTGCTGACATGGTCGGCCGGTCAGTGGCATACTCTTGCACACATAAGAGTGCAATTTGGATGCATCTCACAACTTCATTGACAGGGTACAATTCACCCAGAGATGGATCGACGATTTCCAAGACTTCACCTTCTCTCCACAAGTTCCAAACCTAAAAACGATTTTAGATAATCAAAGTTAGCATGAATAAGTAGGGGAAAAACTACATTGTTTTCCACATAGCCAATAAACTTACATGTCCAACCAAATTTGTGTTGGGATACTTGTCGTGGTAATAACTAGAATTTTTTCTGCCAGTAACGATTTCTAGGAGTATAACTCCAAAACTATATACATCAGATTTCACTGAAAAATGTCCTTCCATTGCGTACTCTGGTGACATATAACCACTGCGGCAAAAAGAAAAGTGATTACGAAAGCATAGATTCACTGATCCACAGAATATGTTGAAATTAGCCTATGGATTGTATGCTCTCGTGACATGCATTATCAAGTATTCCATCAGTTGGTGATATCTTATACATTTGAAGAAAAATTTAACTTACTATGTTCCAACCACACGATTTGTATTCGCTTCACTTTGGTCTCCTCTAAAAATTCTAGCCATACCAAAATCTGAAATTTTGGGGTTCATAGAAGCATCCAGTAGAACATTACTGGCCTTTAGATCTCTATGGATAATCCTTAACCTTGAATCTTGATGAAGATACAAGATCCCTCTAGCAATCCCATAGATGATCCCGAAGCGTACTGTCCAATCTAGAAGTGCTCTTTTTGTGTCATCTGGATGTTAAAAGTAAGAAAATAGATTAAATTCTTGCTTCCTTATTAGTTTTCAAGTGACAAAATAAAGCAAAAGGAAGACATACTGAAGATGAAAGAGTCCAAGCTTTTGTTTGGCACGTATTCATAGATTAGCATCTTCTCTTCATCTTGAACGCAATAACCTAAAATCCTGACAAGGTTCCTGTGTTGGAGTTTTGCAATCAGCACAATTTCATTCTTAAATTCCTCAATTCCTTGACCAGAATGTTTTGATAATCTTTTCACTGCCACTTCTTTTCCATTACAAAGCACACCCTGAAAATATAATCCACGTTTTTGTATGAAATTTGCATTCTCGTGCCCTTGAAAGTGCTCTTGTGCATGCAAAACTAAAAACCGAGGCATATTCACAAAAATCTGATTTCTGATTTGAGAAATTATTCGAAGGCAACTACCTTATAGACTGAGCCAAAACCCCCCTTTCCAAGCTTGTTTGCAAGAGAGAAATTGTCCGTGGCCGCTGCTATGGTTGTTAGATCAAAGAATGGTATGTCTGAGTGCATACTACTTTCATCAAGTTCTGCAGTAGAATCTTCAAAGTAGGTTGACCTTGTGGTAACTCTAGAGGAATACTTATTTTGTCTTTGCTTACCTGCCATCAAATGCAGAACAGGTAATCTATCTAGCCTTTGTTTCATTAGCAAGCACAACTTGTATTTCTATGATCAGACTAAAGTGTGATTCATCTCTTGAAAGGAGAATTTATTGATGTGGGTGATATCAGTGCAGAACAATTAGGTGACAAATGAATAGTGAAAAGAAAATGAATTTGTATCAGATATTCACCTTTTCTTTTCCTCCTTACCAACCAATAAGAAATGGGAACTACAAGAAGGAACACCAGAACAGAAACTAGAGAAATTGCCAGTTTTCCCTTCTTGCTAAGTGAACCATTTGACTTTGAATATTGAGCTTCAAGAGTAAAAAAACACAAATAAAATCCAGCAAAATTTTAGATTAGTAAGAGGGTGGAAATTTTTTCAATAAAAGGACTAACTGCATACTATAGTCATAGTGCATTATAATGGGATAAAAATAGAAGAACAAAGGGATAAACGAATTATGCCAACAAAGTCTAATCGAGTGAAAAATGATCTTGACTTGTAGAGAAAAAGAGATGAACCAACTACCTAACACAATTGCATCAACTCGTACATACAAATCCTGGCCAGCCTTTGGAAATGTTCTCGTGTCCATCAAGTCCCCATGCCATGTCACGCATCCAAACCCTCCCCATCTCTCGTCTGCTTTTGCGTATGCCTTGCAAGAACAATTTCTCAAGCACTCATGCGGGCATGCTTTCCAACTCAAATTCATGTTCACAAGTGCCTTAGATGAGTCGGGTACCTGCACACGTTCGACCTTCACGAACCCATCCCCGTTTCCACAAATGGATACTCCGTTTTTCCTCACACACCCACCCGACCCATCTCTCAAATACCAATCACGTGGCGACTTGGGTTCATATCCGGGTAGGCACGTGCACTCGAACTTACCCATATTGGACGGGTCACAATTGCTATTTGCACCACACTTCCCATATTCACCACACAAACCTTCGGGTGCAGACCAATACTTGATCCATTGTTGCCTGTGATCATGCCACATGGACCGTACAAGGGCTCCTGATTCATCAAGAACCATCCTCGAGAAGATTGATTCATTCGTGATACCATTCACAATGGATAGCTCATCTTGATTGTTCACAAAACTAGCGTTGAATACGAACTCATTTGTCATTTGGGGCACACCGCTCCATCCATATCCGGTCCACGAGCCGGCCCTCCAGCGCGGAGCTTGACCCTTGTATAAAAAGGCCTGCGGAAACCCACTTGGGTCGATCCGATACGAATAGTTACCGATTCCCGGATCATCTTGAGATTTCCATGATGTGAGGAACCGATTCAACTTGGACCGCCGGTCCAGCCCAAGTTTCATAAATGGAAGCATTGTATTTGTGGGATGATCAAAGCCTTGCCACAATACCCTTTGGCCATCGTCCTCAAGCAAAACAAGATTTCCTGTATCCAAAAGCTTGGCTATCATGGAATTGTTTGGCGAAGAGACTGAAACATTAGCAGACCAAATAGGGGTATTTTGGTCCTTCCCATAGATGACCAGGCCTCCATTTCCATGAACAGCTAGAAGTCCAACTCCAGAGGCATTATTATCAGTGACAGGAATTATGGGGTTGTCTCTGTTTGCAACCCAGACAATGGTTTGGTTTGGAACTTTGTTGTACCAAACTCCAACATACCGGTTACGAGAATTGGCCGGGCTGAAAAACCCAAGTGCAAAGATTTTGGTACTAGAGAGAAGAACATCGCCATCTCTCATGGGTTGATTTGGATTTATAGAGCCAATGACAATGGAAGTGGAAGAAGGGAGGATTGGAAAGAAGTTGAGCAATATCATATTCATGGCAAACCATTTAGTAGTAGAATTCATGGCTAACTTTCTCAATGAGTCATGCAATTCAGTGCTAAAGGAAGAAAAATAGTTGGATTTTTGCTCAAGTAGAGGCCAGCCCCACTCGTTGCAAATGTTTCACCTATCTCAGTCAGATAACAAATACTAAGCGACTTTCAGGTTCAGTTGTTGATATGCGAGGGAATCATAGACGTGGATGACATTTCCCCAGGTCACACAAGCCAACATCAGTCACCTATCTCAGTTGTTGATACGTTTGGAAATCATAGTATGACATTTCAGCAGGTCACACTACTCTTGAGATTTTTCGAGTCTTAAATGTTAAGGTCCAGCCTCTTTTGTCTTTACTCAATGAATCCGTCAAGTTGTTCGAACTTTGAAGTTTCTTAGAAAAATCTCACACTTCAATGATTCTTAAATCTCTTAACGGCATTGACAGAATTTATTATAATATTGTTGATGTTAATGTTATACTCTACCAAGGAATTGAAAATTACATAAAATTCTTAAATGACAGAATTTTTATTTCCATCATTTCATTTTTTGGTAATTAAATATTTCAGTGTTTGGATTTATATATGTTGAATTTTGTACACTGCACTATGGAAATTGTGAAATAACGCCTATTTTTGTGGAAATTAAACTCGGGAATTTGATGCTCTCAATTTCCACGATTTTTTCCGCGCATTATTTAATAAATACAAAATTAGTGAAATACCCAATTCTAGACATGAAACTATAAATATACCCTACACTATTTAAAACATATAAACACACCCAAAATATACCCAAAACTGACAGCTGTTATATTTTTTAGTTTAATTACTTAAATGAAATACCTTTATTACCCATTTAGTATTAAATTAGTTTTTTTTGAAAAATTTGGTCCCCCTCTCTCTCTCTCTCTCTCTCTCTCTCTCTCTCTCTCTCTCTCTCGCTCTCTCTCTCTCTCTCTCTCTCTCTCTCTCTCTCTCTCTCTCTCTCGTCTCCAGAAACCAAGCCTAGGCCAACGATCTTGGTGCTTCGTCCACGGCCAACATGACAGCAATCGGAAAAGGATCGGTCAAGGCCGACGATCAAGTCTGGGCTAAAGCCCAGCCACATCAGCCATTGACGACGCCACTACGAACTCAAAACGTTATGTGGATTTCAAGTTTTCCGACGTCGTTTCCGGTGACTCCGGCTGTTGTTTCCGTCGATCGAGGTATGAAACTTTATCTAATTTTCGTGCTCAAGCTGTTTATGTATGTGGTTAGGATAGATTTTGGAGTTTTGGAAATTAATCAATACACCCTAGTTTGACCGACGGCTTTGGCAGTGTTCCGGATTACTCCGGCCACTTTTTGGCCGGGGTCCAAGACCAAAAATTTCCCCTTGTTAGTCTGAATATGTTGGTATAGGTATTGTAAGGACTTTTTTGATTTTATTGTAGTATGATTTAGGTGATTTCATGTTCGATTAATTAAGTTGCTGGTTAAGTTTTCATAATTTTTGCTGTTTTGGAGTTTAAATTTGAAATGTAGATCCAATTCTTCTTGATTTTATATGTTTATTTTTGTTATTGTCGATTTGGAGATAAGCTATTGGATTTTCTAATTTCGTTCTAATTTGTATTCGATATTCGTTTGAGTTTTAAATTGTGATTTTAATTTTTTTTGTTTATAATTTGGATTGATTTCAAATTTAGTTTGGTTGTGGATTTGCTTTTTGTGTTTTGGTTTGAGCTGTGTTACAGATTTGTGATATTTGATTCTGTTATCATATTAATTTTGAATATGAGTATATTCGTGTTTTTTCTGTTTATGCACTATTGGTTTTTGAGTCGACTATAATTTGTTGTTAGGTAACAGTGTTATTACCTTATATTGGAACTTTACAGACATGCATTAGAAATATGATTTCATAGGAAACAAGCAGTGTTATTATCTTATACTGGAACTTTACAGTGGTAGACATGCATTAGAAATAGGATTTTATATGAAACTAGCAGTGTTATTATCCTATACTGGAACTTTACAAGGGGTAAACATGCATTAGAAATAGGATTTCAGAGGAATCTAGCAGTGTTATTACCCTATATTGAAACTTTACAAAGGGTATACATGCATTAAAAATAGGATTTCAAAGGAATCTAGCAGTGTTATTACCCTATATTGGAACTTTACAAGGGTTAAACATGCATTAGAAATAGGATTTCAGAGAAATCTAGCAGTGTTATTACCCTATAATGGAACTTTACAAGGGGTAGACATGCATTAGAAATAGGATTTCAGAAGAATCTAGTAGTGTTATTACCCTATATTGGAACTTTACAATGGTTAAATGCATTAGAAATAGAATTTCATAGGAAAAAAGAAGTGTTATTACCCTGTACTGGAACTTTTGCATTCAAAATAGGATTTCATTGGAAACAAGCAGTGTTATTACCCTATACTGGAACTTTACGGTGGTAAACATGCATTCAAAATAGGATTTTAGAGGAAACAATCAGTGTTATTACCCTATACTGGAACTTTACAGCCATTAATCAACATGAAAGTAAACTAGCAGTATTAAGAATGAGTATATGACTAAATATCTCTTTCTTTTTTGAGTTGCTGAAAACTGACTATTTTATAGTCATATGCAGTTAGTCCAATAGTGAAAATCCAATATAATTTCAAAATTTTGTCTTGGATTCGAATATAAAATACTGTTATTACTATAGACTGGAACTTTACAGCAATTAATTAACATTACAATAAAGGTTTGGTTTTTAAATGTCTTACCTTTGAAGCCTTTTCTTGTTGAAATTGTTCTCTGAAATTTTATCTTTGTTTTGCAGGTGGAGGTTAGTGTGTGGTGTTGGTTTTTGAAAGTAGATCAAGCTTGGTGGTTGTTATGGAGTTTCAGTTTGCATAAATGATGAAGACGGTGAAATAAAGAGATGTTTTGTTGAGATGGTTTAATGAAGATGCGTGCTTGAAGTTACTATTTTCGAGACAGTTATGTGTTGTAATAAAATGTTTTGGACTTTTTGTAACCAAAAAAAAAAATTTGGGCTTTTTTATAAAATTTGATTGGGCTTGTTTTGGGTGTTTTTTGAGTTTTTTTTTTCAATGGCAGTCCTTTAATTTATAGGAACTTCAACACCAATTTCTTATATAACAAATGGATTTTGGGTGTATTTCTAAAGTGCATTCCATGTGGGGTTTTTTTATAATTTCAGCTCCTATTTTGGGTGTTTTAGTGAAACTCCCTATAATAAATTACGTGCTTAAGTTGCCAAATAAAGGAATTGTCAATTTCTCCTTTTAAATTCTCAACAATTAGTTAAATTCCGAGTTATTTTCCCTTGTCTAAACAGATGGTGAGCTAATTTAATTTAATCAATTTAAGGGAAAATTACAAAATAAGTTTGTGAGCTAAATAAATCTATATAACTACTCAGTTAGATATAACGAAAAACTTTTAGCTGCTAAATATAGTAAGTGACGCTTGCCAACTCAGGTCTCGTTGATGCCAAGAGCTAAAACCTTCGCCACCAATCAATATCAACCACTACTTCGATTGTTTTAGGGCACACTCTTACGATAGGCCAACATGCCGAAAATAATAAAACAATCGTCAAGTCCAAATCCAAATGTTTTGAAACCAATCTACAGTTATAAGATACAATGAGCTGATTGTTTACTGATACACCCACTTACTCATAAAGATCCTTTGGACTGGTTGATGTTTAATGTATTATCAATCGACATTTATTGGATTGACTCAAATTTTTGGTATGCTCTCAAGTGATTTTGGATTCAAGCCCCATGATACCCATGTGTATGAGTTTCCCCTGCCCCTTTCTGGTCTTCCTTTTATGGTTTGAAATCGATCTGAGACAAGGGATACATGTCAATGATTTAGACACAACTAAATAATTAACAATGGGGTAAGTAGCACTGTAAAATTAGATTGACATTAAAAAATAAAAATAATAATAAAGAAGAAAAAAAGAAGAGCATTATAGAATGAGATCAATCCATCTTTGGCCCACCCAAAAAATGTAATTTGTAAACGTTAATGTGAAATATATAGTATTGGTTGGGCTGGTCAAATTTAGGAACAATGATGGTGGGTGGGGTTGCAAATGGAGAATTGTATTTGTACATATGTCGTGTCCAATCATATGCAAACAATAATTCCAAGTCCAATAAGTTTGAATGATGTAAGCAGACATATGGACCTCCTCCCCACATTATACTGTGTATCATTATTATAATGAATATGAACTAGTAGCTTCTTTTTTATGTGTAAAAACAACGATTAAAAATATGGAGATGCGGGGTATCGATCCCCGTACCTCTCGCATGCTAAGCGAGCGCTCTACCATCTGAGCTACATCCCCGTTCTGCTAACGTGTCCTCATCTAAGATACTAAAATCTAATTAAAGGGTGGGTTTGGCATCCCATTCAAAGTTGAGTGGAAAAAGATACGTTTTCTTTAGACAGCTTTTTCCACTTTTGCAAAACCCGCCGTTGGAAGGCAAAGCCAAAGATTTATTCGTTGGGGTGGTATTGGAAGGGGGAGCATTATTAAATTATTAAATTTTAAATAAAACTTTATGTGGCCGACCTAGATCAAGACACCTGTACGTTGCCTACCCACTACACGTCAAAATCTCCAACTAGTCTTTTCTCCTTTTTTTTTGCCCTTTATCTTTTCTTTTTTGTCCAGATATTTTCTGCACACACTCTATTGCATGACTTTCGTGGGGCCGCCCTATGTCGTTCATAGTTATGTAGGTTTCCCAATATGCCCTCAGTAATTCGGTTTTGTCTACGATCTTTTTTACTTGGAAAAGTCCGAGAAAATAATTATATAACATGAAAAGATCCTTATTTTCTGGTTTTATCGAATACTATAAATTAACTCCACTTCTTCTACTAGTTTTCTAGTTATCTCAATTTCATCCCAAACAAACATTTTATAATTCTTGTTTTACCAACCATGCACAAATTATAAACATGAAGGCCAATGTAAGTGTGGATTGGACTAGAAAATAAGTCAAATTATATCGATAACAAGTGTAATTTAATCAATGATGTTGATAAATTGTGTGTTACTCTTTAAGAAGTACTAATAGAATGTTAGATTGAATGAATATTATATGGGTAAAATATATATATATATATATAGAATAGTAGATTACTGAGTTTTGCATAACTATAAGGATGGATCTTGTAATTTTATATTTCAATAATACTACTAATCGTTCTATAAAAGTATGATATTTTCTACATTGTTTGCAATACGTTTAGGAGGTTAATAGCTAAACTTTCAAGGTTAGATGGGGATAAAGTTCACAATTGTACATCTCATATATGGTCAAACTCATCAACGTGATCCAAGTGAACTTGTACTTAAGCTGAGAGACAACCAAGGGAATTCTCAAACAAATAAGCAATCTATACCATCAACCCTAATTTAGTGTGACTTCAACTGCATATAATTTACATTTTTATGCATATGAGATAATTAAATCCCAGTCAAACCTAATTTGGTGCGACTTCAGCTGCATAATTTGCATTTTTATGCATGAGATAATTATAATCTCATTTATCTTTGAATATATTCCTATATCCATATAGCAAGCCAACTTTAAGTACTTTAAGCTATCTAACTTCACTACGAGTCTGATATCTGCCACAAAATCCACTTATGCTAACAAATAATTTCTTATATTCCATATTTGAAGCCATGAAATAACACCCGACTTTCTACTTGGATCATAATTTAACTCGCAGATGATTATTGATTTGCCATGAAATTAGCCACCTAGACACCACGCTAATGTATAATCAAAATTTGGTACAAACAAACAATACTATACATATTCCTATTTTTAACTCTAATGGCGTAAGGGCAAAGGAGTCAACTGACTCTTTGTCTAGGGAGTAGACTAGACGGATGATGAAATGCCATTCTTGTAAATCCAGTCAAAATGAGGCCCACTTGTGTAACCATGATACATTATACAGTATTGAGGGGGCATGCAGTGCGCAGTACACCAGTAGTACCCGTAGGCTCTGTAGGCTTTTCTATATACAACTGTAGACAGTCATTTCAGATTCGTGTTCTCTTTTCTCTTATTCTTATCTCTCCGGGGTTCAATTTCCCAATCTCCATTTTCATTTTGATCCCAAAAATATCAGACCTCAAGAAGAAGAAGAAGAAAGTAAGTGAGGAATCTAACTCCCTCTGATCTAAGTCGTCTCCATATACCTCTCCGCTGTGACTTTACTGACAGTGTTCTCCTCCGTATTGGTAATTTTCTCCTCACTTTCTCGAGAAAATGGTCGTGGTAGTTAGATTCAGGTTATGGAAAGTTTCATTTTTTGGTGGGTTTGGTAAAATCATTTTTAATCCGTTGCTGAAACTAATTTTCTTTTTTTATTTTGTAATTTACAGTGATAAAGAGGATTTTGGCTGATCTGAATCTGATTCGGTTCTGGGGTCTTCGATTCGGTGGCTCTGTAGTTGATTGCTCTGTTCTTGTGCGGATCCTGTTGTCCATGTTCGATTTGGATCTGTTGTGGAGAAGATCTAGAAGTTCAGTTGTGTTTTCGTGCAATTCGAACCCTAAGGTTGCAATCTTTAAGCATACAGTTTGAGCCCTGGAATTGAGTTATAGCTGTAGATCTAGTTGGTTGCTCTCAGAATCGTTCTAACTCGACCGAGTTATACTCGTTGACTCAGTTAATTTTTCATAATGGAAACTCTTCTTGTTGTGGCGGAGCCTAAGAACCAGTACTACAACCGGGTCAAGCCACACGGGCCTGCCCGATACGGCCCGTCACCTTCGAAGGACTTCAGAGCGATCAATTGCCGAACTTTCCAATCCGGCACAGGTATACTCCCTACCCCATCGAAGAATTGCTCTACTCCTGTGTCCAAACGAGTATGCTCTTCTTCTTCTAAGATAACTACACCTAGTCCAAACAAGACACCTACTCCTAGTGTAGGTTCACAGTCTGATAGTAAAACACTTGGTAAAAGCACCCCAATTGCTATCAATGTCAAAAGCTCGAAGAAAGAAAAGCCTTTTAATGGAAGTTTTTCATTTTCTGAGCTCTGGGCTGGCCCTGCTTACTCCAACTCTCCCCCACCTAGCTCTCTGCCAATACCCAAGTTTTCAATCCGACCCAAGAGAACCGTGTCGCTTGAATTGCCAAGCTCAGCTTCTGATATGGAAATGCACCCAACTCACCCAATTGCCAAGTCTGCACCTGCATCCCCAACTAGGGAGCATAGCTCTTCTGCAAGAGACCTCTTTCATAATGCTGACTCTGCGACCAGGACTCTGCGTCGCATTCTGAATCTTGATGTTGACGATGAATGAAGAGCAGGGGAGCAGTAGGCTCCTGTAAATAAGTTTAGATTGTATATAGAGTGAATAAATTGGTTGGTAGTCCTGGGTTGTGATGAGTGTGTTTAGTTTTCTGTGGTGGTGCTACAATCGACAGTCTTGGTTGTGGTGGGTCAACGATCTCTGGATGTTGGATGTGAAGTTATTCTGAGAGATGAATGCTTGTTTGGAAAAATGGGCCGGGTATGTGTACTGCGGGACTTATGACATGGATGGAACTGACCCAAAATTTTACGGAAGCAGAAGGGAAAAAGTTGTAGGCTTGTACTTTCGAAATGGATGGTTGCCTACATTCTGGCATGGGATTGAGTAACTGGCTACTCTTTATGGAAGCTGAGGGAAACTACATTATACTTGAATATTGAAGTTCTGACTTTTAACTTTTCAATGTAATCTCCTGACATATTTGCTAATTTTCGTTATCCCTGTAGAGTTAGGTTTAGGTCTCCAGTTCCGGTTACGGTTGTATATGCTTTAGAAAGTCAAGTGGTCTATCCATACAGAATTCTTTAGGTTTCTGCAGGTTTCTTCTTCATCTTTGCATCTTCGTTTCCTTGCATTTAGATTTAGTGTCCCTATAAATAGTCTCAACAGTGGTTAGTCTCTTTGTTCCTTAGTTAAATGTTGTTCCTATTGGCTGCCTTAATCTTCTTTCATTGAAATCTCTTGCTTGTTCTGTTATGGCCCGATTTGCCTTCATACTCTAAACATAACTTTCTTTACTTCTAATGACAATCTGACCCCTTTAACTACACTCTTATCAAGGGTGTTCTCCCCCTTCACCATCTTTTCTGGTTTTTAAGAAAGAAAAGAGGGAAGGGGCAGTGATTGTTGTTCTTTCCTACTTCTGCTTTGTTGCTTCTTCAGTTCATAGGGTTGGTCAATCTGTGTTTCTCTGTTCTGTTTCATGCCTTGAGTTGGAATTACCTATTAATTCCTTGTTCTTGCAAATGAATGGTGCCAATTGCGGTCCTCACATCATTTTCATCCTCGGAGATTGTTGATCTCGCCTGGCCTTCAACAAGGTAATAAATCTGGTTTACTGTTCCACCTTATTGTTATACTATATACTCTTGTATAGTTCGATTCAGTGGTGACTGATTTCTTCTTAAAATGTTTGAAGCAGGGTGCAAGTTGGAAAATTATTCAGGCTGTGGTTTCTTTAGCGGTTGATAATCTAAGTCCTTTTATCTGTAATAGTTCCTTGGACAAGGCAAATGCAATTCCAGTATATGGTCACCTGTGTCTAAGAATGCATGATGTCCGTGGGAGGCTGCTTGCTTTGTCTTGTGTACCAGGATCAATGGAGTCAATATGTTGTGTCGAACAAATATCTGGTCTCCTTGTTTTATTGTCTATTTAAATTTCAGTGTTAAGTCTGTTTGGTATCGTCTATCTGAACTTGGATGGTAGTGTGTTTATCTATCATCATCTTTAATTTTATGTAAGTTATACATTATCTTATCTATTTAATTATCATGGTACGATGTTTTGTTTTATTGATATTGAGGTATTGGGCCGTGTCATGGATTTCATCAGCAAGATGGTGATGTTGGGAAACCTTGGAGTAGACTTTTTATTGTTGGGATTTGAAACTTGACATTTTCTCCAATGCATCTCGCGGAGAATTCTCAGGTCTAGTGCTGAGAAAGCTTTGAGATTAAGAAGGCCAAAGAAGATGCAGATAATTCCTAATGGAATAGGAAAACTCCAAGAAGTTGCCTAACCTATTCCACGTTTTATTTAACAAATGATAGCAAATTCAATATTAATAAACAAGTGGGTTTCTCAGGAGGAGCACAAAACGTGAATAGCATTGTTTCGCTATTTTCAGTCAATTACAGTACGTAAAGTATAAAGTTTTCGGGTGCTATACCATGATTGGTCAAGGATAGCAACCCGTTCAAAACAAGTGTCGTATTCAATTTGCTTGAGTTTATGACTGCAACTGTATTTTCTTTTTGGCCCCTTCAATCATTGCTACTCTGTTATTGGGAAAATTCTAACTTTTTGCTCTGCTACGCACAGAGGCGTGAACGTGAATAGGAGAAACTGGCTGATGAATGGTGGTGAATGAATTCATTAATACTTGCATCAGAAGTAACATTTGACAGACTTTTAGCCCAGTACTTCTTTTTGTTGGATCCCTTTACGCAGCCTTAGCTAAGTCCTTTACCCCTTCCCTCCTCAGCAACACCAGAAACAGGGCCGTTTGGCTTCTTGGTCACTTGATTTCATCACCAGCCTTTTCTCATTTCAAGCTTTTCTTCCTTCCCTTTATAGTTTGACAGGGGAAGGGAGATTTTCGTTTATCTTATCATAGTTTCCTAACAACTTCTAAGTTATTTAATTATCTGGGTCATCTGGAATAGGTCTTGAAAAGGAATTCAAGTTTGGATCCTTACCCTTTTTTTAAAATTATTATTATTTTCTTTCGTTTATCTTATCCAACTGTCACCACTTGATAATTACTCAGATATGTTTATATGTCGTGTGCATGAATGAAATGAATTATCGGTCCCCTTTGTATGAATGATAAGAAAAACACAAAAGTTGGGCAGCTTTCGAGTCATACATCATCACATGCTGAAATTAGACCCGAAAAAACAAAAGAAGAAGAAGAAGAAAAAATCATCTGCTACAAGTTGGCATTAAAAAAAAACAGTGGGAAGTCAAGAACCTCAGGCAATGAAATAAGTCTTTAAATAAATAAAATAAACTCTACAGCAACGAACTAGAATATCTCCTCCTCTCTTTATCTTTTATCTGCAGGGGAGGGGAGAGGGTAAAACTTTAAAAGCCAAAGACAAGATAAAATTTGAGATCTACCAGTTTTCTGGTCTCCAAAAATCATCAATGGGAAAACAGAGAGAACTCAAGAACAAGTCCTTATAGCATCATCAAACTCCGAGTTCCCAACTTCATCTAAGAGCATTTCTTGGTAGCGGCATTCACGACTGCAGAAAGCTTTCTCACCTCTGCATGACAAATCAAATGCAAATCCAATATGTTCATCTTCCATAGAACATGAAAAATATATCATTTCATAATTTCATTTGAAAACAAAAACAAGGGGTCATTGAAACAAACCTGTAAATGTAGATGTCGTTTTTCTGCTCAAGATTCTTCTTGCATGTGTAACAGAAGCTAAGGAAACTCACCGAGGCAGAGCTGGACTGATCCGATAAGCTATAGAAGCTTTCTACAATGCAGTTATCAAATATGTGGGTTGTTCTTGGATTTGGTCCACGAGATATCACACATGTATAATCTTCAGAAAGCTCCATTTCACTTACAGAGGCACACCCTGTGGTAGCCTGAGCAGAATTTGAATGCTCTGTTTGGATGCCAGAGTTAGCAGACCCAATTGCTGATGATTGGGAATTCGGAGTCTCGATCTTGAAATCAGCTGGAGATTTCGGAGACTGCGTTGGAGAAAGAGCAGAGGCTGGAAAGGGAGGGATTTGAACTCTAAGCTTAGTTCCAAACAGGACCTTCCCGCTGTTGGGTTTAGAAGCATTGTCTTCAAGCTTTTCATCATTGAGTGTCTCAAGCAGAGCAAGGCCAATGCCTTTGGGCTCTGGTTGGTGCCAGGAGCTTTTGTTTGCTGATACAACTTTTGGGGTTTTGGGTTGGTTTTGATCATATGAAAATGGGGTTGCAAAAGGAAATGGCTTGCTGTCAAGAATTGAAGTCGGGCTTATCAGAGAATCAGTTTCAGAATGACCCTTTATTGTGAAAGCTCTGAATCTTGGAGAACCAAAGAAAGATGGGGCTTTGGTGTAGTTTTTTTGAGTTGGAGATGATTGGGAGCTGTGGTCAGCCATTAAAGCTTGCTTGCTGGTCACTGCTCTAGATCTATTCCTCAGCATAACTTGCTCTAACCAAATGATTCTAAGCCCCCAGAAAGTCACAAAATTGATCACTGCCAAAGAGGAGAGAGAGGGAGAGAGAAATTAATCCAAGATTGCCATGAGAGAGATTATAAAAATAGAGTGAAGCAGAGATAATAACAAAGAAAGGATATTGGAGAACTTACTCAAAATGATCAGAAAAATCTCACCAAGAAACCACTATGAATTGCTTCAAGTGATGGTCTCAAGAATCACCTTTTGAGTTCCAGAAGTAGACTAAATTAAAGGCTCTCTTTTCCTTCAACCAGCAAACTAATGCATGGCTCTACAACCATAAAACTAAAAGAGAAATAATATAATAAAAAGGAAAAAGGAAGAGAAAAACAGAGTCTCAGACTGAAAGGCCTTCCTAAATCTCTGTAGCCTCCATGCCCGAATGCTAAAAAACAAGCAACTTGGTAACCTTACTTCCTCCTGTTTCTTTCAAGTACTGCAACATATTAAGACTCAATTTCCCACCAAGATTCATAGCAAACCGCATGCATGCCATGTGATCAAGGCAGACATATAGAGAGCAACCCTCTATCTATATCCTCTGCTGTCTCAGGCAGAATTGGCATAAATGCTTTGCCACTTCCCATGACAAAAGAGCCATCATCACCATCAAGTAAATATGAAAGAAAAAAGAAATGAAATGAAATATAAAGCTCAGCTCCTCTCCTTTTCTTGGCCTCTCTCTCTCTAAAATTTCACTTTTCTGGTAGTGGGTTTTGTATTCAGTTTCAATCCTGTAAAAATGAATTTGCAACTTGGCAAACAGAGAAAGTGAAAGATGAGAAAGAATAGGCCCTCGGTTTTGAAGGGAAGAAAAAGAGTTAGGTTTGGATGTGCCTTTTAAAGAGTGAGAAAACAAATGAGGGAGTGTTTTTTTTTTTTTTTTTTTTTTTTTTTTTTTTTTTTTTTTTTGGTTAGAGTGATGAGGGTGCGTTTTGTTTGCATGAGAATTGGTGGTTTTGACCACACAGACCCACAGCCTCATAACCCATAAATTAATAATTTCCATTTAATAATAAATAATATTTTGTATTTTTCTCATGCTAGATAAAATAATATACTCTCTTTCTGAACGGATTATATTTTGTCTTTCTTTGAAGAGTCTTCTCTCTCAGTTGGGTTTTTTCATTTCATTTTTTATTTTTTATTTTGTCGTGATTCACTTGGACTTAGTGCGAGAAATAAAACGCACGCACTCATAGGAAATGCTGAACTCACCCTAACGATTCTCATTCATTTTTTTTAATCCACTAATCACTATGCACAAATTATTGTTGATTATTTACTGTTTTTGGTTAAAAAAATCATACCATTTTTTGAGCTCTTACATCTTCATTCATATTGGCACAGATTCGAAATCCCTATACACTCAATGAATATTTCTATAAACCCCCTCTCTTAATCGCTTATACTAAAAAAAAAGCCTAATTTTGCCTCTACCATTACCAAATTAAATGTTGTTAGTTATATGTTACTTTTTTAATTTAGCTTTGGGACCTCAAGTTTAATTACTCTGATAATAAATAATAAAGTTTTGTAAAGACTTCACCGCCTGTTGTTTAGGGTAGCAATTTTGACACTCTTATTTTAATCTATGCACTTCAAAATTGAATAATATTATCTTATAAGATTATCCCTCCTTTGGATAAGGATTAAAATATAATGTAACCAATTTTGTAAATGATGTGTCAATTTTAGGGGTGTGGTGGAAGCTTGGATTGGTCCAATTGAGTGATAGGGCTTGTGGGGCTTGCTTGTTTGTTAGCTCTCGAATAAGTGATTAGTGGGGCCAGAATAAAACAACTGGCGTGGCTTTGGGTGGGGCCTGCGGGGCCCACTGAAAGTAACGGGTAGCGAAATTTTTTTGATTCTTTCACTCACAAGGTTTAATGTACTACCAGAGACGTACACTACACCATCGCCCCCACCCCCAAAGAAATCGTTTGCCGTTGGTTACGTAAACTGGTGGGGCCCTCTTTTTAACTCCACTCAGACATCATCCCGATGCCGATCGTGGGCCCTATCCCTTTTGCTTTGCAACCTTGACCCAACTCCTGGGCCCAATTTTTTAGGTTGTGGTCAAATGTGGGCTCCACGGCCTCTACAATACTGCCCTTTGTACTTCTAAACTCGGAAGGAGAAGTGATCATATGTAAGTTTAACTGAGAAACAAATGTGATTATGGGAAACAAAATCATATAATTATTTTGATGGTACATTGGATTAGACATTTTGCTTTTATTAACAGCCTATATCTAAGTTCTAATCATGGCCAAAAAAAACAGCCTCCGTCTAATCCACAATAAAGCAAAGGTTGTTCATGAAGTTTGTTTCCCTAGCTTATTCAATAACAGATGTTTATGATCTTTATCCTCGAGGTAATATCCACTAATGACCGTTAATTAATATCATCACAGAGAAACTGCTCATATAACTTTTTGAATCGATGACCGTTGTCCATGAAATTGAACTTAAGGACAATAACATTATAAAGAGTGTTAGTGTCAGTCGCGTGTGGACGCGTGATGCTTTTACAGTTATTATCGATTGTGAGTCTTATAAGAAGTCTTATATTGATCAACTATCACGTACGACTTATGTTAGTACAACTCCTTGCATTACACTTTCAAATAAACTTTATGCATAACTAAGGAATCAGATCGACGATGAACAACAAAATATTTCAACTATAGCATGATCAAGATTTCACTTACTATAACCTAATTAGTGCTCGCCATGATTGATGTAGAAGAAGTAGGTGGGGGAAATATAGAGCTCCTAATAGTGATCTGACCCACACGTTCAGCATCTTCCAATTCGGGGATGGATAACGAACCACTCCAGACGTCTTCATCGATGGAGTTAAAACAGAAACGACCCCACAAATGCTATCAAACGTGTTGAAGTCAATATCATCATGCCAAACCAAGTGCCATTACATGATTTCAAACAAGATGATGTTTGTCAGTCAATAATTTTTTTGCTGCAAAAAATTATAATGAGAGAGAGAGAGAGAGATAGATGCATAATTGGTTTATTGACTGAGGCACTAAATAAGGCTCTTGGCCTTTTCTCAGTTTTCTTAAGGCATTGAATTTTTTTCATTCATAGAAAAAACGTAAAAAATATAAAATACAAAAGAAGAGTTGAAAATGGAGCTCTTGGATTAAGTATATTATTAAGTAAATTAATTTACTAAGACATGATTAATTATATGATCCCTTTTGATTTCTTTTGTTTGCGTGATGATGTGCCATTGCCATGTGTAAGGAGAGAAATGAAAGAGAGCCATGAAGGTGGAAGGATGGGGACCAAGTTTGTTTTAGTGGCGTAATGCATTAGGAGATAATCAATTTTCATTAAGATAATTAATCAACCTTCTGAATTAGGATCAAAGTAATTACTTGAGGTGCTTGCTTGGGGTTTATTAAGATGGACCCAATATGATAATTATAATAAAATGTTCAAAATATCTGGTGCGTAGAAGAAGTAGACAATCCCAAATTAGCTATTCACTTTAGTAAACCATCAAGGATAAAGAGACTATTTCCTAAAAGATAATCACTAACCCGAATAATTAATCTCCTTTAATCTAGTGATACTCCTCTTCCACAATGTTAGAACAGTTTCAAAAGTTCGATTCGCTGTCCTCCGATAAAAGAAAAAAACGACATCCTTTGCATGGTAAACGGTTTCATGTTGATTGTTTTCCTTCTATGACCAACATCCAAAACATGTTTGGTCAGGGTTAGGTGGAATCTGGTTTATAATAATAAGACATAATCCTAACCAAGGAAATAAAGCCATAGCCATGATCCTCACATGTAACCGAAAAAATGTTGATTTTTATGGTTTGACTAAAAGAAGATGATATATTTTCTTGCTGGTCTGGAATTTAATAACAGTAACAACAAAGGAATTTATCTAGCGGTTGGTCCATAGCTTGGTAGGCTGTACCACATAGGATCCACTCTACTGCAGACACAATTTAAGGCTACAAGCCCTACCAAAACTGTTCAGTGCAAATCAACTCATGTCTCACAAAGAAACAAGCATTGTAGTTAAAAGCAATCTCTTGAATACGGCCAGGCTTACTCAAAAATTGATTGCAAGTTGCAAAGGTACACTTTTCTAATATCTCAAAAATAATACAACAATTTTGTTACAAAGATTTGAAAGAAAATAAAAAATCACTGGGGTTACACAAAGTTCACAGTAGGCCTTTTGCCGCTGGAATCACATCACTTTTTGATTTTCTTGTCATTTCTGCCTCTCTTTCTAAATTCTCGTTTCTCCGTAGAGTACTGCTTTTTTATTAGCAAATTGCTCATGGATGTTTTCAAAGCCTCAGCTGCTGTCAAGAAATAATTTTTGTCAAAGGAAACTCTTCCTTGCAACTTCTCGAGCAATTTCTCTCCCCTAGGGATCTCATCATCTTCCAAAACAATTGGTCCATGCTGAACAAAATCAGGACTGCCTTCCTTAAAGCCAGAGATAACCTTGACACGGGACAAACAAGGGTGTTGAGAATCATGCAAGTTTGAGGCACCAGTTACCGTCCACAATAATCCAGAGGAAAAGCTAGTCCCCAAGCTTGTAGGTATAAAGGCATCTCCCTCGATAGAAACCACCTGCTCCAATCACACAATTGTTAATAGCCACTCTTTGTTTGCGTCATGATAAATTATTAGCAATTTAGCTCCAAGTAATGTCATGCAAGACGAAATGTGTCTAAATAAGACAGATTCATGGAAAGTAAATTCAATTAAAAATGCCTGATAACAGGTCAATGTGTCCTGTGATAGGGTTTCATTCTTACTGTTCGTATCAATTGACTAATTGAGGTCCTTACCTTGGCAACATAGAGTGTTTGAGCAGAAAGATCACAGCTCAACAATATTATTCCTTGCAAACTGCAATGGAATAACTTAACGAGTATCAAGATGATGAATAAACAGAGAACCACTGTATGAAAGAAGAGACAGAAAATCCAATGTATAGGAACTTGCCTTTGGACAGCCACTGCAACAAGCGTGCTATCTGGGATGGTGCATAAATCAGTAACAGCAGCATACCTGTCTTCTATTTCTTTAGATTCTAAAAGTCCTGCCTTCAGAATGAAATCAAGTAAACAGCATGCCAACAGAAAAGTCGTTTGGAAACAATAAAGAAGTCAATGGGAACTTCAGGAAACTTAGAACAACTGAAGTACCTTTTCTCTGATATCACAAGTATCTAGGAGAGATCCTGAGGAAATATCCCATAGGCGAACCTGCCAAATCAACACACATTAATTGCTCTATGGTACACAAGATGCACCTTGAAGCAATTCAAAGGCCATGAGTTGCTATGAATCACGATTACTTACTGTTGAATCACCACTTCCAGAGACAAGGAAACCCTGGGGGCATTCATGAGTGCAAACAAAAGCGAGGCAAGAAACAAACCTGCCAATAGATGCATGAAAGTGAAGATAAGTAAAATTTAAGTAGCAAGAGGATTTCTTAAACATATAGGCGGTAGTTATACATAATCCACCCAATCAAGATTCAGTTAGGTTAATCCACTACCATATATTGGCACCTAAATCCTAAGTATCCACATGTTTTATGTAGAATTGCAAAATTCATAAGAAACAGCAAGCTCTGCATTATCTATATACGTCGTCCACCGTCCTAGAACAGATGAGATATGAAAAGCCACTCACTCTGTATGACCAAGGGAAAAACTTTGTATCTCATGGGCTCCATCTAATGGCTTCTTGGGAAACACAGTAACCTGGCAAAAGAAAAATCATGTGAGGTATGTGGGTAATGTAGCTATCAGATTATTGGATGGGTTGCAAAGTTGCATTACTCGAATTTTGGAATCCCGATCAGCACTAAGGAAAAATCGTCCATCTGGTGAAAATTCCTGCCAAAATTACAACGTTAATTACCACTCATCTCATGGATATCAGGTGGCCATAAAAACAATTTCCACCTACAATATAAGAAGAACCACTAGTATAGAATAGGAAAAACTGAAACATGAAGAAGAAACAATCCAGGAAATCTTTTCTGTATCAATGGGTGATTGAATATAATAGTTGAACCTAAACTTGACACGGAAGTCAATGTACTACAGAAAACCTTGCCTATAATATGAAACCAACTAAGTAGACAAAGTATGACTACACACACATGTCAACAGGAGAATGTCAGAATTTGATAGATTCAAACGTTAATTTTCAAAAGGGGGATGATTTGGCACTCCACAACTCACATCCCACACTCCTCTACCACTCACATATGAGTGCAAGAGGTAATTTAAGGGTGATTTTGGAGTGCACCCTTTTAAAAAAAGTAAGATGACGAAGAAATTCTCAAACAACAGAAAAGAACTCACCAGGCTTGTTATGATGCTGCAATAGTGAGAAAGCAGTGGTGCTGCCTTCTTATTCACAAAATCTTGATCTCCATTAAACCCATCCACATCCACAACCCAAACAACCCCAAATTTGTCAGCAAAACAAACATAAGAACCATCATTGCTAATGGCAACTGCGCTCACTCTTTTCTCTGAGCACCTATAACAAAAGTCACGGAAATATTTTAAAAGAAGAAAGACACCTTACATTGCATCAAGTCTGGATGTTAGAAAACAAATGTAGTACAATACCAAGGGCAGGCCTTTGAGTGGTATCACATGTATTTCCATGAAATATCACCCTAAAAATTAACTATAAGAGTACCATTAAAGTTTAACAGCCAATAATGTCATGAGGGATTCAATAACTTACACGGAACTAATGCAGCGCCACGATTCGGTCGACCATATCTTGACAAGTTTATCATCACCAGCAGACACAAAGAGCTTCCCGTTTGCTCCATAACGAATGGCTCTTATGGAATCCTTATGAAGAGAACCATCAGAATCATCTACCAAAGATACCGCACATCCCCCACTGTCAAAAAACCACAAGGTAAAGTAATTATTTTCAACTTCCAACTATCCTGGCATATTACTCAAACTCAAACGGAGATTAAAGTTCAAATTTTGACCAAACTGACACTGTGTTTAGCCTGTATAATTCAAAGTACACAGAGACGCCGTCATTTTAATCTTCAGGAACTCGTAACAGAATGGTATCGTATTCAATGAAACCAAATTTTGAAAGCCAAATAACAAGGCACAGAGAATAGTGGGGGAAATAGCTTACAGGAGGTCGAAGACGCGGAGGTCCGACCCGACAGCGACTGCAACTGAATTCTGGGTCGGGTGGACTGCAATTAGGGCAGGAGCCACCTCACTATCCTTGTTAGTCTCTCCGTTTTCCATCGCAGCGTCCTCCATTGTTGCTCACAGAAAGGTCTTGTTAGCGGTCGTCGTCTTCAGGGTTTTGCGTTTCAGGCCGAATTGGGGTTTTAACTTTTGGGTTTATGGAAGCTATAGCCCATTGGCTTATGGGCTCTGAATTTTATTTTATTTTAAATTAATTAAACTGCCCATGTCACGTTAACAACTTAACGGTTTTGTAGACGAAGTTAACAGAAAATGATAAAGTGGTACACATAGTAAGATTTTGGAGGGTTAAATGAAAAAATTAGAAATACAAAAGGCAATTCCGACATTCGAATCTAGGGAAAAACAGAAATTAAGCTTATTTTTTTAGGGTGTTGATTTTCCCACTTTCTTTTGGTTTCTTAATACTTTTTACTGTAACATATAGTTTTTTTAATACTTTTTACTATAACATACAATTCCAACAAGGGAGTGTTAAGTGACAAAAGAAGAGTGAGAACATACAATTTATAATAAAGGAATGTAAGTGGACAAAAGAGGAGTGGAAAAATCAGCTCCCTCTTTTTATTTAAGTGGAGAAACTCGATTGGGAAAAAGAAAAGAAGATATTCTATACCTCGACCAAGGGTAGAAATTGGCTTTGGATTTTGGCACAAGTTTTTCCAAAAAAAATCAATTTCTATCATTTATATGCTTCCATATCATCCAAGAAGTAATGCATTTGTTGAATAGCATTGGCTTCCTCATGAAATAAACATAAATGAAAGAAATTTAAGAAAGATGCGGACATATAGAAGATTCTTTGTTTGATTATCCAGGAAACAAAAAGGAAAACTAGTGCTTCATCCATGACAATAGTTCATATAATTCTTGTACCACTAAAAAGTTGCCTCTTCCAATGGTGCTGGGCCTTTTACCGTTACCTTGGCATACAGGAGTTCCAAGAGGAACTCTCAAGCTGATGTTCAAAACATGAAACAAGGCCAAAGATTACGCCTAGCAAGCCAAAAAATAAAGGTAGCCAGCATAAGGCCAATTCCTTGTAGCAGGAATCAAAAGCATCAAGAAGAGCACTTACGAACAACAAATAGCAACTTGAACAAACGGACACCTAAATTCTCAACTGTGTACAACCAAGAATCGTTCCACGGCACCGTGTCATTGGAGCTGCCTGGCGCCAAGTCGGTCTTTCACTCCCAATCGTGAGAACATCAACATCAGACATTGGCTTGATTTCCAAGTTCCATTGGTCAGGGACAATCACCCCACCAATCACATAAATCTCATCTGCTAGTCCAGTCATTGCAAACCCAATTCTGCGACCAAACTCAGATGCCGAAACCAATACCTTCACTGATTCTCTATCTTGCTTGGAGATAACACCATGGCTCATCACATAAAGTGCACCCTTAACAACCGTCATTGGACCCTGTTGCCAACCATAATCCTCCACCGTCCACTCACGCCCCACATTGTCCAAGACTTGCACCGTTGATAAACCCTTGTGTAAGACATGCACCTTTCCTCCAATCACTATTCCTGAGCATGCAGAATTATGAGTGCGATGGAGATCAGGAATTGGATCCCACGCATCCTTCTCAGGGTCATACATTTCTGCCTGAGAAATTGATTTTCGACAGCTGGTGAAACCACCTGCAACAACAATCTTTCCGCCTAAAACACAGCATGCGAACATCGCACGAGGCACAAGCATAGATGCACATGGTGTCCATCGCCTAATTACAGGATCATATGACCACACCTCATTGGTTGCAAAGCTGCCATCTTGGTCGCCAGTCTGTGGGTCAACAGCGCCACTGCCACCACCCAGAACAAACAATTTTCCGGCAGCAGAGACAGCACCAAAGTGAGAAAGGTTTCTGATTTTAGAGGGGAGAACAGGGAGTGTAATCCAAAGATCTCGATGAGGGTCATATAGCTGCCATAAATTATCTGGGTCAAAAGCGGACACGCATAGTAGATCCTCACATGAGCCAACCTCCTGTCGAGCTCTAAAAAGTTCAGGGCTATGAATGGCAGCTTGCCAGGAACGAGAAACAAGCTCCAACTTGGGATGGAGATAGAAAGGAACCCATGCAAGACACCTAAGGGAAACAGCGTCAGGGAGACCTTCTATCAGTTGTTCAGACATAATAATCACAGTTCATCTGTTTCAGATGATTCTTCACTGGCGATTGTTGCTACTCGGTGGCAGCACTGGCACAAGCAATCTGAAGAATCAAAATATGAGGTTATGAGGTTAAATTCATTTCAAATTTTCAAAACCAATATTTCAATGAAGGTGTATTAACATTAGCAAAGGTGCACACAGAGGTAATACAAGTCATTGTATTTTCTATCCAACCTCATAAGTAATCAGAAAATAAATGTGACATGTTGCAGCATTTTTTTTCCTTCCCATCTTACTATATATTCATTTCTAACGAATCTGCCCCAGGAATGTCAAGATGTCCGAGTAAACCTATCACCTAGTATGGATTAATTGCTGCTCAAAATCACTCCTATTCAGCAGTTTAAGTTCTGATCCCACTTTTCAATTCAATATTTGGCCTTCTTTTTCCTGCAGATTGACCCAAGTAATCCTAGTCCAGTTTCATCCTATGTTTTGAATATAAAAAGTTTATCCCAGGATGCCATAAAGCTGAACTAAACAAAATGCACAATACTAACAAAATTTCACCGTGACAAACCACCTCATCAATTATTGCAATGCCCTTAAGTGCAAATACAGACATATTCTACTCTATTTTCTCCTCATTCAACAAAAACTTTCAGAAAGAAAACCCATTCAGATGCATGCCAAATACAATAACTTTTGACAAAAGGCATCCATAATCCTCTTGATAATGCTAAACATCCCAGAGACTTCTACATTTCAAAGCTAACCCACAGTGCATAACTGATAACATAAAGACCATATAATGTTCATTAATTTTCAACAACATTAGAACAAATGGTGCTTCATTCAATTGCACCCTATCAACTAAACTAAATGTTGTAGAGAACACAGTTCTCTCAATTAGAAAAAACAAAAAAGGACAAAAGAAAGAAATACAAAGAAATTTGGAGTAAGGAAATAAACCATGATGGTCAAAAGAAATAAGAATAGCAATAACACCTAAATGTAATAACTTAGACACATACTCAGTAGAAGAGCAAGGGAGAGTTAGTATGAAAAGGTCAAACCCACCCCAGTCCCAACCCCTAGACAAATAAAGAGGGTAAAATTTATTCTGCACAATTCGATAAGAAGATAAGAAAAGAAATGCGAATGTTAAATATCTGAACCACTGAGGTTTGTTGACACACTGATATTGTAATATAGAAAAACATGGCTTCATGAGTATGACTGCTCTCTGTTACTTACCAGTTTCTGTGAGACGTAAACAAAACAATTCTCTTCTCTATGCAGAAATCCCTAAAAACAAACCAAAAAAGTTAAAAATTTGACTTCATGATATAATAACTTATAGATATTATAAAAATTTGAACTTCATGATATAATAGCTTATAGGTATGATATTCAAAACAAACTTTAATGTGTTATTTCATTTAGGTTCAAGCTGAAAATTTTCTGCCGTCAGTCCACCTGAAGTCTAACCGGTAATTAAGATATCGGCCCCAGTACCACTACTCAAAGTCAAACACCGCAGACGAACACATATAACATTTCAAATATAAGCTGATTGTTTGTTTGCAAACTCTCAAGCAGACATCACTCTCAGCTATGGCATAACTATTTGCTTGAAGGTGGAATTCAGACACTAAACGAAAACCCATCAGCTAATAGGTAAGAGATCCGCCGTAGCATTACTTCAAATATGAAAACAAAAACCATTCCCAAAGAAGAAAATAGCTAAAAGGTAATTCATAAACTGCAATCAGACTCCACCATTCGTGCATGATTCAGGCCTCATGCAACCAAATTGGGTTTGATTCACATGCATTACTACTTATGTGGCAAAAGTATGAAAATTTAGTTTCAACTTTCAACCCAAAAACAGAATCAATCAAATTCATTCGCCAATTGATGTACAAGCACAGAACTTTGAAACTGGAGACCTAGTGTTATACTGCAATTCTTGACCTTTAACATAAAAGCCATCTCCAATTCAACACAAGGAAAAGTGGGTATTCAATAATTCCAATGTTAACTAAAAAATTCAGACAATTCACGGCAAAATTATAGTCGAAATACAAGTGAAACAACTCTAATCGTATATCATTCTTTCCTTGCTCATGAAAGAGAGAGAGGGAGAGAGAAAGTGGATGTACCTGAAACACGGGACCGGGTGAAGAACACAAAGATTTGGGCTTTGCTGCTCAAATTCTTAGAGAGAGAGAGAGAGAGATAAAAGGGTAGCGTTTGGTTTTGTAGGCTGAGAGGATGACTTTTCAGGGCTATCAAAGAAAACGCCGAGTTACAAAATCAATGTTAAGCGCGTGTTGTCTTGTTTGCAAGGGCAATGTGGTTTTTGAGCGTTATGGGACAGATGGGAATTCGGAATTTGGGCTTTTCCTGTGTTTTCTTCCACTTACCCTAAAAACCGAATAACCCTTTGTTTGTGGATATTCCTAATTTCATTTCCACATCTTCTCTACAGCTTTTCTTGTTCCTTCCTTCCTCTTTTCCTGCGCGCTTTGCCTTGCCAATGGCATTTTCGTTATTTTTGCTTCATCTCATGTTGAAACGTGCATGGCACGTGGCTCCAAAATCTCACCCGAAGAAAGGAAAAAATAAAAAATAAAAAAATTCTGGCTTTTTCTTCATGAATCGTTATCCTTGCACTAGGCATATATCCACATTTTTTGTTCTCCTTCCAATATATGTTCTAGAATTTGATTCGATGGCATATTCCGTACATTCTGCAGAAAGAGTAATTTGTAGGACTTTTCCTTCCAATAAATTAAACTGGTACCTCATATACCTAATACTGTACCTTGCCGTGTGGAAGGTTTGGTGTATATTTTGCTGTTTTTGACTGCAGCACAGAGCTTTCAATAGGGTGGGGGGCTGCGTGTAAAACAAGCAATACATACAAGCAATTTTGCATTGATAGACCTACAAAAGTGCTTTTATAGAAGAATGAAAAGTTGGATTATTTTATCTTGTGATGAATTTACTTAAACAACACGATTATGTGGTCAAAGCCCATGATTCTGAGGTTGATGTAGTTGCTGTTTTCAGCTGCCCCATTCGTATTATTGTCAATTGACTTCATTGGAACGTGTTACCGGTGACAGCTTAATTAATCTCTATGATTTTCAATGCTTGATTTGCTTGTGTTCATATATGGCAAAGTAGAAAATCTGTGACTATTTTATTTGATTGAATTCCATGAGGGGCTGAACCCCCCAATCAAAGGAAATAATGTTATTTGGGATCAAATTGATCATGATTACCTGAAGGAGAAGTTGGTGCTCCTCCTGAGGGGGAATCTGCTGGAGATGACCCTGCAAAATCATGATCAGATAAGTAAATGGATCCTGCACAAACCCACATACACACACACACACACACACATATTTTTAAATTTAGTTAGCTTTTATACACACGTGCATCGGCTAATAAGCAAAAAACCTTATTTGTAACTAGATAGCACTGTTTTGCTATTTCCGGCCAATAACATAATGATAAGTGGAAAAGTTATCTAATGCATCATTACATTAGTGGTTGAGGATAGCAAAAAGTGTTATCCTCATTGCATGAAAGTTTCTCATGCTAGTAAGGGGTGTCTGGACATGGCAAGTAGACAGGAGGGCCAATGCCCCTGCCTGAGTCTGATTAATGTTCACTTCAGACCAAGGGAAGAGGAGCATCCATTATAAGAACCTCACAGAGGCACTGTGGCTGTGACCTGATCACATTAGCAAGCTGTGAGCAACATGAGGAACCATATAAAATAAAATAAAAAGTCAAAACCAAAAGTGACAATAAGAAACGGTTTATTACACAACACATAGAATCAAAAAGGACATCTGAAGTGAAGGACATGCTCAAATGGGTGGGCTGATTTCGTCGACAGATCATATGGTGAGGGATGAGGAAGATCCATACGAGTTCTTAATTAATCTAGTCAGTCTAGTGTACCAAACGAAATTTGTATGCAAGGAAGGAGAGTGTGCCACATTAATCCAAAGGAACTTCTATTCCATGCTTCCACATTAATCCTAGTACTTGTGCAACCTTATATCTTTCACCACATCCAAGTCCAAAAATGATTCAAAAGCATAAGGATTCCGTCCATATATGTAAATCTTTGAAAATGAACCCAAGCGATTCAACCCCAATAACAAGGAAATGACTAATGAGCTAGCAAGTTGTTAATTTTGGTAAATTAAATGGGATTTTCCTTATTATGTAAGATGAAACTAATATTGTACATTATTATTCAATGTACGGATCAATGTGAATATGAGCTAAATTATCATCAATTATCTCACTGTTAATATGAGCTAGACACAACCACTCTCAACCACCAAGATAATGTGAATATGAACTATTTTATCATCAATTCTCAATGTGGTTTAGACCAAATGAAGCATATCTGCAAAGAGTTTGTCAGATCAGATGATGGGAACTTTACTCATCTCTTGCAAAAACCTAGTTTAAAAACCTCGTTTCCAAGTTCAAAATTTTCTTTTCCGTCTTCATTTTCTCCTTTCTTGTTTTAGACAGAGAAAAGTATTGGCATATCCATAAACCCGAAAATTCTTGGCCCTTAGGTAGGCCTTAGGCTTAGCCTACTTTAGATAAGACTGGCCCGATCTAAGCCGTTCAACCTTTAGGGGCTAATAACACCAAGGGACTTGGACCAATGAACGAGAGGAAATTGGTTAGATGAGTGTTCTAGGAAGACCTATTAAAGTCAAAGAAATAGTACATAGGAAAATGATGAAGATGGGTTTGTAGTGCTAAGGCGGGCCAAGTTGTCTGCTTGTGCACACTTGGTTCCTTGTCTAGATGAGGATTGTGAGGAGACGTGCCTTAAGAGTTGTTCTTGTACTACATATGCATTTGTGCAAGGAATTGGCTGCATGATATGGACTAGGAACTTGCTGGATGTCTGACAATTTACAGAGGGGGAAACAAAGTCGAACATTCCTCTAGCACATTTTGATTTATTAGGTAAAACCTATAATCATCATTTGTCTCGTGGCTCATAGGCTTTGAAATGGATAGCTCGAGGCCCAATGGGCTAAAGCTCAGTTTGGCCCAATGTTTAGGCTCAGTCAGCTCGATTCATTCTAAAAATGGGTAGGGCTTAAACTAAGGGTTTGAAACCTCTGTCCGGCCTATTTGAGCCCGTTTAGGCCCAACCCGTACATAAATAAATTAAATAATAAACATAACAATAAAGTTGGCCCAATGGTGTTCATTCATGATAATTCAACAAAGATTTGTTGTGGTGTGTATTATCCAACATCTAGTCATGTTATTCCATGCTTAATTAATATTCATGAAGCATTTAATGTATACTCTCATTATCCAATAATTGAAAATGCTTGTTGCTATGAAGATAAAAGTTTGATAAATATTGAGAAACTTTTTCCTTTATATTTTGTTTTGCTTCTATTATTGATCATAGATATAAATATTGGGAAACTTTGCACTAGATAGATATAAATAAAAAAAAAAAAAAAAGAAAACAAAAAAAAAAAAAAAAAAAAAAACGCCCGCCAAGCTCGTTTAGGGCCGGCCCCTTTGAAACCTCGGCCCGGCCCAAAAAATAAGAAAAGCCCGAGAGGTCCGGCCCAAGTCTTCTTAGTCATGACCTTTGAAACCCTATCTTTCTTCTTGTTAGTGTTACTAGAGTTTTTTTTTTTCCTCTCTTAATCTTTGCTATAACCAGCCTTCTTTTATATATAGGTGGCAAGAAAAAATTATATCCACCCTTTGGGATAATAGTAATTTCAGTAGCGGGAGTACTCTTCTTAGTCATGTTCATGTTGCCCACCATTTCTTCTATTTCAAGGTTGAGGAACAACAATGCTAGCAAGATAAAAGAACTCTCAACAGATGTTTCAGTTGACCTTTTTTCTGAGTTACCATTGTTCAAGTTTAATTGTGTAGCATAGCAACCAACTGCTACAAACCTTTTTCTTGAGTTACCATTGTTCAAGTTTATGGTTGTTGTTTTCAGCTGCCCATTCATATTATTGCAAATTGACTTCATTGGAGGCTTCATAGCACCAAGGTGTCGTGGTGACAGCTTAATTGATTTTTATGATTTCAGTGCTTGATTTGCTTGTGTCCATATATATATATATATATATATATATATATATATATATATATCTCAAAGTAGAAAATCTGTGATTATTTTATTTGAATTCCATGAGGGGCTGAACCCCCAAGCAAAGGATTTACAAAAACCAGAAACCAATGAGCCACCTAACAATATGCAAAAATAAGAAAAAGTTTATGTTACCCTATACTATAGTCCCACGAGTCTAGCTACATAAACATTCATGGAAGAGGAGCTTAGTTGTCTGTGGAAGTTGAAGCATATGATGCAATGAAGAGCAAGAAGAACAGCAGAGGAAATGCCATCTTGTTAGAATTTCCATCCGATGGTGATGGTACAGTTTTAGATCGACTCCCTGCACACACACACACACACAGAGTAATATGTCAAATTGTAAATCGATTAGAATCTAGTGTAAAGAAATGTGATTTTGGGAATCAAATTGGTTACCTGAAGGAGAAGTTGGTGCCCCTGCGAGAGAACCCGGTGGTGGAGATGACCCTGCAAAATCATGACCAGAGGTTAATTCATAAGTTTATAGACCCTGCAGAATCACATACATTATGTTTTTTGAATTTTGTAATTTTTTTTATATACCGCTGCATCGGCTAATCGGGGGTGTTTGGACTTTGCAAGCAGAGGGGAGGGCCAATGCCTGCGTCTGATTGATGTTCACACCAACGGAAGAGGAGCCTCCATTAAGAACCTCACAGAGGCACTTTGGCTGTGAGCTGACCACATTAGCAAACTGTGAGCAACATGGGGAAGATGGGGTTGATGAGTTTCCTGTTATGTAATCAAGGCATGGGGACATGCTGATGATCACATTGGTGCAGCTTGATTGAGCATCAACAGTGCCTTCCCACAGAGCCACTACAAGGACCAAAGCTAGCACAATCTCAATCCTCCTGACGGCCATTTTTTTATTCTTGAGTGAGAGTGGCTTTGATTTGCAAGTGACACTATATTTATGTGAAATGATGAGCAAGTTCTTGGTAATGGGTTTTTTTTTGTATAAGCAAGAGGGGTTTGTGGTTTATATATAAAGGGGAAATTGTGACCCAAAAAGAGGCAGCTGGCTTGGCTTTCAAATTGGGTTGCCTACTTTTCCTACTTTGCAACAGATTTTATTTGTTAAACTAGAACTTTAGGAGGGGGACTCTTAAGAGTTAAGAATTGGAAGTTAATAAAGTTTGCCCTATGCATGTGTACGTGCGTACTAAAAATCAAATATGGTTAAGGTCATAGAAGAAAATGGGATGCTTATTGCGACTGTCCAGGAAAGGCGGGCCAACCTGCTTTGGTAGATTTGTACCATTTTGTTTTTTCATATACCCGATATTAAGGATCTTAAAATCTCGGATGCATGAATAAATACTTAATTGCTTAACTATAAGCCCCTTGCAGATTTGGACCATTTGGTAGTTAACATAGTTATTTATTTATTTATTTATTTATAAATCAAATAAAATTTTCATTAGATAAACTTCAATGGTACAATCAAAGACATCAACAAGACATCTAAAATATCAATCCCAAGAGGGCAACAAACTAACATGCTCAAAGCCAAACTAATGCAGACAACGGAGAGGTTATAATGAGGAGTTTAAAGTGAGGAGGCTATTTGAGGAAGTCAATCTCACCATCAACAAATGTAAAGAAATCATGGGACTTAAATATTTTTAATGTTTTGATGGTGGGATCGGTCTCCTCAAATAGCCTCCTTACTTTAAACTCCTCATTGTAACCTCTCTCCGCAGATAAAAGCCGCACTAAAACTACTAGCCCACATTACAACAATTAGCCATAAGCCCAAACAAAGTCTATAAACTCAACATAACCAAAACCCTAAATCAACCCATGAGCCCACATCACATAGTTGAATATGCATATTTACTTGAATGAATTATAATTAAAAAAAATTGAAAATGCTTGTTGGGTTGAATGACGATGAGAGAGATGGGCCTCTACAAGTATCATTGTTTTTTTGTCAGATTTATGGGTCACTGCCATTGTGGGACTACACTCAATTGGGCCTGGGTCCCAAAATGTGGTTCGAAGACGTAACCAGTTTTTGCTTTAACCATTTGGTTTTTATTGAATTAGTACGTTGGAGCAGTGGTTGCCCTTTTTTAATTTTTTTTAATTTTTATTTATTATGGTGCTGCTTGTGAAATTTGAGAACTTGGAGCGAAGAATCAAAACCTTCGTTTTTAGGGTATGTGAGATTTAGGAACTTGAGCTCATCATTTGAGCTGCTCAAACGTGTTCGTCAAGGACTATATCCAGCTTTTCTATGGACGGCTGCAGTGCTTATGATATGCTAAATTAATAACCCATATTAGAAGATTTTCGGTCCTCAATTTTATCTTATTTTTCAATGCAAACTTTGGCATCCCTCCGGGTGGGCTTGAGTATGAGATTGATTTTGTTTCTTGTTTTTGTTTTCTTTTAACGAACGGATACTATTATATTAAGGTTGTTCAAGATTCAATTCAATCTATCAAAACTGACTGATCAAATCTATCCCAACTCAATTTTAATCGGTTTTGATCTTTTACCATTTGGCACTCGGCGGAAGTAGATTATGGATTTATGGTTGAACATGAAATTTAAAGGGAGCAAGAGTACCCTACTCATACTTCATTATAAATTGTAAATAGGTAAGTACAAACAAATGATATAAAGAAAAACACACTCCAAGTACAAATAGTGATCTCCATCGCCAAGATTCCACAGAAAAAATAATGATCATCTCCACGAACACCCAAATAAAATTGAAAAGAAATGGTAATGAAATATGGGTAGAACTAGAACAGGCCCCAAATCTCTGTAGAAGACTCAAAAACTGGTGAGAGTAGAAGCACAAGAGATAACGAAAAGGAGCAAGGGAACAAAGTGAAGGGGTGCTTTGATGTTGCTTCCATCAGATGTGTTTCCGTTTGTGGATGGAACTGTTTTTGACCCTTCTCCTGCATTCACCCAAAGCTACAACTCAGCATCAAAAGATAGGGGGCATATACATGTCACACGTTATATTTAGACCGAAATTCACAATATAACAACATAACATTCTACACTAATTAGTTACGGAAGATATATACCTGAAGCTGAAGGAATGTCTGAGGCCGAAGGCGAAATTGCAGCTTCTGGTGTAGAAGCATCTGAAGGTGTTTGATTGGAGGGATCTGCAGAGGAACTTGCTGGAGGAGTTGATGGTCCATTGGCACCTGCTACAACAATTTAACTCAAATGTTCTTTTTCTTTTTCTCTATAAAAAACCTTATTGTTAGGTCAATACTTAAACAATTTGGCCTCCTTACCTTGACACTGGCTAGCGGGTGGAGTTTGGACTTTACAGGCACTAGGAAGAGACAGAGCAAGGGTTCGGTTTATGGTGATACCCAATGAGGAGCCGCCACCATTGATCAATGAGCAAAGGCACTGTGGTGATGACTGGACGACATTAGAAAGCTGTGAGCAGCATGAAGATGATGGGTTTGATGAGTTTCCTGTAACATAGCTGAGGCATGGTGCCAGGCTTGCGAGTGCAGTGGTACAGCCTGATTGAGCCATGGCTCCACCCAAAAGCATGGACCCAAGGACCAGGGCTAGAGCCATCTCAATTCCTTTGAATGCCATATCTTCAACTCTACTTGTTGAAAGAATAGTTTCAAAAGTTGGGGAGATGTATATTGTATAATAGATATCCGAGTAGTAAAGTGAAATTTACCCTATGTTGTATATTAGATATCCGGTGTTTCAGCGAGGAAAGGGAAGGGATGAGATGGGATTTATATAGGAAACTTTTTCTTTTCTAAGAGAAATAAATTGGTGTATTTGGGTGGCCAACTTCTACTGAATTGCTGTTTGTTGGCAACCAAAAACTGCTTTTGTGACATAAGAAAAGTGCTATTTTTTCAAATCAATTAATGATTTGCTCCATTTTTAGATTACCTAAACCTTAAATTTGGACCCACTAAAATAACAATTAGTATGTTTAGGCAAAAAAATGAGATAATAAACAAACAACTTATGTTTGAGAGGGACAAATCATATAGACTTTGAATCAAATTTACATAGTTAGAACACCAATCCTCTGCCCCAAAGCTCTGTTCAGAGGATAGCCAATACCTAGCTAGAACTTTCCTCATTCAAGTAAAAGCAAATCCTGCAAGTAAATGATTCGTTCAAGTATGAAAGACGTTAGTTAAATTAGTTGAACTCCAAAACCCACTTCAAAACCACTCTTCTTTAAAATTATTTTCTTTTTCACTATTTTTTTATAAAGAAAAAATTCGGTTTGCGACGAACTATAAACTATCTCCTCAGCTTGAGCCAAACTCAACTAAGTTCTAAGCCTCAGTATTCCATTGAAGCCTAACTCATGGAATTGTTCAAGGCTTTTCGATTGATTACTATCCCAATTACTCTCTTAATCATTTTGCTAACGTCGATTAACGGGCAGATTAGCACGCCATGCACAGCCTCAATGATCAGCAACTTCACCCCATGCATAAATTATATCACTGGGAGCAGCAGCAATGGCACGTCACCACCAACACAGAGCTGTTGCAGTTCGGTAAAGTCGTTATTGGGCACCGGCACAGACTGTGCTTGTCTTCTCATAACTGCCAGTGTCCCGTTCCAACTGCCCATTAACCGAACCCTGGCGCTATCTCTTCCTCGAGCTTGTAAGATGGGGGGCGTCCCATTACAATGCAAAGGTGCTCTGCCACTCACATAATCTTGCAATTTTTCTAATTATAATTTAATCTTAGTGTGACCAATTGAAATATACTTTTAAGCGAATTGTGCGAAATTTCTTTTTAATTGGCAGCTGCTGCTAGTCCCTTAGCAGCTCCAGGTCCTGCCTTACTAGGGCCAACTCCCCCACGAACAGCTTCTTCCCCTTTAAGTCCAAGAGGTAATTGTTTCTTTTCATTTTATTTTTCTGACTTCTGAAGGCATTGGTCAATTTGGTCAAACATTTCTGGTGTGCAGCTTCTAAGGCAGTGGCAGAAGCTCCTGCACCACAATCTGGGACAGCTGATGATCTGCAGCCAACATTTCCACCAGTAGAATCAGAAGCTCCAACAAAATCTACTCCAGGGAGTGGTCGACTGACCCCATCAGCATCTACTCTATCTTATGTTTCCCCACCCTCTCTCCTACTCATAATTTTGGGACTTGTGGTTTATAAGTCCTACTGACAGTTATTGCTGCTACCCTTCTTATGCATATGCCGTTTTGTATGGTATATCACATTCATCAATCTTGTAATAGAAGTGTGTCTATTGAGGTCTATCATTTTGGGATCAATTTTAATATGTGTAAGTTTTATATACATTGTTGGCTTGACTCATTCTCGGTTTCAACATTTAGGGATACGCGAATACCATTCCCTTTTATAATTTTCGGACTTATGGTTTGTAAGTCCTTTTAGTGAAATTTCTACGTGGCTCTATATATGCCTTTTTGTATAGTATACATATGTTCACATCTTGTAATGAAATTTCTGTCTTAAAATCATTTTATATTGCTTTGGGATTGATTTTAATCTCCACTGCGTAAGCTTTATATATATATCGTTGGCTTAGCTCATTCTCGGTTTCAACTTTTGAGATTACACAATTATTATGAAACTGTCTTAAATAATTCTGTGAAATACCACTTTTTGTGGAAAAAAAAAAAGTTTGGGGGCAAAGAAAGGGGCGGAAAGACCGTTTCTTAGTGCAATTTCAGAAGGCATTTGTACACCTCTCCTAACCCTACTCATAGGCAAGAACAATATCAACCACCAGTATTGCCTAAAATAAGCTGTCAAATCCCTATATATATCAACCAAGTCACTGAGAAACATTGAAACAGAGAAGTTGTTAATTAATTAAATAATTATCAAAACAGAAAGTTAAACAAGAAGAAGAGCCAATTAGAGAAGGAAGAATGGCCAAGAAGCTTGTTGCAGTGTTTCTCATGTTGGTGGTGGTTGTTGCAGCACTCCACATTCGGGAGGCTGAGGCAGAAGACGATGATCACAAGGAATACAAGGAGTGCTTCGGCAACTGCTTGAAGGAATGCGAAGACGGCGACGCCCACGGTCAAACTTACTGTGAGATGAGCTGTGACACTGAATGTGCAAGTAAAGAGAGTGCCGGTAAGTTTTCTTCTTCCGTGTTTTATGTTATCAGATAAATGTTTATATCATCAAACTGTAAATTTGGAATACGCGTATCAATCGATATCATACTTAATCGTCAGAACTTACTTGGAAAATGTATGAAATTAAGGTTAATTGTGGGGTTTGCATTGTGCTGCAGAAAGGCTGAAGAATATCAAAGTATGAGCTTGTTGAATATCCAAGGAGCAAGCACTTACAACCACAGAGGAAGAGCGATATACAATAAATTAATTAATGAGCTTTCATTCCACTGATAATGTATTAATTTGTGGAGGAGTTTTTCACATATACATGCAGTTTCCATGAATAGTGTATTAATTCGCAAGATGTAATAAATTGTTTTTTTTTTCTTTTCTTCAACACAAAACTCCGCAATGTTAATTCACTTTGATGAAAATAAAATTGTGAGATGAATTCTTCTTCGTAGTTGGCTAGAGCGGATATGCTCCTCACTATGCACCCGAGTTCGAATTCCCCTCTTCGTAATTTAGATTAATTCAAAATTGATTATTGCTTGTATCAAAACAGAAATATAATGAATGATGGATGTTTGCTTATATTATTATTATTTTTAAAAAAAACACACATTTTATTTCATTCTTATTGATATTCCAAGAAGAGACATACAAATGAAGTGGGAACAAGAACACCTAACAAGGAATTGTGCATGTAAAAAATGACACATTGGTGGCCAGGGCTGTTACGTACTGTGGGTTGTTTTCGGGATCTTTGGACACACATCTTGGGTAGCATTGCAGCTTCTATTTTTGTATTGTAGTTTTCGTTTATGCATTGCAGTTTCCGTTTCTACATTGCAGTTTCCATTTCTGCATCGTAGTTTCCATTTCTGCATCGTAGTTTCCATTTTAGTACTTTCATCTTGGTTCCTCCATTTTGCTTCAATAAAATTAAATTTTGTTTTTGTAGCTGTTTTTGTTTTTGTTTTTGTTTTTTGTTTTTTGTTTTTTGTTTTTATAAATATAATTTTTTTTTTTTTTTTTTTTTTTTTTTTTTTTTTTTTTTTTTTTATTGTTTGTTGTGAATTTAATTTTTTTTTTAAATTTTTTTAAAAACATTGATTGTTTATATAAATATTGTATAACTAAATAAATATTACAAAATCAAGTTTGGTGGTGGTGGTGACAGGTGGCCGGAGGCGGTGGGTGGCAATCAACAGTGGTGGCCGACGGCGATGGCAGTTGGCTAGATATGAACATGTGGCATAATGTGCTTGCTTTAGAAGGAGTGGCATTGTGTGTAATTTTGATATTTTTTTAATGATATTTTTGTAAAATTAGGTGCTACATTTTGATCTTTGGCCTCATGCTAATTAGATAAAATTGTATTTATATCTTCTAAATTAATAAACTATATTGTGTTTTAAAACTAAAGCTCCCTTGTTTTTATAGGGTCGAATTGTGGGTAGGTTTAAAGGGACAATTGCTCCACGTACATAGAAATAAGTATCTGAAGAACAAACCCCCTCAAGCAATGTCTTAATAGTTATTGTTGCACACTCCCACACCAAATGCTTGCCAAAAAGACAGGAAACGACACCGTATCAAAATTATTTGTCCCAAATGTTTTGCTATCTAAGAATTTGGCCCGAAGGAATCGAGCTGGGCCCAACTTCAAGCCCACAGAAATCGTTGTCTTCTTTGGCTCACCTCCCCCTCCTCTAAAACCTCTGATAACTCTGAACTTCGTCTTATTCTTCTTCTGCCTAGCTCTTCTTGGCGAACTTCACAGCCCATACGGACACAAAGTTAACAGTAGGCATTTCGACTTTTACTTTACTTGAGGTTCGAGCTTATTCTTGCTCGCATATTTGTACCTACTTTTCCTGTTTATTTCCTTAGAATAGTATGACTATCAAATGCTTGATAAAATGTCTCAAAGATATTGACTAGTTAGAGCGCATTTGGTTTCGGCTTCCTTTCTTCTTTACTTGGAATGCGACGTTTTTTTGTCATGAACAATTATATCCATCATGAAAATTTGAAGTGTGGTTTTGTTATCACAAGTATAAAATAGCTGTGGTTTTATAGATTTTACGTTAATAGGCAAAAAACCCAAAATCTAGATTAACCCTGGAACCGAAATGAAAATGTGAGTCTTTGAAGGTCATCTTATATTCGATGCACAGTTATTGAAATAAGGAAATGGTGGTGTTACAGAAGTGAAAAGCAAGCAAATGCTTGTGCTTATTTCTCATGCTATGATATTTGATGCGAGTGTGATGCTTATTAGTACTTGATTGCTTGTTCTTATGCCTTGAGATTTGAAGTAAGTGTGATGCTGATCAAACACTGAAATACCACATCTTTTGGTTTTAATATTTGTGCATGGCTTCTGCAGATATCTGTATTTGATAGAAATGGGTTGGAAAGCTGCTGAGAAACTGATTAGGCACTGGAAGGTTCTCAGAGGAGATAATGTCAGGAAGATGAAGATCATTTGCTCTTTGCCTCTTTCTGTATCTACATATATAAGTGAACTATTTTCCAATCTCTTTGCAGGTGATGATAATAAGGGGCAAAGACAAGGGTGATACGGGTATTATCAAGCGAGTCATTCGCTCTCAGAATCGTGTTATTGTGGAAGGAAAAAATCTGGTATCAGTCTAGCCTTATTATTGGTATACTACTCCTTTGATCTGATTTTGTCTTACAATTTCTTGAGCTGTTTATTATATCAATTTTCTTTCTGAGAAAACTTGTTAAGAATCCTTTGGCCACTCAAATCAGATTGATATTGTTGATATTCTATAATATATTATAAATCATGTTTTTGGGCTTGTTGATAGTCTGTAAACAGTTTGGTTATGTATAAAAATATCTTTAATGGTTGAAGCTCTTCGAATGTCCATATGATTTAGGAAATTCTCTATCTTGTGCAATGTATATGTAATGAGTTCCGTCTTGTTGGAAAAATCCATGGGTTTGAACTTCAAATGCAAGACCTTTACACTAAGGGCTGAAAGGATACCATCCAAACAAGAACCATGTAGTATATGATGTTCTGTCAACTACATGAAAAACTTTGATCTATTTGATCCTTATAATTTCAATGTTCAAGGTTTTTGGCAATTCCAACGAATTATGTGGATTTTGTTTGCCGCTGAACAAGTACTTTGTCTTTGCAGGTAAAGAAACATATCAAGCAAGGCCAAGGTCATGAAGGTGGGATATTTACTGTCGAAGCCCCACTTCATGCCTCAAATGTGCAAGTTGTTGATCCAGTGACAGGGTATGGATGCACTCTCAACATTATGTTTTAAAAATCCGTAGTATTTTGTTATTTGTTGATCCTGTGAAAGGGTAGGCAGGCATGCACTCTTTAACCTTGTGTTTTGACACACCTTGGTGTTTTTCTTTGTTTTATTTGTGCAGGAGGGCTTGTAAAGTTGGTGTTAGATATCTTGAGGATGGAACAAAAGTTCGAGTATCTAGAGGAATAGGGGCATCGGGATCTATAATCCCTCGTCCTGAGATCTTGAAGATAAGAACCACTCCAAGACCTACTCTTGGTACTTATCTCAGTCCCGAAAACTATAACTTTCTTGTTGGTACTTGTAAAAGGGCAAAAATAAAATAGGATAATCTCTGTTTGCCATATCTTCTGCTGATAATTTTCATCATAAACTTCGGTTGCAGCTGGTCCAAAGGATACTCCTATGAATGTTGTGTTGGAGAAGACTTATGATGCCAAAATAGGGAAGGGCATGGCTGAACTTTGAGAGAGTTAATTTTCCACTCATTCTATGTCAGATGGAAGATGTTGCAGAAAAAATGGGAGCATATTAGTTCTCATATGTTTGCCAAAAATGATTAAGAATTTCTTGTACCAAACTTGTGCTCTGTTTTTGTTATTTATTTCTTAGGTTCAAGGTCATCAATTTACTTAATTATCTTGTTTCCTTGTTTAAATTTGAGACAGAGTTCATAACTTTGAACCATTTCGGATGTCTACAATAATTCTCTATGTATATCATCGAGAAGTCTGACCAAAAGAAAATAAAATAAAAAACGTAGTGATAAGTCAACAAAAATTGTTTGCTAGCGTTTACATGTCCGTACATGCCATTGCCATGTGAATCACGTGGACACGGCGACTTTTCTACACAGACTCAAATGCAATGCAAGCAAATCAAAACTCCAAACTCCCCCAACCCTTTTGTCGTTCCCATTTAAAGTAATACAAGACAATGACAAGCCTGCATGTTCAGTGCTTGGTAAGTACTTCAAACATTTGACACGTAAATTGGACACTCGTCGCCATGCATGCCCTCGAGGCTTCTTCCCTTATCTTCATGATCTCTTCCTTTTTATAGGGCTCCCCTGCATTCACCATCTTCATCAAGAAATCAAGGAAAATCTGAAACACAAAGCCATGGCGTTTAAAAGTAAGCTTCTTTTGGTTGCCTTTCTCTTGTCTGTTCTGTTTCTGAGTGTATATGCAGCTTCGGCTACGCAAGACCCAGAGCTGAAGCAGTGCAGGCACCAGTGCGAACACCAGCAGGGGTTTGATTCAAAACAGAGGGAACAGTGTGAGCAACGGTGTGACAAATACATCAAGCAGAAGAGGGAGGAAGAGAAACACAGAAGGAAATCAGAAGGAGGAGGAAGCTTTTATCCAATATCAGAGATCGGACGTGCGCAAGAGGAGGAGGAGGAGTTTCAGGGTCGACAACAACAAGACCAAAATCCTTACTTCTTCGAAGATGAGCATTTTGAGACCAGAGTTCAAACAGAGGAAGGCAGATTTCAGCTTCTTCAGAAATTCACTGAAAGGTCGGCTCTTTTGCGCGCCATTGAGAATTATCGAATTGGGTTTCTTGTCACTAAGCCACACGCATTTGTAGCTCCATCCCATTTTGATGCTGATACTGTTCTCTTTGTTTTCCAGGGTAAGTAGCTTACCTGTTTGATAATTGCTCTCTATATAAAAATTTGGGTCTTAATTAATCAACTGTTTTTGTTATTATCTTTGATTAATTTTGAATTTTTTTATGTGAATTAAGGTCGACCAGCCGTTACCATAGTTAGGGGAGAGAAGAGAGAGACCCATAATCTTGAACGTGGAGATCTCTTTAGAATTCCAGCAGGTACCCCTGTTTATATGGTCAACAGAGATGAGAATGAAAAGCTCTTCATTGTCAATTTCATGAAGCCAGTCTCTGTTCCTGGTGAGTACGAGGCATTTTATGCCGCTGGTGGTGAAAATCCAGAATCGTTTTTCAAAGCATTCAGCCCACAAGTACTTCAAGCTGCTTTAAAGGTACGAAGTATTTTGCTTTTTCTTTAATTTGGTAAATTAATCATATTTGTAGTGATAATGATTTTGATTTACTGTAATCAAACAGACGGAGATGAATAAGCTGGAGAGGCTGTTTGGGCAGCAGAGGCAGGGCAGCATAACCAGGGCCTCCAAAGAACAAATTAAGAAACTGAGCCAACAGCATGGCCAAGGTGGAAGCGAAGGCTTCTGGCCTTTCCATGGTGGACAATCATCAAGTGATGCATTCAATCTTTTCAGCAAGCATCCCTCCCAAGCAAACAAATTTGGCCGTCTCTTTGAAGCAGATTTCAACGACTTGAAGCAGCTTCAGGAACTCAACCTCCTCGTCTCCTTCGCCAACATAACCCAAGTAAACAACCCAACTCAAAATCCGAATCAATTCAACAGTTATATGAAATCAATAGCTCAATGAATTATATGTTTGTTTTGTAATATAGGGGGCTATGGTGGGCCCATTCTTCAACTCGAGAGCCACGAAGATCTCTTTTGTGCTAGATGGAGAAGGCTACTTTGAGATGGCATGTCCTCATGTTAGCTCAACCGGAAGACAAGAGCAGCAGCCGCAGCCGCAGCAGAGACAGAAGAGCAGCCCAAGGTACCAGAAAATAAGCGGAAACTTGAGGCCTGGGGTGGTTTTTGTTGCACCAGCTGGTCACCCAATGACAGCCATAGCCTCGAGGAATAGCAACCTGCAAATCATCTGCTTTGAGGTCAATGCTCATGACAACATCAGGGTCCCTCTGGCAGGGAAGAAGAATGTGGTGAGCCAGTTTGACAAGGAAGCCAAAGAGCTGGCTTTCAATGTGCCTGCAAGAGAAGTGGATCGCATCTTCAATAACCAAGACGATGAGTTCTTCTTTGAGGGACCAAATGAACAGCCTGAACATGGACGTGCTTATGCATGAAAAAAAGGGGGGGAGTTGGAGGGCTTTGAAGTTTTTTAGTCTTCTAAGTAGAGGTTTTTGTGAAGCCCTAAGTAGAGGCTGCTGCAGTTTTGTGGTTCTGAGATAATATTGTATATATTAACCTGCTGGTAAGGTGAGAATGTGTCGAGTGTCTACCAATGTAAATTTTGGGTTGTAACCTTAAATAAAGAGAACGACTTTCTGCTAAGTTAACAGCATGTTGTATGTTTTGGTTTGTTTTGCTTTTGCTTGGAAGTTTGTTTTCACAAACATAAAAATTTCATGGATTTGAGTCTTGACTTTGCAATAAGACTTCGCAGACATATCAGTCAATGTGAAATAGAATTTGTTCACAATAAGATGTCCAAGTCACGTTGGTCACAACAAATTTGGATTTCTGCATAATTATATCTGCCCTGCTTGGCTCACCCACACAAAAGAGGAAAAAAAAAAAAAAAAAAAAAAAAAAAAAAAAAAAAATTATTGTATTTCAATGGCTTAAAATTAAAGAAAAGTATATTTTTATTTTGATTTTGATTTGATTTTGATTTTTATTTTTATGCAATTGTGCAACTTGCACAAGCTCATTGTCATGACCATCATCTTAACCCATGTCTCTAAAGAGAAAATTAGGTTTCTCAGACTTTTTTTTTTTTTTTTTTTTTTTCTAACCACCATTATAAACAAGAGAAAAAGAAACTTAATTATACAAAAGAATTTGCTGACGGGGTTTAGTTCAATGGTAAATGACTTTGATTTGTAGACTAATGGTCTCAAGTTCGAAATCACATCGCATGACTTTGATTTGCAGACTAGTGTCTCAAGTTCCAAATCACATTGCATCTTAGTAATGTGTGTGAGAAAACCTCCTATTCCTTCCTGACTTTGACAAAAAAAAAATGACACAAAAGAATTCTATTAATAAAAATGGACCCTTTTCAAAAAAATTAAAATTAAAATGGGCCCTATGATATTTGTCAAAGCAGCCCACCTGTCCATGAATAGCCCCAACGGTATCCTTCTTCTCAAAACCGACCCGCCTCTTTCCATCTTCCCTTCACTCAATTCCTCTCCTCCCTCTCTTAAACGTTAAGATATTTGAATTTCAATTTCTTCTTCTGCATATTTGCATTTCATCTTCTTATCGAACTTGGCGGACATACCAATGCCAAATTAACAGTAAGTTTTTCCACTTTTCGCGTACTTGAGCTTATCCTTGCACGTCCAATAAACCGCACTTCTCCTTGCAACCTCAGTTTGATTATCAACTGCTTGATAAAATGCCTCAACGATATTGGCCGATTACATGCCTTCGGTTACTTGTTTCTGTACTTGGAATTCGGCGCTGTGTTATAAAAAATATATCTTTCAAGAAAAATTGAAGGGTGTTTTTGTTGGTAGTGAGTTGATTGGTAAATGTTTCTGCCTGGATACGATGCTTCATATGAGGAAATTCAACCATCGGACAGCTTCAGTTTGCCCTTCTGTTTTATATCTTGCACATGCTGATGCTAGTTATAGCATAGCTCGGGCCTCTGAATCCCAGCTTCGAGCTTATTCAAATGCCGGGCCTGTTTCTGGGTTCGTTGGCTCTTCTTCTTTGGCCAACTCAAATGTACAAGATGCTATTTTGAGATTTCCAGAACATTTTACACTTAAAGTAAACTTCTTTTCAACTGTGGCGGGAACAATCTTGGTCCATGCTCGAGACCCAGCTAAATTAACCATGGAGATACAAAGTGCAATTGATGAGCACAGACTAAATGATGCATGGAAGTTGCATGAGCTGCATATGCAGATGGAAGGGTTTCTTAGGAAATCTGTTGTCAATAAGCTCTTAACAAGTTTTGTACAAAGCTTTGATGTTCAGTGGCTTGAGAGGGCTTATGGGTTGGTAGAACAGGCTATTGAGAAAAACAGACAGAACTTGTTAGAGAAGGAGACACTAATTTATCTCTCTTTGGGTCTTGCCAAAGCTGGATTACCCATTCCTGCGTCGACTGTTTTGAGAAAGATGGTAGAAATGGAACAGTTTCCGCCTGTTGCTGCCTGGTCTGCTATCTTGGCTCACATATCTCAAACAGCTCAAGGGGCTTACCTTGCTGCTGAGTTGATAATTGAGATTGGTTACTTGTTCCAAGATAATAGGATTGACCCGCGTAAGAAGTCTAATGCACCTTTGATTGCTATGAAGCCGAATACTACTGCTTTCAACATTGCTTTGGCTGGCTGTCTCATGTTTGGGACAACTAGGAAAGCAGAGCAGCTCCTTGACATGATGCCTCGAGTTGGTGTCAAAACTGATGCTAACTTATTGATATTAATGGCACAAATATATGAGAGAAATGGACGAAGAGATGAGCTTAGGAAACTTCAAAGATACATTGATGAATCCCCTAACCTAAGTGATATTCAGTTCCGGCAGTTCTACAATTGCTTGTTGACATGCCATTTGAAATTCAGGGATCTAGATTCTGCATCCAACATTGTCTTGGAAATGCTACGGAAAGCGAAAGAAGCAAGAAATTCTCTTGCATTAGCAACACTGGTATTTGATGCTCCTGGAAGGGGAAATAAGTCCCCTCTTGGATCGGGTTTTGGATCTGGGAAAAGTACAAGCTCTAGAGAATCATATGGTCATATTAGTAGCCCTTTAGTATCTTATGAAGAGTTTTCTATGGATAGAAATTTCTTGAGACTTGAGGCTGAGGCAAAGGAAGTGCTTGGTGTAGTGTTAGCTAAGTTGCAGAGCCAAGTTGAATTGATAACAACAGACCGCGGTATCCTCCAGCCAACTGAAAAAATATTTGTGAAATTAGTCAAGGCCTTCCTAGAAGCGGACAAGACCAAGGATTTGGCAGAGTTTCTTATAAAGGCAGATAAAGAAGATTCCCCAGCTTCCAATGATGATTCTGCCTTGGTTCATGTCATTAATTCATGCATATCACTTGGATGGTTAGATAAAGCACATGACCTTCTTGATGAGATGTGCTTGGCTGGTGTAAGAACTGGTTCTTCTGTATACTCCTCTCTTCTAAAAGCATATTGTGAAGCAAACCAAGCAGGAAACGCAGCATCGCTTTTAAGAGATGCTCGTAAGGGAGGGATCCAGCTAGACTCAAGCTCTTATGAGGCATTGATCCAATCCAGGGTGCTTCAAAATGATACACAGGGAGCCCTCCATTTGTACCAAGAGATGAAAGAGGCGAAGATACCAAGAGCTGGTCATCAGAAGTTTGAAAGGTTGGTAAACGAATGTGCAGGAGGAGGTGGTGAACCTAGGTTGATGGCAAAGCTCTTGCAGGAAATCAAGGAAGGACAGACAATGGATTCCGGGGTTCATGACTGGAACAGCATAATCCATTTTTTCTGCAAGAAGAGATTGATGCAGGATGCAGAGAAAGCTCTGACGAAGATGAGAAGTTTGGGGCATGCCCCGAATGCTCAAACTTTCCATTCTATGGTCACTGGCTATGCTGCTATTGGAGGAAAATATATAGAGGTCACGGAGCTGTGGGGGGAGATGAAGTCTATTGCTTCTGCCACCTCAATGAAATTTGATCAGGAACTCCTGGATTCTGTTCTTTACACATTCGTGAGGGGTGGATTCTTCAGTCGAGCAAATGAAGTGGTGGAAATTATGGAGAAAGGGAAAATGTTCATCGACAAGTACAAGTACCGAACACTTTTCTTGAAGTACCATAGAACAAGTTACAAGGGCAAGGCTCCCAAATTCCAGACAGAATCCCAGCTTAAAAAGAGAGAAGCAGCTTTAGCGTTTAAGAATTGGGTAGGTGTGTGTTGAGGAAACTGTCTTCTTATCTGCTTCATACATGCCTCAGCTTTGATCCAATGAACTTGAGAAGAAGCAGAAGACAATATAGTTCTTGGTTATCTGTGTTAATTAGTTCTTCACCCAGAATGAGAAAAGGCTTGAGTTTATGTTTGGATCATCACCTAGCCTTGTTTGAAGAAACTACAATTTTAAACTAAACTTATTTCTTAATCCACATCATTTCTCATTTGATTGATTGATTTGTTTATTTAACAACCTTAATAGGCGCCACCTCCACGCTTTCCTTTATGTTTACAAGACGTCCACATAGGTGAAGAAGTTATATACATATATATTTAAAATCTTGTTTTTCAGTGGTGGTTTATGAACAAAAATCGACTAGGAGATTTGATGTGAATAAATTCCCAAAGTTACGCATAAGATGACTCAGCCATTACACATCCACCATCAATTATTCATTTAGGAGATGGTAAATTCAAACATTCTGGTGAGTGAAGATTCTTTGTCGATCCTGTTTTTATACCTAAAATATAATATTTTAGGCTTCTATTTACCTAAACCTAAACATTAGTTCTAATTTCTATTTCTAAAATATACTATTTTAGACTTCTATTTTTATTATACCTAAACATTAGTTCGAATTTTCATTTCCACAGATTATAGACGTTTAGAATATTCTTTGTTTAAACAAAAAAACAAAAAACAATTTCCCTAATATAAACTTCCATTATAAAATACTGAACTCAAAATCCTCACAAAAGAATCATTAGAGAATAACTATTTGATCTTGTTAATAACAATCCAAGCTGGCCTAATTTAATTCAGTCCAGGCCCTTATAATATCACCGCGTTACTTTTTTCTGTTTTCTTTTTCTGCTTTTCTGAGTAAAATAATAATTAAATAAATAAAAAACGCGTTGTTGTCAAGAATTCGAGCTTTAGGCGGGTACACATTTTAACACAGTGACGTACCGCAACCATATAAATACACCGCACCATGAAGGAAGCAAAAGCCCCCGCACTTACTCTCTCTCTCTCTCTCTCTCTCTCTCTCTCTCTCAGCTGTTTGTTCCTTACACTCACAAACCTCTCAAAAGCCCCTAATTCGCTTCTCTCTCTTCCCCTCCCAAATCCCTAGCCATCTTCAATGTCCGCCAAACGCTCCCGCATTGTTCACTCGTCGAGCTACGGCGACACCGGCCTCCTTCCGCCGCGGTCGGCCGATTCCTCCGATTCCCGGCTCCACGTCCGTACGGCTTTCGGTAATGGCGCGAAGGCTCTGAAGCCGTCGCCGGAGGCTGTGCAGTCTCCACCGTCGGTTCTGACGATGTCGTCGCCGGAGATTGTGACGATGGGACGCGAAGCGCAGGTCGATAAGTTCCTTGACCACTGCTACTTTTGTCGCCGGAGGCTCCCTCACAATGAGGACGTGTTCATGTGCGGGTAAGGTTTCTTTCCTTATTTATTTCCCTGATTTCTTTTCATTTTGAAAAGAAAAACAAGGAATTAAATTTAAAAGAATACAAATTTGAGTTGTAATTTATAATTCTTCTTTTGTTGTTTGCATTTCATTTGTTTTTCGTTCGCAATTATAAATGTTATGTGAATTATATGTCATTTCACAGTTGTTTCTATTTCCCGTGTCATCAAATTTACTGAAATTTTTGAATTTTGTGTGTTTTTTGACTTGAAATGGTGGCGTGCAGTCCCTTTCGTGCATTTTGTTCCCCAGAGTGCCGTGACCAGCAAGTTGACCTGGACAAGATAGCAGAGCAACCAAAGCAAGTACCTGTTCAACCAGTTAGAACCATGTACAGCATGACCAACAATGTCAATGGATCGAAAGCAACAAGTTAGTCGAGGCTAACTTGCATCGCATGGCTGTCAAATTTTTGAGATTGGCATGCGATTTCGGTTAGAAAAGGGTTGTCTTAGATGCTCAAATTTAGCTTATAATTAGGCTCTGTAAAGTTTGCCTAGTTTTTCTTAGGTTCCCAAATTCTACATTTTGTTATGTTTGTGGTTATGATGAAACCTACTGGTAGTGTAGTGTAGGTTCCCAAATTCTGCATTTTGTTATGTTTTGTGGTCATGATGAAACAGACTGGAGCTTTACCAGAATAGAGTACGGAGTTAAACTTGTGCCACAGTTAGCCTGCCTTCATTTTACCCCTTTTAATATGATTCACTGCTTGTTAACGATTCACTACTTGTCTGCAACTTTTAAATCTTGCAGAGTGTAGTATTGATGTTTGTTTTTCAGTTTTGAATGTCTTGGAAGTAATTTTTTGTCCTGTAATGTGAATGTGGAGAGTTGATTGGTGCACTTGACTTCTTTGTTTACTTATACTCTGTTCACTCTGGCTCTGTTCTCAGTCTAGATCTTCTTGTTAGATCGGGGATCCCGAAATATTCCTCATAGCATTATTAATCCATTCAGTATTAGGCGCTTTTGGTAGCTTTCGTGTTTGAATCAGTAGATAATTTGCACAGGGTGCAGAGGAGAGGAAGCTGCTCCAAAAAGAAATTTATTGGTCTTTATTTTGCCAAGATTGCAGAAAGAAAATGCCCCAAAAAACAAATGAAGGCAGATAACTTTGGGCCTTAATTTAAGAGGTGCGACCTTTTTTAGTTTGGGCCTCATGTCCTTGCTGAGCCCACAGTCCATTTGTGCCACTTCCCATCAGGATTTTAGGGCCCACTGATGTATGGGTTCTGTTGTTTCCCAACAGTGAGGGTCCATATACGTACTCAAAAGAAAACAAACGTCTGGTTTGCAAGTGATTAGGTTGTTGTTGCTTGCACTCAAAAGAAGAAGAAAAAAAAAGTGGGTTGTAAAAATATATAGAGTATTTTCCTTTGTCATCTGCAAAAATTGTAAAAACTTCATGCCAAAATGATTGGCCACGAATGTGATTAAAAACAAGAATTAGAGCCTAATAAAAATGATGGGTGACGTTAATCATGAAGTTAGATGATAATAGACTGATGATCGAGCCTTTTATAGGTGCATCTATTTATTTAATTATTTTCAAAAAGAAACTAGCAAATATTAGTGAATCAGCAAAACTTATGAACAATGTCGGCCATCTGAAAGCAAAGAGAAAGAAGCCAATGGCAAAATGAACACCACACTAACAACACCACACACTCATAGCCATAGACTGAGTATGTCAGTGCATGACCTTTTGAGCCTGAGAGGCAGCAGTTGAAGATCGAAGTTGTACTACTTCTTGATGCAGCCCACAGAAGCCGTACCTAAAAAGCATTGCAAGGCCTATTTCTCAAATCCAACAAACTCTTTCTGCTTCTTTTTCATTGAATTGAAAATTGCAAAAAATAAATGGAAAAAGATATGAACCTCTTCTTCTATATCTTTAAGCCTTGAGTCTCCCTGTGACATACAAATGCAACCAAATATTATATATTTGCTTTCAACTTAGCATATACTTGAAAGCTCAAGACTTGAAGCTGAAATGGTAAACAAACCTTAAGAGTGAACAAAACAGACTGCAAATGATGGATCTTCTTCGTCATGTCATCAACGCTCTTGTAATGTAAGAGTGAACAAAACATACTGCAAATGATGGATCTCCCATGTGTTTCTCCATAAAATCACTTAAAACCACTTAAAGTGATTTTCCAAATAAGTGATTATTGGCCTATTCAGAATCACTCCCAAACGAACCCTTAATCCTCGTGTCAAAAGGTGTATCCTTAGTATTTGAATTACATAACGAATCACATCACATGATTAATAAAATAAAATAAATAAAGCATCCCAAACACTAATAGTGAAAAAGTTGTGACACGTGGAGAACGACATGGCACCATTGATATCCATGTTCTATATCTCCCTGTAAAAGTCGAGGAGTTCTTTTCAGACTGAATTAGTTACAAGGAGACTAGACTGGATTCCCCTCTACTTTTTAATTTTTTTGTACAAGTGACATCCCTAAGCATAAGCATCCTCAGCCACAAGGCTTGTAACAGCTCAAATAATGATATTGCACCTCAAAACAAAAAACAAAAATTGAAGTTGGGGCTAAAAGTTCATGATCGCTTTAGCTACAAAATCCTCTTCTTTATGCTCTCAGCATCTTGGGCATACAACAAACAAATCCCACACTTTTCCACCTCCAACTCCTCCTCCGAATAGGGTTTGTTGGCAAAACCCAGTACGCTGAAGTCAACACAGACCTCAGTAACAAGTTTGTAAAACGCAGTGGGGATTTGAGCTCCCTCTACAACTTCTTCAAATACATTATTATACCACCACACATACACCTGATAGAGCTCTGAGCTTCCAAAATTCGTAAACGGATGCAAAGGATGGTTGATTTCATGGCTTTCACCATTACTAGTTTTGAAGTTGTACTTGCAATTAATCTTCATAAAGAATTCAGCGCCATCCTTGTTGAATGCAATAACAAGCGATAGAGCGAAACCCAAGAATCTGTGCTAAACCAATCAGGAGGAAGCTTGATGTTTATTGAAGATCCCTCACTATGATGGCTGAACCAATTTGGAATTTCATACCCCCAACATTTAATGGCAATGAAATTTTCCTGTAGCATGAATGGACATCTTAGTTATTAAACTCGTGTAAAATTTTCCACAGAAGTGAGTGAGACAGAGTGTGTGCGTGAGGTAGATAGAGAGAGAAACAAAGAAAGAAAGAAAGAGATATAATAGAAACCTTAATCATATCATCATCCTCTGAATCATAATCCCGTGAATCATAATCATCTGAATCATAATCCTGTGAATCATAATCATCTGAATCATAATCATCATCTGAATCGTATGATGCTTGTTCAATTTTTTCTTCTTTGAACTTTGACCACGCAGTTGCCATTCGCATAATTCTGAGCTGTGCATCAACCATTATGTTGCTTCGTGCATTCTGATCCAACTTTGTGCAACTAGAAAATATATATTTCTCATGAAGCCCTGGATAAAATATATATTCGCCCCAACCTTGTGCGAGTGCAGTGCTTGAACTTGAGACTGTCTTCAGTGATGTGCAACCATGTGCTTCAAGACGTTGCAACAATGGGGGGAGCTCTGGTAAAGATTCAAGGCTCTTGCAATCGGTTAAGAAAAGGCGAGACAGGTGAGCAGCGTGTTTGATGCTTGCAGGTATGCTCTTAATGTTGGTCTCTCTCAGATTTAACTCTTGTAATGAGGTTAAGCAGATAAGGCCATCAGGGATTTCTAGTATACTGCACTTAGCGAGGTTTAGTGCTTCCAGAGATACCAATCCGACTCGGTCCACTGAGACGGGAGGCAATTTCTTCAGTTCCGAACAGCCATTAAACCAGAGAGTTTTAAGATTGCTTAAATTGTATATGCTGTTTGGGACAACCTCAAGGTTCTTGCACTTGTGGAGAACTAAATATTTAAGTGCAACTAGATTTCCAACTGATGGCAGTAGCTCTTCAACTGCTGTACCTGATAAATTTAGATTCTCCAGATGTTCCATAGGGTCTGAGATTTTTGGCAAGTGTTTAAAGTTAGAGCAACGACTGAGATCAAGGCTCTCCAAAGATTTCAAATTCCATATGTTCATTGGGAGACTCACAAGGCTTTTGCAAGCGACCAGTTCAATTGTAGTGAGACCAAAGACAAACTTGATTGATGACGGCAATTCTTTTATTCCTGTCTTACTCAAATCTAGCACTGTTGTATTCCTGGGAAGCTCCGGAAACTCGCAAAGAGATTTGCAGCCACATAGACTAAAAGTACCTGACATATTCGGCTTACAACTGCTGCTTGGAAGACTCTTAAGGTCTCTACAATATCTAATATCAAGCTCAGATATTTTTTCGTGAGACCAAACTGATGAAGGCAATTCCTCTATTGCTGTCTTAGATAAATCTAAGAATTCAACATTACATGGCATATCCGGAAGAGTTTTGAGCTTTCTGCACCGCCCAAGTTCAAGATTTGTAAGCTTGTTAAGATATTTAAAATACGAAGGAATTTCAACCAATCTGTTACAGTCATAAAGATCTATCCACTCAATTTTTTGACTCTGAGAGAGATTTGGAACTTCAGTTAGATGATTGGAGGAACGAAGACTGATCACTTTTAAGTTGATAAGATTCTGTAACAAATTAAATAGAAATGAAAAGAATTAACAACGTAGCTTGCAGATTATTACTTTCTAGGCTACATGTTATACAAGAACTAAAATAAGCATATATACCTGGTCTTTATTCCAAAGTTGAGCCCCAACTTCGCTGAACGGCATATGAAGCTCAACAAGATTTTCAGGAGAAAATTTGGATGGCAAAGATTTCAAAGGATATCTCTCCCATTCAAGATAACTAAGAGAATTTGGAAGATCAAGAGAATCGATTAATGTGATGTTCTTGAGAAGAGGGTAATTGACACGTAGCCATCTCAGTCGATACATTTTTTCGAAATTTGCATGATTCAAGTTTAGCTTTTCAATCTTAGACCAGTCAAAGAATATGGCTTGAACAGTTGCAGCTCTCTGACAATCAAGAGCAAAGTGTAAAGGTGAATTAATAATATAAAAAGTTTAATCAAAATCATATTTGTAGGAATAATCTGACTTGTTTATTGTAAATGTGAACATAACATAAACTACGTACCTGGTTATTTGTCAACACATGATAGACATCCTCTGCAATGAACAACCTACTGCGTTTTCCGGGTTCTTCAATACATTGTTCGCGAACAATTGCCCTTCCCATTTCTTGCAGCAAATCATGCATCTCTATCCATCCTTCCCAAATTGATATGAGAGACCTATCAATGAGGATTTTGATTCCGACTTCCCCATAGAAACCACGAATGCATAACATTCTTTTTACATCATCAATATTCTCGTCCTTATGAAAACATGCTATATCAAGAAATATCTCCTTCTCATTTTCTTCTAATCCATCGTAACTTACTCTCAAAGCTTTCGTGATTTCTTCACTTGGAAATCGTTTCAATTTGTTCCATTGATCTTCCCACTCTTGTTTGCTCTTGCAACGAAAGAATGAGGACCCCATAACTTTAAGAAATAATGGAATGCCTTTAACATATTCTACCACCTCTTTTGACAACTCAGTATAATCTGTAGTTGGGGACTTATTTTTGAAAGCATGAGAATGAAAGAGCTGAAGAGCTTCATTGAAACTTAATCCCTCAACCTCGTATATCTTTTCATTATCAACTTTTTCCTCAAGAACGCCTTTATCTCTAGCAGTTATAATGATTCGACTGCCTTGGCAAAACCAATCATGGTCACCAACAAGAACTTCTAGTTGGCTTGAAGCATTCACATCATCAAGAACAATGAGCGCCTTTGTACGCCTGAGCCTAGCTTGAATAGAAGTTTGTCCTACAGACAGAGTGTCGATGGTTATATCTTTGTCCTTTAATATCTTACAAACAAGTTTATTTAGCAACTGATTTAGTCCACCCGTTTGTTCTGATTTCTCCCTAACATTTGCAAGAAAACAACAAGCTTCAAATTTAGAGGACTGCCTGTGAAATACAGCATCCACAAGGGTGGTCTTGCCAATACCAGCCATGCCCCAAATACCTACACAGCAAACACCTGGTGAACTTAAGCACAATAAGGACTCAATTTTCTCAATTTTCCTTTCAATTCCAACCAGGCCCTTTAAATCACTTGACGATTCGCGATTCAATTTGGTCAAATATCTTGGACAACTTTCTCTACAAAATCGGCTGCTGTCCTGGCAAATATCATTATGAAAGACAAACAATAGTAAGTATGAATCAAATGATCACAAGTGGAAATTGATACAAGTTAGAGAGTTGGCTACCCTGTTTTGCTTGAATGATGACACCCAGACATATTGGCTGCTTTCTCCAGAGCAGCCCTCCAGTTGACCACCTCATCCCTACTGCCCTTAAAACGTTTCTTAGGTTGAAGACCTTCAAGTGTATAAGTTCCCTGCTGTTTTCGTACATGTGATGGATCTATGCCATAAAAAATGGGTATAACAATTTGTCCATATCTTTCCTTGCATCCCAGTATATGCTCAAGTTCTTTCAAACACCATGTGGAAGAAGCATAGTTTTCTGAGAAAATGACTACTGAAATCTTTGATTTCTTGATTGCTTCCAGAAGGGCAGGTTTAATGTCGTCTCCTTTCTCCAGTCTGCAATCCATGTAGGTGTCAATTTTCTTCCGAAGTAAAGCCGCGTGAAGATGACTGGTAAAAGTATCGCGTGTGTCTTCACCTCTGAAACTAAGAAACACATCATACTTTTCTTGAAGGGGGGCAGCAAAAGGAGGAGAAGAAGAAGATGATGAATTCATATTCCTATCCACAACCTGCAAACCTGCAAGTCAAAACATGCATTACATGTATCCAAATTGGATGTATATATTGAGAATGAGATATGAGGGATAAAAAAAAACTCAAAATTGGATGTATATATAAATTTGTGGCCTTTGTTGTTTAGAAAGAAAGATAGAAAGCAGTTTGGTTAATTAAGTTGCAGCTGAGGAGCCAATTGCCAGCTTGAGAGAGATAGAGAGAGAGAAAGCTAGAGATAAGTTGCCACTGCCAGCTTGAGAGATTTGTAGCCTCTCTTTTTTAGAAAGAAAGAGAATTGAAAGCAGTTGCTTGCAGCTAGATCACATTTTAGTTTAGCAAATGTACAAAGCTCAAAAACGATCCACGGAAAATAATCAGAGATGGAAAAAGAGAAGAGGAACAATTACTCAAGCACAGTCGGTGGACAAAAATTCAAGCATTCACACTGAAGAAATAAAAAGGGCATATGGGATAATGGGAGTGACTGCACAAACTTTTGCTTTTGAGTTGGAATTTTTCTTGAGTTCAATTCTAGCTAAAGTGACAATAGGCCCCATCGTTTATGCGTTTTACTTTTACGTACAAAGTTGTTCCTTTTCTTACTTTTGGTACATCCATAGGCTGCAAGGCCTACCGGGCATGCTTTAATTTTTGCTTGTGCAGGGACTAACAACAAGTTTGTCTACTGCTAACAGAATCGAGGCATACTATAGAATCCTATTCAGATTTTGAAACTTGTAAATGAAGCTACTGGAACATCTTTTGCTGTTTTTTTTCTTCTTTTTCTCCGATGATTCTTGCCACAAGGTAAAGTCAGGAATGTTTATATGAAAGGAGAGGAAAGGCAAAAGAGGTTTAGGATTTTTACAACTTCTTCAGGCTTTACCTTCTCTTTCATTTTCTCCAATTTCTCTTTGTACCCATTTTTCTTTTCCCTACATGTTCTATGATAAGCCCAACGACGCCCCTGCTTTCTTCACCTCCAAAATTTCAATCTTTTGTAATTGTTTTATAGTGCTGTTGGAAAACTCTTCGATTTTGTTTTGGTACAAAACACGTATATCATTTCAGAAATGCAAACTGAAGAAGGTGCCAATGTTTCACGTTTATGACATATGCCCCTGCAAATTAGCCATCTTTTACCGTCACATATTAAATTAAATTTTAAATGTACAAATAAGAAGTTAGAAGAACCATCCAAACAAGGAATAGAAATGTCAAAATCTATAACAGAAATGCAATATCCAAAGAATGAAAAGCAGTCCAACCAAGAAGAACCATCAATGCATGAATATTGAATGCATAAAGATTTATCAAGTCTCAAGAAGAGCCAAACCAATCAATCTATTGCTAAACCAAACCAGAAATAAATAGTGAGAATTTGAGATTGGGGCCTAAAAACCGAACCTTGTTACGCGAGACCATAGAAACTCCATGAATTTGAATCCATTTTTCTGTAACGATATCAGCCATCTGAAAGCAAAGAGAAAGAAGCCAATGGCAAAATGAACACCACACTAACAAAATCACACACTCATAGCCATAGACTATAGATGGATTGAGTACATCAGTGCATGACCGTTTGAGCCTGAGAGGCAACCGTTGAAGATCCAAGTTGTACTACTTCTTGATGCAGCCCACAGAAGCCGTACCTAAAAGGCATTGCAAAGCCTATTTCTCAAATCCAGCAAACTATTTCTGCTACTTATTCATTGAATTAAAAATTGCAAAAAATAAATTGAAAAAGATATGAACCTCTTCTTCTAGAGCATTAAGCCTTGAGTCGCCCTGTGACATACAAATGCAACCAAATATTATATATTTGCTTTCAATTTAGCATATACTTGAAAGCTCAAGACTTGAAGCTGAAGCCGGAAACAAACCTTAAGAGTGAACAAAACATACTGCAAATGATGGATCTTCTGCTCCATGTCATCAATGCTCTTTGATACAATCGATTGTCTCATTCAGATTTTAAACACTTTATGCTAGAACTGATTCTGCATAACAAAATTAATAATAGATAAGAAGAAAATCATGGGTAACAAATTGAAGGAATTTTTTTTTTATAAAAAATAAAGCTTGAAGTGGGCGTAAATACCTAAGTGGGCGATCTTGAGCTGGAATTGGTGGAGTTGGCAGAGGGAGGAATTGTCGTTGTTGTCGTTGGTGTGCATGTCGTTTGGGAGAGAGGCACACAAGAGAGGAGAACAAGGCGGGAGAGGGAAATAGACTTTAAAGAGTATAACGGCTATACTCGTTTTAATTTTTAATGTATAGCCGCGCGGCTATACTTTTAAACAAAAATTTCTTCATGTTCTGCAGCTAAGTGCTCATCTTATAAGTGGGGCCAAAAAGGAAAGAAATTTCTTACGAAAATAAAATAAAAAAGAAGAAAGCTCCAACTCCACATCATATCTCATTGAAAACTCAATACATTACTGTCCAACAAATTGTTAAATTACTGTGACAAGAAGATGAAATAGGTATGCACAATGCCGGAGGATGATGATAGCTCCCTATAGAAGGTATAAGATAGTTGTTTGTTAAGAAGTTATAAAAATATGGAATGCAGAGTTCTTCACCATATAAAATCAAATTCACCTTGATGCAATCATATCGATGGATAATGCCAAGTATATTAAGCAGCTGTCTTTTGTACTCGTGTATTCGCTTTGTCTACACATCAAACATTGCATCTAAACTAACCTGCAGTTGAAGGTGATAAATTTCATTGTAATCTATTAGACAAAGGAGAAAAGAAGAACAGGATAGAAGTTCTAAGAACTTGTGACCAAACCTTCACACCATTCATTGATTCAATGTACAAATATGAAGCCTAGAGAGTACCATCATCCATTCTTGTTGAAGGTCAGGATCTGCTGCATATGCTCGCAAGCCAGTTAGAAGGTCAACATCACGAATCCAAGCTTCTGTTCCAAGCCATTTTGAGATAAGAGCACACAGGCTAGGATTACTCACCACAATCCAGCGGCGCTGAGAAATCAAATGTCAGTGCATTATCACATACATGCATATAGACTGTATACTGCTAAGAATAATGAGGAATCCCTGATTCATCGATGCATCATAAGAACAACCTTTGAATATGTACAGGAATCTATTCTAAGTTCCACAGCATCATGCATCCAATTAAGTGGTCACCAACGGACATCATCATAGTCAAACATTAATTAAGATATATTAAAGAAAGCTGCAGGAAAGGTTGTTGCATCCCAATTTACTGCTCAACTGGGGTGGTTTAAAAACTTAAAACTCTGTGGAACACTCTGCTTCATAAGCCCTATTTGATAACTATAACAGCACAAACTACAAAGGTGTTTAAAACCCATCTTTCGAGGTGTGTATCTCACCATTCTTCTTCAACCACATAAACAGAATGAATAGTCTAATGAAACTAGCAACTACTTTATAAAAGATGCTATGAACTTTATACCTGGGTAACACCACTTGTCTTGCATTGAAATTTCTGAGGCCACAGCTCATAGAAGTCCTGTGAAAGAGAAGAGGTGTCAGATGACCTAATTTAAGGTATCATAAGAATTTGGATATCTACAACTTTGTCATAAGAGAAGGGAAAATACAACAATGCAAGGAACACATACTACCTTGAATAATTTTGCTTTTAGCAATTCTGAATGTACTTTGGAACATCATAATAGGATTGCAAGAATAAGCACAATGGTGTATGGATTCACTGTAGAATTTACAAAAACTACAGATAATACCAGATGCCAACCACAGTTGGAAGCCCAGAATCATATATCTGCCAAGAATACAATCAAATATACCATGAAATACAATATGGTTTTAAACATACCTTCACAGCACCTTCCTCAATCATTGACATCCAGGATAGCCGATTGTAATATAAACCAATCCTCTTCTTCAACTCTTCCACAAACTTAAAGTTTATTTCATATATAATCTGGAGCAATAAAAACCTTACCACAATGCAGAGCTGGTCCATTGATTTTGAAGGCCCTGTGCAAATATGGATGTCGAGGCCCTATATATACAAGTAGGAAAAAAAAAATCCATATAAAAACAAAAATTTCTGACATGGGAAGAACACATTCGAAAAGAGCTTCCCAGAAAAATTTCTTTAGTCACCATTCCAAATCACAGAGATGATAAATTGATTTTCCAATTTCAATGTGTGGGGGTTTTTTTTGTTCCAGCAGCCTGACGAATGGGCTTGGGCTGCCATAAGAAGAAAACGAACAGAAATTCCCCAAGTATCTGAGTTCAGAAACCAAGCTCCTAAAAGAGTTTTTGAAAGGTTTGATGAAACCTTAGAAAAATAGCCTCAGGTTCTTTTCACCAATAGCCAAATAAACATAAAAGATTGATTAATGGCTTAGCATGAGGAGCTTGTGGCATGGGAGCAAAACCATCATGAGTTTAGCATGAAAAGAGAGAGATAAGCGTGAGTTTCTTACAGTGAACAAAGGGTTAAAGTGGAACAGAGGAAGATTAGACAGATTTCTTTCCTAAGGGGGGAAGAGAACGAACAAAGAAGAGAATTGGGTGGCTTGAGTAAAATTTCCAGTTTGCTTGACAAAGCATGGTCAGGCCTTGGATGGGTTGGTTTTCTAGGTAGCTGATGCTCTCTTTTATAGCCACAAAGAACCCTAATTTCGTCTTAACTTTTCCTCCCCTTTTTCATTGCTCATTTCCACTTTATCTTCTTCGGTGAATTTCTCCCATCCAAGGAGCATAGGTAAGGAACCCTTTGTGGTTCCAAGAGTTTGATGCAACTGGACCTTCCTATAAGGGGGGAGGCGCCACCTGCTTTCCTTATGGGTTTTCAAGATGGAGCTTGCAGAGGAAAGGAGAGATGGAGGGAGTTCTTTGTCCGATGGGTACTCGTCCTTCACGCACAGATTTCTGTTGGTTCCTGCCATGGCTCCTTGTTTGACTGTCTTGGAGTCCTAATCAGAATGGAGCACGACGCTAGGCTTTTCATAAGGCTTTGGGCTGAGCTTGTATGTACAATGTTGGGTCTTTAGCTTGTTATTTCTATCGTTTGATAGGTTTTCGTCAAGCTGCTGAAAGCAGTTTGCTTGTTGCATTTTTAACAAAGTATTTGGATGCTCTAACTAACATAGGATTTCCTAAGCAAACTACTGTATTCTCTAAGACATTGGGTCATGTTCTCTCTCTCATGCTAGCCCATGTGTTTGGGCTCAAGAAATGGGCTTGAGTTTTGGGGCTCCTAAACAGCCCAAAACTTCCATTTCTTGGCTCATCAATGGGCCTCATGAAAGCTTGTTACCATCCATACCACAACCCACTCAAGCAAGCCCCAGGCATTTGCGTGGCTTGGGCCCACTTAAGCTTGTAGCGTGGTTGGGTGTGAAATAATAATTTTCTGCTTAGCATGGCATGTCAATCGGCGTGTTTTAATTTTATCGTCCTTGAATAGAGGCATGATTCTTGACGAGGTCATTATCATGGGCTCGTAGAGTTGGTGCTTATTTCAACTCTTAACATGAGAAATTGCATATTTATTTGGCATGGCATGTGGTCGTGGCTTGTGCAAGCATGAATGAGGAATTTTGCATGCTCCGAACCGAGTCTTTTTCTTAATAAGGCATTATGTTGGGCCGAGAATTTATTTGGGCCCAACCCTGGATTTTTGGGCCTGAACACAATGCTTGAATTCTCATGTGAATAAGGGAGGGAGAAAAGAACTGTGATTTTGGAGAAAGGGCTAAAGCTTGGGTTTTTACAATCCAAAATTTGATGGAAGAGGGTGGTACACTGGTACTGAGGAGAAATGACTTTATTTTGATGAAGGAGAGTGAGAAAGACTTACTGAAAGAGAAAAGAATATTAGAATGGTTTTGCAGCTTGAGAGTTGGGAAGAGAAAAACACAGATTTCAAGCCATAATAAATAAATAAAAAGAAGAGTTGCAGCGTGAGAGTTGGGAAGAGGAAAATGAATTAAATTAGGGCCTCTACTCTCTAAGTTGTAGAATTTGTTGATAATTAATATTCAATTCAATTTTGGTTTTGGTGCCTTGCATGTGGTGTTGTGGGGTGATATTTAATATTTCATTTTTATTTTCATGTTTTAGTTAATTTAATGGGTTAACTTGGAAAAATTTGGAGGCCCCTAAATTTTAGAGGCCCTGTGCAGTCGCACACCTCGCACACCCCATGGGCCGCCTCTGCCACAATGATTTGGGTGACAAAATAATAATCTCATAAAATCATGGGTAACAAATTTTGAAAAAAAAAAATTATTAACATAAAGCTTGAAGTGGGCATAAATCCATACGTGAGAGATCGTGAGCTGGAACTGGTGGAGTTGGCAGAGCGAGGAATTGTCGTCGTTGTCGTTGGTGTGGTGAGGTGAACATGACGTTTGGGAGAGATCCAAGAGAGAAGAGAATAAGGTGGGAGAGGGAAAGAGACTCGGGGATTTTCAGCTTAAACAGTATAGCCGGGCGGCTATACTATTTTAAAAAATAAAAATAAAAATGGTATAGCCGGTTGGCCATACGATTTTAAATATATTCGAATATTTAAATATTATAGCCGCGCGGCTATACAATTTTAAAAATAAAATAAAGTCGTATAGCCGCGCGGCCATACGGTTTAAGCATATAGTATAGCCGCCCGACTATACTATTAAAAAAGGTATAGCCGCGCGGCTATAAAATTTAAAAAATAAAATAAAAATAGTATATCCGATTGGCTATACTGTTTAATAGTGTAGCCGGACGGCTATACTTGTTTAAAAAATAAAATAAAATAGTATATCCGTGCGGCTATACCGTTTTTATTTTTTTTATTTTATAATTTAACAGTATATGCCAATCTCAGCCGCCGCTGTGAACAGCGACGAAGCTGGAGTTGTGGATTACGAGTTCATCGACAACGACTCCAACGATTCCAATGATGTGTCCTCACATCGATACCAGGTGGATTTCTGCTTATTTTATTTTTAATTATGACAGTTTCTCTTTTATTTTCTTATTCTAGTTTCTATAAAATGATTTTGGTTATCTGAATTTTCTTCATTCTGATTCTGGGTTGTGAAAGTCGAGCCTTTTTAGTTGTGAAATGTTAATTTCGCTTAATTTTGATGTTGCGTTTGATCACAAATTTTCTTACTTTTTCCCCGTACTGTGGCAATGTTAATGCTGCTGATTTTGATCTTAGGTTAGGTTTTATTGATTTATCAGAAATGTGAATTTAGTTTGTGTATTGTGCTAATGTTTATCGCGTTTGATCTTGATATTTGGTCTAGTTAAGGTTATAAAAAATCTGAGCCCTTGCTTATATCATGGTAATGTTAATTCTGCTCTGCTATAATTTTGAGATTATTTTGTTGGGACAATGTTAATCGTTCTTGATTTTGACATTTGGGTTAATTTGTCACCTCTGTGACTCCTTTTAAAGGTTGTTCATTGTTCCGTTGAACCCATCAATTTGGTAGCCTGTCTCTTGAAACACTTGGCTCTGGAATATTGAAAATCTGAGCCATATTGCATTATGCGAAGACTTCGACTTATTATTGAGTCTAAAGACGAGACAAATCTGTCAGTTATAGATAGATACTAATTGAGCTTTTCAGGCATGGTAAATTGTGTTTGCTATGAGATTCCAAGTTTTGCGTATTCTGAAAGAAGTTTGTTTTGTTGTGATTTCCTTGCATCTGGTACCTCATGATTAGCACTAAATGAATTAACTGGTGCATGTTAATCATGAACTTAGATGTAAATAGACTGATGATCGAGCCTTTTATAGGTTTATGTGATTGGTGAGGAAGGCTTGAGCTTGCTGGATATCAATACATTGGTGGACCAGTAAGTATGAGTCCGAAATCATTTAAGTTTAAGTACATGATGCTGTTACTTGTACTTTTTCTATTTTATATCCTAGTCTGTGAAATCCAATGACATGTTATTCATTTGGCTAACAACAGCATTGCACAAAACTTGGTGTCATTATTTCCCTTGCATGTGTATCTTCAGTTTCATTTTAAATTTAGGATAAAGCTTAAAAGGTTACCTGTAGTTTAAAAGATCTTCAGGTATAAATAGCAAATTGTTGCTCGAGAGACATAACGAGGTCTACATCTTCTTTGGATGTAAAAGCAAATATTTGGAAACTGAAAGTTCCCCTGGTAATTATTTAGTATGAATGTTGATGCAGTGGATGAAGTAAAGGAGGATCATCACTGCCTGCCCCTCTCCCGGGAACATGCAGTTTGCTCCAGAAAATCTTTTTTTTTTTTCTCTCCCCCCACCAAATAATAATTTTTTGAAAACATCATCTTTTTGTGTGTGCATGCATCTGTTTTAGATTCTTCTTGCCTCAGAAATTATTAGGGCTTCGGTTTAATATTTAAACTCTAATGTCTGAAGGTTTGGATTGAAAAATGGATGCTACATAACTGCCACAATTCACTATATTTTTTTCTTTATTTTTCTATGGACTGTACTTGTGCTCAAATTCGGGCATATATGCAAAACATTGTGTTACAAAGTATTAAATGGAAGGTAATATACATGTTACTATACCAAGTGCCAACACCATATAAACATTATGGTCTTATTATATATGCAGTGCACTTGTTACATGTATTACATTTGGTCTTCTCTGGTGGCCGTTATCATTAATCCATGTTTGTGTGATGGAAGGTATGTAACACTCTGTGTACGTGAAAACCCTGGATGTCTATCATTGCAACAAATCGTGATGCTGTCACTCATCTCAAAGATGCTCAGGAATGGGCAGGTTCATTTCTCTCCTCTCTTGTTGCACTTTGTGTTTTAATTAGCTTATTTTCAACTGTGTTGTGCTGCAAAACATGTAAACATTTTCCTAATTGGAATTTGTTTAAAATTCAGAAGTCATTTGTTAGGGGTAGCGATTTTCACTCCTATTTGTACACTTTGCGCTCACATTTATTTATGCTTTCATCTCCTTGTTTCTGTTCAATATATCAAAGCATAAAATAAGGGAGAGGAGATAGGACTGTGAAAATGACCACCTTTTATTCAATCTTATAAAAAAAACTTATTAGAATTTATTGAACTCGTTAATGTTCAGAATACTGAATCAGATTATCTATGATTTATTTACTGATGCATGGGTTAGTGGTTCCAAACGACTTGATTATATGATACCTAAACTTCTAAAGTTGACTGGGAAATTTTGAATTTCTGGACCTGAATACCTAGCCAAACAGGTTGTTACCGAATTGATGAAGCTACTATAATTTTCTCTCAATAGCTACTATAATTTATACTCAACTTCAGGTGGACCGTGGTGGTTCTATGGTTGGCGTTATCCGTGGATCTATTCAACGTGAGCTGCTGGTTGTGGGAAACCCCTCAACATTTATGATGGACTACTTAGCAAATGAGTAAGTCAAATGCTTTATTTATTGTTCTTCATTGTTTTATCTTACTGTAGATTAATTCTTTAGTTATTGAAGTTAAATTGCTCTATTTGGTTTTCTGACAAACATTAGAGGAGTTTCATCATTGATTCATCTTTTTAATCACTCACTATACTTAGCAACCATTTAGCTTATGTGCCCTGTCTTAAAAGTTAAAAAGACACTCAAAGGCCAAAGGACATGACATAGTCATGAGGTAAACATCAATGATTTTGTAAATACAAGAATGCAATTATTGTAACAGAGTGTACAATTTTCGCGATGTAATTTTGCATCCTAATTAGTAGCTGACATGTACTAAGTCGCTGAACACTTTGACATCTTAAAGAAGTGAACTTCAATGGATCTGATGAAAACTATTGGTCATATAATTGCTGATATTAGTCAGTTGAATTTAATCAATGACAGATTTGGCATCTTGAAGTGAAGTCACAGATTTGCATGGTTGGGATACAGATTAGATACTGATATTCTGTTTGGACAAAATGGTGGTTACAAAACTTTTCTTGTTCTCTCAGGTAACTAAACTAAAGTCTGCATTTTTGGCCCAAGTTTTCTTGAGTTTGTGATGTATTTGAGCTAATTAAGGCGCTTTCCCTTTCTGTCTTATAGGTGTCACGACTTTATCATTGCTTCAGACCTAACAACTCCGTACAACCAGATTTTTACATGAACAAGATTTCAGACTTTTTGTCTCTCAAGGCTGCAACTGTATGATTATTATGTTAACCCTAAAATCAATCTTGGGCGCGTCTGTCATTATTTGTCTCCACCAGTCATACCTCCATGTAATTTTTTTATGTATATTTTACTGGATGTAGGTTTCTGAAACAAAAAGAAACAGAGTACATTAATAAATATAAAAGTTATGCACTTGAGATGTCTGTGCAATTGTTAAACTGGTTGCTAATATATTCCTGCATCTTCTTATTGGCAACCAAACCAGCACGTCTCTGAATTTCTTTTTTTCCTTCTCCTTCTTCTGTATCATTGGCAATTGAGCTTGGACAGGTAGTAGCTCAGGAGGTGTGTTGTTCATTTCATGTCCCAAAAGTCTCTCGGTCTAACCCAACTAGTGGAGCGTGTTATTTGTCTAAGTTGTGAAAATTGAAAATAGTATTTTATTATAATATTATTGGGTTGTTGCTTGCTTGCACTCAAAAGAAAAAAGAAAAAAGAAAACTAGTGGGTTGTAAAAATATATTTTCCTTGTCATCTGCAAAAACTGAAAAACTTGATGCCAAAATGATCAGTCACGAATGTGATTAAAAACAAGAATTAGGTAGAGACAGAGACACAGAGAGAGAGAGAGAGAACATCGGCAGCGTTGCCTTCAAATGGGAAAATTTACGAAACACGAGGGCCTGGCTCAGCCTGGCTGGCTGACTGAAGAAGCTAGAGCCTCCAGGAGTGTTTGCACGTGGAGGAGGAGGAGATGCCAATAAATAAATAAATTAACGATGGGGATGATGATATCACCATGATCACATTATTTTAATCTGTAAATAATTAATTATCCTTGCTGACTGTTTGTCTTTGGATCATTTGTGTTGTGTGTGCCTGAGTCTGACTCACTGACGCCTTGTACAACAAGCAATATCAGCCTTTAATTTTCTCCAAAACCCTAATTAAATACGGTCTAAACCATGACATCACTCACACCTCTATAAATATGAAAAAGGAAAAAAAAATATTTATATCCATTTATTACTTTGGTACCCTCCTCCTCCTCCTGCTGCTGCTGCTGCCTGCCTGCCTGCAAACGCTGCATGCATGCCCAGTAAGCAAGTAGTATATTATTATAAACCCTATCCTATCTCTAGCTTTAGATTTTATTATCTTTCAGAAGTCATCTCCTAGGACGTAACTCAGCATTGCCATTTTCATGTTTAACCCTAATCTTTTGGTCAATCCATTCTCATTCTCAAAATGTAGGGTTTCGGTGGGGCGTCATACACGCCTCACTCACTCTCAATCTGAACCCTCATGCTCTCTGTCTATTTTTGGCATTTTGCTGTCTACAAGTTGGTTTGTATTTGAGTTTTTTTCTTTTTGCCTTGTAATTATAAATCAATAGTAGTTTAGTTTGGTGATGGCGTGGGGGATCATCACAAGGTTTTTTTCAGGTCACAGAGCTTTGACTGGGGGGTGCTTTTGTTCTAATAAAATAAAATAAACACACCTCACTTACTCTCAATCTGAACCCTCGTGGCTATCTTCAAGCGTGCGGCAGTAGTGTCAGATTTTTCATTGGGTTTGAATCGGCACCTTTCTGGGACCAACCTCAACGTTTTACAAATTTTTCATTTTAAAATTTTTCAAACCCCTCAAAAGGCAACCGGAAGAACACTGAAGGAACACTTTCACTCTGAATCTGATACGATTAAAGTGATTCAAATATATATATATATATGTCATCATTGAAGATTTGTATGTTTAAAGGAGAAGCATATATATAGCTAGGACCACATGCAGCATGCAGCATGCAGCATGAGTAAGTACATGATTGAAATTGTTGCACCAGGCTTATTGACCATGACATAACACTGAATTCACATCATATATATATATATATATGTACCAAAATCATAATCATGTAGATGCTGCAAATGAAAGATGAACGTAGATATTGTGGCTCATAGATTAGCTCGTTTTGTTTTATATATCATGAGTGTTTTAATTGAGGATTTCTTGTAATGTTGGGAGTTTTCCTTCAATAAAATCGTTTTTCCTATAAAGTTTTAGTTGAGGATTTCTTGTAATGTTGGGAGTTTTCCTTCAATAAAATCGTTTTTCCTATAAAGATGAAAATTAAAACACATGAATAGCAAAACCAAGAAACAAGTAGGGTCGAAAGTCCTCATTACAAAAACTCCTCCAAAATTTTGAGGCCCCACTCTCATCCACCACCATACTTTAGCAAAACGAAACAATCATTTCATCGGACAGGATGTATGACGTCACGTGAGGGTCACGTGCCAGAGGACCCCTGCCACGTCAGTGATCAGTCACCCATGCCCGAGAGAGAGAGAGAGAGAGAGAGAGATAGAGACTCCGTCCGTACCAGTGTTCCGGGGTGGAATTAAATGAGCCTGGAGCTGGCGAGGTTCGGGTCCTCCAAGGCTGACGTGAGACTGTCTGTCTTGTTCAAAGCTCCACCAATAAGAATTAGACACGTGGGCTGAAAGTATGTTGACAGTTCACGTCACGCCAAGCATTACATATCTAAAATAAGAAAGAGACAAATATATTTGCACCTAACCTAATCTAGCTAATTACAAATATAATTATAGAATAAATCAAATTATTGAAGGCAATCAGACAATTAATTACGTTATTAAAAATTAAATTAAATTAAAAGAAGAGGCTAGAGATCTCTCTGTGGTATAGTATTGGTTTGGTTGTGTGGGAAGGTGAGCCATTAGCCTTCACTTTTTGGTCTTTAGACCTTCCACAAATCTATCTAGATTATTGTTTGCTTCATAAAACACAAACCAAACCTCACCCCACTTGGATTTCTTGCCTCCCCCTCTTTACTCTTACCTCAATCCAAAGCTCATTAATTAAAGCATAATGACTATACTTTATATGTTAGTAGTTCTCTAAACACGACACTCTTACACAACAAACGTGTAGATAAGTCAATTGGTCATTACGGTGTGTCCACCTCATTACACTCGAGTTCAAATCCTAATTGTCAAATATATCTCCTTTATTCATTTTGAATGCAAAAGCAGAAATTCTGGGCAAGGTATTTGATAATCAACAAGCAAACCTCAGAAAGTTGATCATCAAGGATGGGCCCCGCAACACATACCCACTGGCCATGCACTGCATTGCTTATGCGTGCAGCTAATGCACAACTTTGTCTTTTGAAGTTAGCAATTCCTCGAGATATGTGCAAAAGTGGCATATCGACTTTGCTGTTTTATTTTTTCCTTTTCTTTTTAAGTTTGGATACAATTGAACTCTTTGTATGTATTCGAACTCGAATGTAAGAAGACGGTATTTGCACAAATATGCATACCTCAAATATTTCTTTAAACAAAATTAATTCGATTAGAAGTGGACTGGAATTATATTAAACATACATCGATCCAACTCATTCAAATAAAATTTTGGATAATCATTTTAGTGCCGGTAATAATAAGGGAATTCACAATGTAATTATGACTAATTTATTTACTTTCAAAAGTGGACGTAGAAACAGAACTTTCCTGTCAAAAAGAGAGAAAGTGAAGAAGAATCAGAACAGAAGAGCAGGGAATCTCTCAATTGAACTTGAATGATGTGTCCAAGTCGACAAATCCTGTGGGCCTCTCTATTGCCACATGGCCAGAATTTGTACCCACATTTTTGTCGCCTCGAGAGACCTCCTTTTTATAAATAAATTCCCCGCCCTCCACCCATCCGCCACGTGTCCCCCGTCTTTTAAACGGACCCCGTCAACCTAGCAAGACCCGTACAAAAACCGCGGAAAAATTTACCCAATTCGCGTGCGCCTTACGCTCCAGTAATTCACGCCAATCCTCGGCCCGTATGATTGGGTGGAGACACCGAATCTAGTCATCGGGAGCGTGATGCACGCGCTAACGGAGCAACTGAGGGAGGAAAATAAAGTAAAAGGTTAATGAGCACGGAAAACCAGCGAAGACGGAGACGGGTCTTGGTGTTTGGGAAGAAAGGCCGTTTTCAAGCGCGCGGTTTTCAGTTGAATTTTAACCTTTTTCACCATTGCGTAAAAATGGAGCAGCACTTTCAACACTATAACAAAGTTTGATGTGAAAAAATGGCAGGTACTCCTAGTGGTCTACAAGTATTTATTTTATTTTAAATATTATTTTTCTTGTGGCACTGACTGAAGAAGTACCTATTAATTTCTTTCTTGGAGTACGCATTCATGTAGTGTCTGATTTTCCACTTTTTTCAGTAGTGTCTGCCCCAACACACACCATGAAATTGCTCCTCCATGTATAATCTATAAATCTCTCTAAATAAAGCATTGTTCAATATGAATACGATTCATCTTTTAGTTCCACATCTCTCTTAATTTCATTCTCGCTATTCATCAAATGTAAAATTTACGAACAAAAATCACTTCCGTGTGCGTGGACAACTGACCGTTGTAGTGCTTATAACTCGAATAATATTGAATGGGATTTAACTATTTTGGTTTGATTTTGGTTTTGGTTTTGATGGAATTGAATTTCTGACTTACTGCAATTCAAATTCTATTATGAATACGTGTTGGTACTAGCGTGGGTTGTTGTTGGTCAATAAATTGCACCCATCTTTGTACACAATTGACCCCCCCACAAAAAGAGAGTACATTACTTCATACATTTTTCAGCATGGGCAGTTCAAGTTGGTCTCTATGCTTTCAAGACAAGTTTTTATCAATTAGTTTAATTTATTGCTTTTTTGTTAGATTTGATGTAGGGTTTTAATTCTTGCCGCTGAAAAAAAAGTGGGTTGTTTTTGTTCTTTGATTGCTTTGCAGATGCAGACAAGATTGCTCTTTGATTGCAATTTGCATTGAGAAGACTGAGGAATATGTTATAGGTTTAGGGGAGCCCACGTCTATAGGTTTTGCCCTCACGAACCAATTTGTTTATTTCCATTTTGGTGCAAACACACAAACCAAAGATTGGTGAAGAACTTGAGTAAAACTAAATTTTATTTATTTATTTGTGTAGGCAAAATCATTTGCAGCAACAAGCAAAGAAAACTTTATATCAATCAGATGTTCCAACTACCCTTTTTTTCTTTCACCAGCAATGAGTATCGATCACATCTCACTTCTTTTCTCTATCCAGTACGACAAAAACAGAAATGAATAAAAAAAAACACTAAGCAACACTGTTGATTTGCTCCTCTACTTTTTTCTTTTTTTTTAAATATTTATAATCCACTGGACACTTCACTGATTTTATCTAATTTTTTATTCAAAAAGAATTGTCAACAAATTTGATGTCAAATCAACTTGGCGCCTCTAAATGGATCAGCTCAGCTCATCCTACAAAAACCACAACTGTAGTCAGTTATGATTCTTATGAATGGATAAGTTTAGGGTTCTTTTTTACAGGTCATAGAAACCAAACAAAAGTTTTGTAATTTAATTCTTAATCTGACCTCATTACCAAGATCACTACTAAAAACCATTGTGTCAGAAAGTTCCAAGTTTGCCAATTGGGATGAAAAGAATTGAAACCTGCAAACATGTGGGGTAAAAGTTATCAACAGAATCACATAAGTTTTGTACCTGCTGTGTCATGAGGGAAGGTATGGAGAGAATTGGACAAAAGAATGTAGGAAGAAGAATTGCAGCCAAACTGAGAAAAGGAAAGAAAGTGAGAGGCCAACCTTCTTTTGGATTGTGGGCAACAGACTGTCTTTATCACCATCATGGCAGAGTTTTCTTTGCCGCTGTGCCTACTTGCAAATTGGGGACCAAAGATTCACTGATAAGAGCAAGAACAAGACAAAGAAATCTTCTCAACAATAAACTTTAATGGGAAAGAAGACGTGTTTTATGGCCATGCTTTCAAAAACTATGCACAGTACATATTCTATCTTTTCATGCACGACTATGAAGTCAACCGTGCCTTAATGGACTAAAGAATCCAACTTTTTCATGACAGCAACATTATTTTATATGGTAGTAATGACAAAAGATCATTTTTAATGTGAGGAAACAAGGCAAAATTTACCTAACTGATCCAGGAGGTCAAACGGGGCTTGGAATTCCAGGAAAAATTTGTACTTCACTAATAGCATTTTTGAATCTGTAGGAATTCCTGTTTACAGCCCGTGAAAATTTGATTTAGTTATAGATAAATTCAACCGCAAAAATATGCAATGAATGGAGAAGACAGAGGCGCATTCCACATTTTAGAATATTACCTGAAGTAATGTAACAGTGCATTAAATTCTGCTTCAGTTGTCCTGAGCTGAGCATACTGGACAGAAAGGGAAGGCCAGCCTTCAATAGAAATTGAGGTCAGTGTTTCTGTATCCATGCAAGTGTGGTAACAGCTCCTCTACCTCAATTCTGGAACTGGAACAACTCATGCTTTTCTTGATTCGGTTACGGTTAATAGACTCAACCTCGGCCAGAAATACGCTGTAAACTGGCCTATGATCTGAGAACCTTGACTCCCCACGAACATAAGACAATTGATAAATGCCTCTTCCGTGCCATAATATACGATCACACCTTCACACGCAGATAGCAAGTTTAGATTTTCATATAATCACAAAAACTAAATGCTTTCATAGTTATGTTACAATAAAATGCCTGATAACTTTTCCATTTTCGCAGATGTAAGAGGTTTGTTCTTACCATGCTGGAGTTCTTCGCTTCTCCTTGGCGTGCCTATCATCACCTGCATACCTATCTGAATTATTTAAATATTTGTATGTCGGAGGGAAATATATCTTTCCTTCACTCCATCCCTCAAAGACACGTCCTCGTCTTTGCTCTATCCTCAGCTGAGAGTATAAACCATATAAATTTCAGATACAAGAAATTCTAAAGTAAGTCAAATAAAGACCATAACTCTTTTTTCTTTCCTTTTCTTTTTGGCCCCAAGGGGGAACACAAGAATAACACATTTGAAAGAAAAGCACAATGCTTGTAGGGGAATAGGTAACATGCCTGGTCATTCTCTAACAATGCCCTCCAGTTGCGCATCTCAACAAGAGCTTTTGCAGAGCGGTAAGAAAGGGCAATGCGATAATTTAAATCCCCAAGCCAAATGATTCGACTGCAGAAGGAAAATAAGATTTCAAACTTTTGCACAGTAAGGCAAGTTTCGTAACAGAATTTCAACTTCAATAATCCAAGAGAAAGAACAGCGAGACTAGACAAGCATATAAAAGACTTACAAAAGCAAATATTACAAAAATTGGACAAAGGGAGGACTTACTCATGCTCTAGTATTGTCTGAGGAGAGTTTTCATCTCCCATGCCATGAACCCTGGGAAACCTTGTCTTCCTCAGGATCTCCATGACATCAGAATTTCTTCGAAGTTCATCTCCTTCCTTCTGGCCAGAGGTCAGATGACTACAGATGAAGCAAAACCTTGTTTGGTGCAAAGACATGCTAATGGAAATTGAACCCTGGAAAACTCAAGAGAATAAGATTCTGTGTTTTCTTCATCTTGCTCTGAAGTTAGACATATATTAGAAAGATTTGTACCTTATTTCCAAGATAGCCCATTAATCCTCTTCCAACACAAGACACTTTCATATTGCGGACATCATCTCTAAGATCACTTTTTACCCATACTGTCAAAAATATACCAACCATTTGTTTGCTGGCAACCAAGCAGTATCTTGAGTTCCCTGGCTGTCTATCTCTATCCTCCAATGAGAAAGACCCACTGTTGGACATTGGTGAATACTGTGTGACAACAGGTGAATCACCAGGTCCATTCTCATCGTCAGAGGAACCCCATCTGTAATTGGGGTCATAATCACTTGGTCTGTGCCCAAACATAACCCGATCACAAACACTGAATCGTCGATCAAGTCGGGGTTGCGGCATTGACATGTCATTGTCCATTCTCATGCTGCGGCTCAAGGACTGAAAGGACCTGCGGTGAAAGAAAGAGGAAGCCTTCTGCTTTGTTGATCCTTCAAAGTCTGCATCCAATTCTACAATTGGATCAGGAATTGGTGAAGGTGTATGGCAACCACCACTTGTTCCAGGAAGATTATTTAGAGTCTTCCTTATAAGAGCTAGCCACTTTTAGCTGGACCGTTATCTTCTGTGCCCAAACATTGCCAGCATTCAAAGGAACTATTTCTTGAAACCTGGAAACCAAAAGGATTGAGGAGGATTTTGTTACCACAACAAATGTTGCATATATTGGAGAGAACATATCTTGATCTGCAGAACATACCCAAGAACATAAATATCAGCAGGAGGAGAGGTGTGGAGCCAATCTTCAAGATTCAGACAACTTGGAGGAGATTTTCCAGCCACATTCCATGTAGCTACAAAGATCCTGTGCCCACACGGAAAGGAAAATACAAATAAAACCAACTGTTGCAGAGAAACCCAATACATATTACATAGAAGAGAAGGCTTCACCGAAAACATTTGGTCTAAATCTTTTCATCCAGAAAGAAAAAGTGCTTACAAGACAATGCTTAAGAAAGACGTACCTATAATTGTGTACATCTGTAACTTGTGATGCGTCCATGTCAATCTTACCCCTTCGGACTCTATCAGAGTGCCTCTTACTTAATCTTTCTGTATATTTAGTTGGAGTTTCAGAGGGATTAGTCCAAATTAAAAATTGGCTAGAAATTAGAAGGCTTTGAAAAAGCATAATTTTATTTTGTTTGATGCTATACTAATGGGGGTTAAGAATGGTGTGGTCCAAAGCAATACTGCTCTGCCTGATACTGAACCTGTTTTGCTTTTCTTGATTGTGCATGCCTCCCTCTCTGAATAGGTGTTCCTCCACTCTTCATCACCACCTGAAAAAGAAAACCCATAAAGTTGTTAAAGCCGCGCTCTTTCCACTGTTAATGAATCAAGAGCACACATTCAAACACCACAAGAAAACAAAAATAAAACAATCAGAACATTTCAGATTACCAAAAAATAATAATATTAATAATAAAAGAAAGAATTTCAGTAGGAGGAAGAAATAGAAAACAAAGATCTTGAACTGCAAATAGAGATAGAAGCAGCAGACCCCATTCAAACCAAAGTTTTTGTACCAAACTAGCAGTGATGCAGTGTAGAACAATGGTAGTGTGTATCAGGGTATAGAAGAATCTAAAACAGTTCAGCTAACAAGTTGCAGAGAAATCATATTTCTGATCTTGCTAAAAAATCCAAGATTGCCTAATCCAGAATCCCAAATTGACACCCAAATCATGCATGTATACGAGACCAAGAGATAGGCCAATGACCTCTATAAACGGCGTCGTCTGCGTCAAAGTCCTCGGCTTTGCTCTTAATATTGAACCACTTCTTGACCAGTGTCTTGGGCCATGAAAGCTTCACCAAGAACACAGAGTCAGCAATCTTAGAACAAAAATGCACACAAAATCAGACAAGTTCTGGCATTTATCAAACCTTGCTTTTCTTGGAATTCCCATCTCTCATTGTTTCACTGCTTCATAAGGCTATCTGGATTTACAGAAATAATGGCCAATTTCAGCTCCGTGTGACCAACACTTTCTATTTCCTTTTACAAATGAATGCGGAGGAAGAAGAAGAATATGAACAAAGTTAAAACTGAGGAACCAAAAAGGTTCAAGCTCTGGTTTTGCGCTAAAAACAATGGGAAAAGCTCACTGATTTTCTTAGGAGAAGAACAGAATAAATGGGTAATCCCCTGTTTTCTCAAGTAATGAAGAAAAACCAAGTGGGAGAACAAGGAAAAGTCCAGTGCCTGGGCATTTTAGTTTCCGAGCTTCCAAACACAAGGTAAAAATTCAAAATACCCAGTTGGGTACTTTTCTCTTTGCACTTCCCTCTTCTGTGTTTGGCAGAGAGAAGAAACAGAGGAAACTCAAACGGAAAGATACAGGAAAGGACAGCCCTCTATTGGTAGAAGACTATGATGAGATCCTGAGGAAACAAGAAGACAATGCAGGATTCATAGAGAGAGAGAGAGAGAGAGAGAGAGAGAGAGAGAGTGTTGTGTGCGTGTTTATGTGTTTATGTGTGTGGTGTTGTCTCTGGTAAAAAAACCTCGTTATGGGTACAGAGCAAAGTATCGAATTTGAAGAGAGAATAAAGTGAGTGTATAAGTGAGGAAGGAGGAGAGAGAGCTTGGCTCTCTGTGTCTGAGGCTTTTTACCCCAAAATCCAAGGCCAGGCCAGCCCTTTGCTTGGGGACTTGGGGAGGGGCACTGAGAGCTTTGGATTATATTGGTCACCCACTCACACCCAACACACTCTCTCTCTCTCACTGGCAACCCTTTCTCTCTCTAAAATTTCTGCCCACGGTCAGCAAAGTTAGGTTTGATCTAATGCCCAAGCAGCAGCAGGACTTGTACCCACTCCTCCATTTGGTCTTCTACTAGTTAAAAAAGCAGTTAAAAGAACCCCTGCAAAAAAATTTAAATAAATAAATAAAAGGAATATTGCATTTGGGAGTTTGTTTCCCTTTCTGTGTTTCTTCTTTGAAATTTATATTTTTTCTGATTTTAATCTTTTGGTATGTGACAGAGTGACTAGGTCTACTTGGTTGGTAAACCTTTTAAAATATGTGATTGTGTTTTGCAGATTTGCTTGGAATGTTTGGAGGAAAATTTTTGTATAGGTCAAGACTGTTCCCCACCAATGTGGGTTTTCGTGCTTCCTTTGAGGCATCCATAGCCATAGGTTTTTATAGGGTTTCATAGATTGGATTTTTGTAGCAAAAGGGCTGTTTCTCCGATGGATCCTCATTGCTGAGGGGAGATTGGGAGAATGTTTGTGGTCCAACTTAAGAAGCATTGCATGTATCTCCTCAAAACCTTCAATGGTTGCTTTTGAGCTCAACAACTGTTATGCAAAATTGAGGCTTTTTTGACTCCATCAATACTTGTGTCCATGAGGACCAAGGCAATTGCCCCAATTTTTGGCGTCTCAGTTTTGGTAATTTCAATTTGCAATTTGCTCACATTCACATATTTCATACATGGATAAACGTAGAATTTGTGTCTGGGAAAATGCCCTTGTCTGTAACATAGGATTGGTAGGATCTGGTTTTTTCATTGATATCAAGCCCTGTGCATTTTTGCAGCCCACACAACCAGGAAGCACAAATCACACAAGTAACCAAACCATTTTCACATCTCCCAGATTACACAAAGATAGGATCTTGTTAGGCCATTGAGGGTCCCTAGTCCTAGCTTAACTCAATCCTAAATAAACCCACGCGATCTCCTAGGCTTTCGCGCGTTAAGTATCTAATTATCGTTGTTTAATACCTAGCTTGAACAAAGTAATTTCTTGGATTAAGCTCTCCGGGCTTGATTTCTTTAATTGACTAATCTTAATCACACATGCTACATGTGGGAGACTGTGTCTACTTCCCTTATCATACTCTTAATTGTTCACATTTCAAGGCTCTTTGCATCAATTAGCATATTCAAGGATTAATTTACTAGGCTAAACAGGCAAATGCCAAATGGGAATCCCTTACAAACCCCATTCAATCCACTTCCCTAGTGAAGCTTCCACTACCATCACAGCCAACCAGTCCCCAATATATGTTGTCAAAGACTTTTCTAAAGACATATAGCTGTCATACGAAAGTCTCCCTTTTACACCAATGTGGCATTTGGCATATTGTCATGTTCAATGTATTGATATATGTGGTTCACCATCAAACTTAACACCTGCTGATCTTCGATTGTACCACAAAGTTAACAAATTATGAACGATTAACTTTCATCATATTTCGATGATGAAAACATTTTTCTTAAGCAAGTAGAGCACATATATAATTCACTCTGGTGACTGTAGGAGCCTAAGTTTGGCTAATGCATGTCACAATGGCAGCACCCTGGGATTGGTACAATAGCATGAGAAAGAGTAATGCCAAATTTATGAAAGAGTTATGGGCTAAAGGTCATAAGAAGGGACATGCTACCCTACAAACTCGATCAAATGCTCTTTTTTTATTAGTGAGAACTGTTTCCACACAAATTTGTTTAGCAAAGTGGGATCTTAGAGGACACCATATAATTGGATTCAGTTCATGATATTATGAATGTAAAATATGATTCCCCTATCTCCTTTATTGTACAAGACTTGTACCTTATCCATTAGCAAAATGCGACGTGGGACATCAACTGCAAACTTCATATTATTAGAGAAAACTTGGTCAAATTTTACATCAAAAAATCGATACCAAGGAATCTCTCTCCCTCAATCTGATGTCCCACCATCAAAATCCCCTGTTTTTGAAAATTTGGTCACTTTGGCAAATACCAAAGAAATAGATCAAGTTGTGATTCATATTTTTACAATATTTTCTTCAATGATGAAACGTACGAGGTCTAAAGTTTAACTCTAACGGTGAATATAAAATAAATGCTCAATCGTTGAAATTATAAGTCATTCACGAGAAGTAACTTCTCAAAAATACTAAAGAAACACAAAAGAAGTAATTTCTCATCTATAAAATAAATGGATATTGGTTTTAACTCTAAAGAAAGAACACAGTATTTCAACTGGTGTTAGGATCATGAAGAAGAAAAAAAATCATAGACAGACAAACAACGAGGCAGTCAAAGGATGATCTTTGATTTGTACTTTGGGCAAAGTATCTTCTTCTCTTAGTGAGAACATGATTTTTCATTCGGTTTCTTTTGCTTTATCAGCTTTAGAAACCTCTTCTAAAACCACCCCCTCTTCTCTTTTGCCCAAACAGTTTTTTTCTCATAACAAAGTTCCAAATTTAACGTGTCAATTTTGGCTTTGGGTTTTTTTTTTTTTTTTTTTTTTTTTTTTTATTTTTTTTTTTTTTTTCTTTGTGTATGGTGCTTTGTTGTTGGGTTTTGTTTTCTATGGTCTATTTTTTTTTTCTCCGTCTGCCAAAACAGAAAGAGGCATTTCCAAAGCACCTCTGGGTTTGGGCCTCAAGTACTTGGTGATGTGGCTTCTGATGTAGACTCTCTGCCCTTCCATTCTCCGACATGTATGTGTATGTATACTGTGTATGACCACATAAACGTATTTCAAAAGTTACTGGTTTTTATACTCAAAAATAAAATTTTGCCCAAGTATAAAGGCTCGAAGCCCAACCCTAAGCTTTTACATGGAGGAGGATTTTATGAGCCCAATTTATAACACTCAACAATTTTTTTTCCTAACAAATAGGACCCTTCGCCAATTTAAGAGTTACAAGAGTGACTTGTGGTTCTTGTAGTACAACGTTCCCAAGGGGATATCCATTAATATTTCACTCAAAAAATTGTAAACTAGAAGAAATTGACTTGTTGATATTGATGTGAAGTTTTTCACTTTTGGGTGGGAAAACCCACATTGCTTTGTATTAAATTTGCATCCACTTTAGTGTCGCGGAGAAGATCTTGTCACTAGTACTGTCTTTGCTTCCCCATTTCATTTCCCTAGCTTTAATCACCTCACCATCCATGCTGTTGCTTGTTGCCCATCAAATCTTTGAGGTCTTTGTCTATTCTTTCATCATTTCTTCATTTTGTCTTCCTCTCCCAGCCTTTTTAATAATGGAAATGGTAGTTCCAGCCATGAAAGAGGTGAGACCGTACTTTGACAAATGTGGGAGCAAAGTGGTCTTGTAGATGAGAGAGACTTTCATGCAACGAAGAGAGCAATCTTGGGTCAATAACGCAATGACAAGTAGGATAACTTTTCCACGTTAGTTTTTCTGCTTGTAAACATTCCCATTTTCTTGACCATCTTTGTATATAAAGACATACATCTATGTCTCCACTAATTCCCAAACGAATGTTAATTGCTTAGCCATAAATGTATGCATCGAATAGATGAATTATTTTATACGTTAGTGTAGAGTTGGAGTCAACATCGCTTCCAAATTTGTGATTAATTGTTTTCTGTGGTTGGTTGGTCATTTCTTCAGAAACCAATGTACGGAAAAACCTCATCGCGTGAAAGATGAAAACTTATCAAAAACCAAGGACACTTCACTTGGGTTTTGAACTCAAACAGAGAAAAACAGAGGAGGATGGAATAAAGAAGAAAAAGAAGAAAGAGGGATGTTATTGGTTAACAATACCCATAGCCACACTTGTCCAAATTACAGACTCACAAATTGCAAAACCCAACTTATACAAATCAAAACAAAAAGCCCATTTAATCAAGATTCAATTTGAATTCTATATTTATTTGCATGGAGGAACGACATTGTAAACTTTTCGCGCCAACCTCATGCAATCCAACCAATGCAAAATCTCCACATTGGGGTCCCTCTCAACGACAACATCCGACGCAGTGATCTGCGTAACGCCTCTATAGCTCGTGATCTTCCCGCGCACCCTGGCAACCACTCCGAGCTTAATCTCCGCAGCGAAGTGCTGCGCCGTTTGGGCAATAAGTCGAACATCTGCCGGGTTACGGCGCGAAAAGTAGGGGGAAGAGAGCTGGTTGAGCCAAAGGATGCAGTTGACGCAGCCGGTGCCGTCGTCGATAGTAAAGCGGAGGAACTTGTTGGGTTTGAGGTCACGGGACGTGACGGTGCCCACTGTCTCGGCGCGGGAAAGGAGAGCGCCATTGCGAGAGAAGGAAACTGGGTCTGAGGAAGAGGAGGGGGTTGAGGTTTGGGTGAGAGTGAGGAGGTCGAAGGCTAAGAGTTTTACATGGGTGTTGTGAAGTGAATGATCCATTTGTAACACTGTGACAGAGAAATTGAGAAATTGAGAAAAATGTGAAGTGGGATTAGAATTTGAACGTGAATTCTCAACTCAAAAGTTATGAGTGTGAGTTGGGGGAGGCAGAAAGCAAGGCATGACCGGGTTTTGTGTTATGCGCATAGATATAAAGCATGACCTTTTCTCAAATGATCAGATCTCCGGTTCCCCAGCTTTTCATTTTATATCAATGGCCACAATTCGAGTCTTTATCATAAAAACAGAAATATTCCATGTTTTTTTAGGTCTTCTAGGATCAAAGACCGCCTAGGTTCCAGTATAAAGCAGTATCCAATTGATCATTGAGGTGTCTCAACTGAATATATCATGAAAATGGGGAGAGAAAAAAAAAAAGGAAAAAAAAGAAGCTAACTTAAATTTCAACTGAATTCAATGTTGCAATACGTGCAAGTAACAAGGAGATGCTCATTCGACTGGTAACCGGTTATAAGATGCATTCTAACAAACATGCTCATATTGTGCATCTAAAAATTACACAAAGATATCAAATATATATTTGTTGCATCTGTCACCCGGCAAAGACTCTTGCTTTACTTATCCTAATATGATTGATAGGTGAAGAAGCTCTCATCCAACCATGGTGCGCTTTCGGCCTCGTTGTCTCACTGTAAAAGTTGTGAACTATTAAGAAAACTAAAGAGGGGGAAAAACAAGAATAGAATGGAACTCTAAAGCCACGCTCAGATATCAGACTCAGGAAAAAAGAAAAAAAATTAGATACAGCAGTATGGCAAAATCGCACCTTGAGCTAACTTGTTTAATGTGGACGACCACTGCTTTGAGGACTTCCGATACGCAGCAAGGATCCGATCCATCTATACAAAGAATTAAGTGTGAGAATAAATTTGATTCATTCAATTTCTTGTTTGGAGATGGTTTAAAAGACAATTCATTAATTTTTTTGAAATTGATTGGAAAATATGTAAAATATATGCCAAGAACTTGCATTTTGTCAACTACTCTAAGAAGAATGTCCCAGGAAAAGACAATTTGTTGGAACTCTGTCAAGTCATTTATGAATTATAATTTTTTTCATTCTCTTGAAAAAAATTTACAAATTAATGAAAAGAAAAGACGTCTTTCCAAAAAGCAAACTACAATTGAAAAAAAGAAAGACTTGGCTTACCACATTCCCACACGAAGAATGCATTGAGAGCAAAGCTCGTTCCAAAACATACAAATCCACAGCTTTATCTTCTGGAAGGGTTGATGTAAAGCTCAGACCGAAATCAATAACAACCTTGGAGAAAAAAATTGTGAATTTGATGCAAATTAGTTAAAGCACTCACACTTGACCCAAAAAAAAAGTTAAAGCACTCCAGCATAAATTGGATGAACACAAGACAAAGTAAATAACTCACCAACTGGTTGGTAGCAGCTCTAATCAACATGTTAGATGTGGTCAGGTCGCCATGAATGAGACCACCATCATGCAGTTTTCCAATTGCATGACCAATCTGCATTGCAATATCATCCATGTGTTCTTCAACAACACCACCATTGCGTAACCCAAATTCAAGAAATATATCTTTGACAGAAGGACCCTCCACATATTCAAATGTTAGGGTATGCAGCACAATGTCTACAGAGTAAAGCACTGGAGTATAGACACCAAGTCGTCTTGCTTTTGTCATGCACCTGGCCTCCTGCTCCAAAAGGTCAATTTAGGGAAAACTCAGACAATCAGATAGGGAAGTGCAAAAACTCTTGAAGAAGGAAAAACAAAAACCTACTGCATTGAGGCGCTTGAGTGTAAGCTTCGCATCCAAAGATGGGTGCCTGTATTTTTTTGAGAAGCGTTCCTTGACAATAGACCTCTTTCCTACAAAGCTAGACTCGAAAACTCTCTGAAAAAGGAGAAATTTTGAAACTTTTTAGCCCAATTTTATGCAATTTAACATAAACTGATGCACATACAACCCATTGTAGAGTGACTCACAGCTTCAGCTCCTTGCTTGATCAAAATAAGGGAGCCATCTACACCATCAGCCTTAGTTTCCATAACAAAGAACTGGGTTCAAATTGCCTGGACCAAAATTTCACGCAACCATGAAGGATTCAGCTAAACAGACATACCCCAAAATCTAACAAAAAAGATACAATTTTTACGTTCTGCATATTTTGGGAGTCCAATTTTCCTGTTACCAAATATCCTGTGCCCACCCTGTTCCCTCCTAGCTTTTTGACATGTGGCAAACCACTTAACAACAATTTTAACCATGTTAACTCTGTTAAGTCCAACTCCCACCATCCCACCCAGCCAACCCCCATCCTCCGACTTAAGCCCTCTCCGATCAACTCCATCCTCTCACTGCTTACCAGCAGCCAACCCAGACAGACCACCCCACCTTCCACCCCCCAGCCAAACCACTGGTCTGGTCCAGGAGATAGATGCATTAGATTACATGATTTTTTTATACTAAAATAATCCCATATTTCAGATGACCAGGGTTCTTAGTCACTATGCAGGAATTATAAGAAACCCACTAAAGGAAAAGAAAAAAAAAATCATCTCTTCCCCATTTTCTCAAACAATTTATCATTTTTAATTTCCAGAAATAATTCTATAACAAAATTGTTGACTCAGTTCAAGGGTGTCACTCTCAGAACACAATTACGAAAACAAAAACAAATACGTTTTCAGTGTTTCCTACATCTCTTTCAAATTTCAACAAACCACAAAAAAGCAAATTTGGAAAACAATTTCCATCACTACACTACACAAACAAAACCCAATTCCTAAAACAAAAAATCAAAACTTCAGAAAGATAAAGATGAAAGAACTAGAAATGAATAAAACCTAGCAAGTCCCAGGGCTCGAAACTGAAATCTAATCCTCTATCTCCTGGACCAGACCAGTGGTTGGGGGCTGAGGGTGAGGGTGGGGTGGTTCTCTGTTTGGGTTGGCTGGCGGTAAGCAGGGGAAGGGTGGAGTTGGGCTGGAGAGAGAGAGAGAGAGAGAGAGAGAGAGAGAGGGCGGAGGGGCGGTGGTGGTGGGGTTGGCTGGCGGAAACAGGAAAATTGGACCCATATTTTGGCCGCTCAAATTTATATCATGCTTTCAACAGCAAATGAAAACCATACCAATAGCGCTACTTACAGAGCTGTTCGCCGCCACTGATTTGAAACACCACTCTGCAATTCCGCGAATTTGGGAACCCTCCCTCGTTTTCCCACTCTTAGAAAGAAGAAAACCAACCTAAAACGACGCCGTGTCTCTTTAAGTTATATTGGGCGGGCTTGGGAACGATTAATGGGCCTGCGAACCGGAGGCCCATGATCCGGATAGGATGGATACAAATTTACGCACGATACGATCTCCCTCTGGTTCGCTGTGCGAGTCTCTAAACCCCTTTCGGAATTTGGGGGTTTCCAATTTCCCAATTTTCCTTAGCCCTAGAAACCCTAATTAGGAGGTAGCTTACCCAATTCTTGCTCAGCATGAAGAGGACAATGCCATGGAGTGATGAGGATAGTGATTCATCGGATTCACATTCAGAGTCTGAAGGCGACGATGGAGTTAGCAAGAGAAAAGCTGGGCAAGGCCAACCCTCCAAGAAAACAGCATCACAAGGTATGCTATGTTCAAAACCAATAGAAACATGCACGCATACGTATATATGTATGTGTGTGTGTGTGTGTGTTGGTTTTGTTATTGTTTATTGAATTTGTTTTAGCTGCCTGCACACTCTGTTTTATGCAGTGATATCTGGGAAGCGAAAGAGCAAAGTTGTGGACTTTGAGGCATTGAAGCAATATGGGTACAAAGGTGGGCCGTCTGTGCTGAGCGTGCCCCCACCAAAAGAGCCCGAGAAGGAGCCAAACTGGTCTTGGTCTACCGGTAGGGAGGACAATAAGGAGGGTGCTAATGGAGTAACCAAGAAGGGAACTGAAGGAGAAGAAGAATCTTATGAACAACGACAGAAGACGAGGGCTGCATTGGCCTCCGGGGAGCAGCTAGAACATGTGCTAACGCGGAATGACAAGAAAAACCTGTCGTTTTCACAGAAGGAGAAGAGGAAAAGAGAGCTTGGTCAGGCAAGCAGGGGAAAGAACTATGTTGAAGAAGAGAAGAGGTTGTTGAGGGAGAGTGGTGTTTACTCTGGTTTTGATACTTAAGACCTCTGCTGTACTTTCACCTCTGCATTTTATGTTAAATTGTAATATGAGAATTTCTCGGTTTCTTGGATCACAATCTCTTCCGCTTTGCTTAATTGTTGTTTCACCATTTGGCACATGCATCATTCTTATGCCTTTGGGCATTGGACAATAAACGCTAACTATTGAGTACATAATTGGAATGAAAGAGTTGCAATAAAATTGGCTTATAATGTACAAGGAGTCAGTATTCAACAAATAACTGCTCTCATTAAGCACAAGCACAGTTGCATGCAAACCGAAACTCTTGGATCTGTCCATGCATGTATCCATCCGCAACTAAATAGCCAAAAGAACGTTGCAAGCGTCAAGTGGTATGACAAATTTGTTGACGGCACCTACCAGGTCTCCTTCCCCCATCACACACGGGAAGAGCCATTTTCAGACTTGAGTACAAGCCTTTCTCATAGTCTTGCTCAATAGATGCTGGGTGCTCTCTTTCCGTAAAGTCAATGTGGTTACTGCTCCGGTGGAGTTGTTGACCTATTGGGAAGGGTCCTGTATATGGCTCTGATAGTCTGTGGGGTTGTTCTGCAACAGCCTCCTACAAGGGAAGCCCCTACCTCACACCATTTGTTTACATACGAGACAAAATCTTCATCTGAAACACCAGTATTTTGCTGCAGCGGGAAAAAAGAAGTAAACAGAGTTAGCGATTGCTTGCAATAATTCCATCTTCTAGATGATAACGGAATTTTTTTATCGAAAACAAGATGCAAAGTAATTTCCAATGCAGTGTTCATGCAGCTAAAGAAGTTTTACTTACCACCCACATCTTTCTATCAGCATCATAGCTTTCACCACTATTGGGGTACACAATTATCGGTTTTGTAGCCACCTGAAGGAATTATACATGAAAGTAAGAGTGGGAACTCCAAAAACAGTGTCATGTACAATTGAAAATTATTCAGGGAATCTTAGTTATTAGAAATGTATCAGAAATATAGTGTATAAAAAGGAAATGGATATGGATCATTTGCTGACCTATCATTAAGCATTAGGAATTCAAAGAATCTGAGAAATTGGAACAGTAAATATAGTTTTAAAGCCAGTGGAGGTCACACGATTGGTGCTCCAGCAGCTGGTCATCAAAAGTTGTCAGCCAGCCCAGTTGGAACAATTTATGATTTGATTAAAATAACTTAACACTAAACCGAATTTATTGGAAACAAATAAAAATAGACAAAATGATTGTACCTTTGTAATTGATGTTAACAGTCCATGAATAAATCTAGGAGGAGTGCAGTTTATTCCAACTGCGACAACATTCTTGCATGATTCAGCAATTGCAGCACATTCAAGGAGAGAATCACCACTAACAACATTCACGCCATCTTTAGAGTTGAAAGAAAACCACGCAGGAAGTTCCATGTTTTCTTCTTCCAAAAGCTCAGCGTAAGCCTGCATGAACACCACCAACCACGGTTAATGCAGAAAAAAATAAACACCAAGTTAAAGGTGCAAACCCAAATTATGTCGAGAGATTTTGTGTTTGGAAAAAAAAAAATTACTGCATGTCTCTTGAGTATCGACCTGTTTTTTCTAAATTTTCTATCTTTCACTTTCAGTTACAAATATGAGTGCTGACCATTAAAAAAAAGGCCACTAATTAAACAGTTTGAGGAATCAGTAAGCAAGTGTAGTAGAAAGCCAAGAATAACAAAGTGGCCTATCTTAAATTTCCTCTACCAACAAGGAGAAGAAGAAATTAAAAGTCATCTACACGCTTGTGATCATTACCTGAGCTTCAAGCTTATTTGGAACCGTCTCAAACGCAAGTAGGTCAGGACCTGCTTCTGCTAGCACTCGGACCCTTCTCCGATGAAAATCTTTTAATGTTCCTAGTGTCATAGCCTCGCCGTAATCTCCACTGTCAAAGGACAGACCCAAAAGCAAATAAATAAGAAGGCCAATTGAACATTGAATTGTCAAGTTGAGACAAAAATTCCCTTAATGCAAATAACAGCAGACAAGACTGTCTAACTTCATCTTCTAAACCTTTCACAGGCATCAAAGGTGCAGTCTCCTAAAGGTAAAATCTTTATTCATGTTATTATGTCAACAATATAGTTAAAGGACCTGCAATATGAGCTTCTGGAACCCAAGCCAACATAAATAACAGCTTATGCAATGAATTTGAATAGCAGAACTGACTCACCTGTACTCAGACCCATCAGCCAAATAAGCACCGTAGCTCCCCACAGATGCTGCAACTAAGATTTTCCGACGCTTGAGAATTCTACCATTTCCACTGTCACCAGAAGAGCCTTCAGTACATCTGTCGTAATAGATATTACGTGCCTCACGGGCAATTTCAACACTTTTCCTAAGCAAGTCTTCACTCTCTTCTGTGGAAAAGCCTTTGGCCTCAAAACCTTGAATGGTGGCCTGAATGACAATCAGTACTTTCAGTTTCAGCGAGAGAAAATGAGAGAGGCATCATTTGGCAACTGGCCTTACCTGATAAGATGCTGTGATTATGATATCTGCACCAGCTTCAAGGTAATCAAGGTGAACCTGCTCCATTAAGCAATAAAACAAAGGGTTATTTTGACACCAAAAATCAAACGAAGGGGCAGGTCGACCTATTAGTTAATAGAGTCTACAAATTAATTACAAGAACAAGACCAAAAAGAAGAGTAAAGACATTATTACTTAAATCAATCTCCTTTCTTTTCTTTTTATACACGTCAAAGTTGTAATTAGCTTATAGAAGTCATTATTCACTAGACAAAAATAATCAAATTAGAGCAAGAAGTTTTCTCATGTTAATCTTGGTCAGTACGAGTTTCCCTCAGTTCCAGACAAATCTGAAAATCTGACAACAGTGGTCCAAATTCATTAATGAAAACTCATAATCCATATTAAAATAGAATGCTATTATATTTGGAAAAAAACTCAAACTCAACATCCCCGTCACTCAGGGGAGAGAGAGAGGCAGCGTGAGTAGGTTTTCTTTAAAGTCAGGAAAAAAGAAAGAGCCGACCCGCCCAGGCCGCCTAGAGCCGCCTAGCCCGCCTAGCGCCGCCTAGCGCCGCCTAGGCTGATTTTCGAACACAAAGCCCATTTATACATACAGGCACACTCATCAGACTACAAAACAAAGCCATTTCATTTCCGATGCTGCATTTACAAGAGAGAGAGAGAGAGAGGTGAGGGTACCGTTCGAATGAGATGAGGGGAAGTGAGGAGGCATTTTGCGCTCCAGAGGGGATCGTTGAGGTCAGCGCCGTGGCGTTCGAGCTCGGTGGCAAGTCCACCATCAACCACCGCCACGCCGCCGGCCTGCTTGAGCAAGTCCCTCATCAACGACGAGGTTTCGACGCTGCCCATTTCGTCGTCGAAGTCTCAGGAGGACACAGCCACTCTGCAATCTGTTTGCTCACTTTTTGTGATTGTGGATGAACTGCAAAAACCAACTCTAAAACCCACAACGCCTCGCCTCGCTGGCTCGATGCTCTGGGTTTTCACTCTTTATAGCAATATTTAGTTACTGACAAAATATTCAACGAAAATAACATTTTCGAAATTATCATGTCAACCCCTTAAAGTTTCAAATAATATAAAAAATGCCCCCATTTTACTCTTATTTCTTAGATCTTGTCCCTCATCCCTTGTTGATTGATTTTCACGCCAATTTCATTTCCAGAGGTCATCATGTAAAATATTGGGGGAGGGGTGGGTTGCTGATTATAAGTCCACTAGCACTAGTGAATTTTGGGATAAGCATTTTTATGGGTAATCAATCAATCCAATAGCCAAAGAATATCCACCAAATTGCATATCCAAGATCCCTAAAGCCTCTACACAAATCAACTGGAAGGGTCCATTGGGACTTCTAGTGGAAACTTAGCTAGATATGCACTGTATTGTACAAGAAAAGAAGTACAAAGAGCAGTTGTGTGTTTGGCAAGTTGGGTTCGCCGTGCATTAAAGTTTGAATCTCTCTCTTTCTATATTAGAGTAGTTTAGAATATCGCTTTGTAAAAATAAAAAAAACAATTAATTTTGGAATTTCTATTTACGTCCTTTTATTTTTAGTGAAATTTAACTAGAATTAAAATAAATATATATATACACACACATACTATAATAACAAAAATACTGCCAGACCTTTTCTTTGGGTTGCAACTTACAACAAAGCATTAGGCAAAAGTGCAGTAAAAATTTGAATACATTGAAAATATCCAAGGCTCCACTCTTTGGTACATGGAGTGGAGAAGCAAGAATGAGAGGGAATGAAACCACAAACAACAATATGGGTTTCAAAAATGCTGTTTGTGCATTATTCAGAGATGTGATCTGGTTATTCAAAGACTGAACTGGTAACTGGTTTATGTTTTCCCTTAATTTGCACTGCACATTCATAAGACTACATATAACATGAAAGGAAGAAAAATTTCAGGGGCCACGACGTTTGCCAAAGCAGAAACAGCCAGTAGCCTGGTCTTCAGGTATCATGCCACCTCCTTTGCTTGTGTCTATGGCATACAACAGCTTCACTACCTCTTCCATCTCAGGGCGTTTATCTGGGCTCACATCCCAACATTTTCGCATGACGCTAACCAATGAAGTCGGGCAACATCTTGGGATTTCTGGTCGTAAGTTCTGCCATCCCAGTATTAGGAGTCATCAGCATAAGGGGATAGTCATTAACATAGAAATGATAAGACAGAAAAGGAAGCATCGGTATACATTACAAAGTTACAACCAACATTAGGTGATCAACATAGTTTAAAAACCCAATATAAACAAGTTTTGCTGCATCAAATCCACTACTTCAATACAAATGTGCAGTAAAATCTTGCAAAGAACCTAAAGCATTATGTGTAATGACAAACAAACCTGTCGCACTACTGCAGATGAGACATCGGCAAAACTCAGATTAGGATAAGGCATGTCGCAGCAATAGATTTCCCATAAGCAAATACCAAAACTGTAGACGTCGCATTTCCTGTTGTAAGGCTTGCCATCAAGGACCTACAGAAATCTTCATGTTAGAATTCTGATCCAGTTTGTAGGAAAGGCAAAACTATGGAATAAAAAAGAAAAGAAGAATGCTACTTGCTTCAGATCTTTAGCATGTAGCAGTCTTTGGATTGGTAACATAATTGTGTTTCTTTTACCCAGAAACCACCTTTATAGAACCAGACTTGGTATGATGAATGAAAAGTGAGTACCTCTGGGGCCATGTACCCAAGGGTACCAGTCTCTCCGGTCATGTCCCTTGGGTTTTGAGCTTCTACTCGAGCAACGCCAAAATCAGCAATTTTCAAAGTTCTATGAGTATCTAGCAACATATTTTCTGTCTTGACATCACGGTGTACAATTTTCTTTGAGTGAAGATAACTCAAACTGAGAAAGCGGAACACAGAACATAATCCATTAGTTTAAAACCCAACAAAAACAAACAATTAAATCCAGCGCAACAACAAATGAACCTGACTCACCCTTTAGAGAGATCCAGAGCAAGTTGAATCACAACCTTAAAGGCAAGTTTCTTTCTTCTATTCCTGATCAAAAAGTTCTTTAGCGTCCCACCTGGAACATACTCAACAACGACGCAACAAGCTCTGGAAGGAGGAGAATTATGACTATCATTTGATGTGCTTTTAGTAGGGATTCTAAGATTGGAAGTTCCCATTGAAGCTCCGACAAACTGTCACAGATACAATGAGTTGCAGTTTAAATAGAGAAATTTAAAACATATGAGAAAATAATTGAACATCATGTAAACCTGGTAAAGCACATTACATATTCTAAAAAGTTAAAACTGTTAGGACAACAAGGAGAAGATGAGATATCATCAAACTGCATCACATTTTTGTATCTGAAACTGAAAGAAATGGTGTTGAGCCTCATGCAACCGATATGACGATCAGCAGATATAACTTTTACCTTCGGAATATTTGGATGGTCAAGCTTATGCCAAACAGCAACTTCTTGCTGAAACGACACCCGAAGAGCAGCAGTTTCAGCTGCTGTGGCAATACCATCCTCCCCCCAATCCAATATTTTCACTATAAAATCAAGAATAGCAGGCCATGAGAACAATATGGATAAAAACAAAAACAGGATGATAAACGAGACATAAGACCTGCAATACACGAGCACACACATACGAAAATTCTTTGCTTTTTATCTAGGGAGCTGATTTTCCCACTCCTCTTTTATCCACTTACACTCCCTTTATTAGAAATTGTATGTTCCCACTCCTCTTTTGTTCACTTACACTCTCTTTTTTGTTATAGTAAAAACTCTTAAAAAACAAAAGGGAGTGTAAGTGGACAAAAGGAGAGTGGGAAAATACCACCCTTTATCTATACTTATTCAAGCACACACATATATAGCGACTTTTCAGTAGTGAAGGTGTAACCTTTGAGTATAAAAACAATGAAAAATAGAAATTCAAGTCCAGCACACTAACACTTCCAAATACGGATGGGTAAGACAACTCAAACAATATAATAATCCCTGGCATCTGTTATTAATAGTATACGAAACGGTTATAGATGATGGCCTATTGTGTACCAGCTCAAAATGTAGATTTCTTAATTCCATTTCATTGACAACCAATAAACTAAGTTTGAAAGTCTAAAACTGAAACATGGAGAATTAGGTATGCAACAAACCCTGTATGTCATTAAAAGCAATAAAGAAAAAGATGGAAATCCAATTGAAGCCAGAAGAAAAAGCAAAGTACCTGCAACATCTTGGCCGTCATAGGCACCACGGTAGACAGTACCATAAGTTCCATGAGCAATGACATGTCTTATATCCAATTTAGACAAATCAATCTCCCACTCTTCCATCTGCTTGTGTTCTTCACTCTCCCTTGCCCAGCCCCTGCTCAAGTGTTTCTCTAACTGGATATCCCAGCTCTTAAAATCAATCTTATCAGCTCGGAAAAACACTTCTTGCTCAATACCTCCCACAACCTTCCCCTTTGAGCCAAAGGCCGTCTCTTCGGTGCTAGACTTTTCAACTCCCTCAGTACCATTTCTTGAATCCATTTTTACGAAATTCTGAACTCTAGCTCAAGACTCAAAGTTCAAAATCACAAAACAGAGAAACAACCCACAATTTCAACAATACCCATGAATGAAAATCAACCCAAAATTTGTTTGTGTTTATCAAAATCAAAACTTGAGCACAAGGGCCAATCTCAAAACTTCAGTCTTTCTTCCCAGTCCAGTCAATCACACCCACACTCAAAAATTGAACTTTAGGAAAGAAACTGAAAATATAACAGACGCCCCAAAAATCCTGGAGCTGAAAAATCACAACAAGTCAAGAAACAAATCAGAGAAAGCACACAAAAAAAAAAACAAAAACAAAAAGTAAGGGCAAAAATGAGTTGGGTATCAAAACGACTGATTCCGAAAAAAGTTTGGTTTTTATGCGCAAAATTTAGTGGAAAACCAGAGTGATCCAATAGAAAGAAAATGGATAGAATCGTAAAAAGAAAATCAAACAGAATATAAACAGGTAAAAACGAGACTTTCTCTGGAAATTTACGCGCGGGTCTATTGCCTTATATTAATGGCTGAGAAGAATCCTCTTCCAAATGAAATAAAAATCCCAACTTATACGGCGTTTATTTACCTTCCCGTTTTAACGGATTTACCGGTATTTTATGAATTGATTACGTTCTTGAGATGGTCCGTCCAAATATACAACTCTCCCTTGAAATCACCAAACTAGCTTTTGTAATGTATTATCTCAATTTTAAATTTTAAATTTAATCTAGTAAATGTCAACCAAAACTTTAGGGGTGTGCATCAGATTAATTTTGAAAGATAAGCTAAACGGAAATTAAATAATCATGGCTCAATGTCAACCATTTTATCCGAATGGAAAAAAAAAAAAAAATACTTTTATTCATATCAAGAGAAAAATAATGATAAAACTAGTTGAATTTTCGTAGTCATCCAGGACACAAATATTCTATATCAAATTCGTTGGTACCTAAAGTCCTAATTTCTGAAGCTAGTATATTCGGCGGACAACACATATTCCTTCCAAATAAATGCTCTTTCAATTGTCGGGTTGTTCAGGTTTTTATTTGTTTTTTAGTTTTTTTAATTTTGGGTCATCTCAAGCGAAATACATGTAAATAAAATCAGCTTCGACAAACTATTATATTTTCCCGAGAGCATTTTTACTCATCACCCTTTTAAACACTTGAGCATAACTATGTTTTCACAAATACAAAACAAAGAGTTAACTATAATTATACGATATCCATAAACACGTGTCATGCGTTGAGAATGGTGATAAAGTACACCTTGGATTAAGGTGGTGAAGGTACACCCTAGATTAAAATGGAGAGAAAAATATTTCCTATTTCCCCCAATGTTTGAAGAAATGAAGGCGAAGCCCCCTGGCCCTAACCCATCAAATTGACTACCAAAAAGAATCAAGCCTAGCAACTAGGAGAAGAATAAATAAAAAGTCTAGCACTTTGGTTTTCATTTCCTTACCTTCTGAAAAATTACATAAGAGTACTTGAGCCCCAAAATAAAAATGTTTCTTGACATCCAAGTTACATGACCAATATCATCCAACAACAAAGCTTCAATGTAACACACCAGAGCTCCAAACCTTTTTCTCAAAATAGAAAGTTGATAAATAAATTTTAAAAAATCGATTTAGGTGGCCCTTAGCAGCTACCGAATGAACGCTTCCCTTTGCATCATTCACATAATTAATCACTTAGGACCCCAAAATCGTAAGGCCCTACAATGCTAGAGATTCCTTTCTTTATAAATTTTATATAAAAAAATTAACATGGAACTAGTATATTTGATCTACCATTGATGCCAAAATTTAGCTTGTCGTTTCTTTAGTGAACCTTATGGTAAGGGTGAAAAAAGTTCAACGGTTTGACCGGAATAATTTAAATCCTGTGCAACAATAATTAGCTGTAATTTGAGAACATATGATATACCTTCGAACAGAGACTCTGTTGGGACAGGTTTCATTTTTGAAAATTCGGCAGATGAATCTTATGCAACAGAAGACTTCAAATGCATCTTACCTTAATATCTGACTGACACTGATCTGGTACTATAGACATTAGCTGGAACATACAAAAAAATAAAAAGAAACCCTTTTTCCCTTGTTCTCCTTGTAAAATACCTGACAAATGTTTCTTTACAGCCTGAAGATGGTGAGATTTTATTATATGAAATGAGAATGACTATGTGTAAACAAGGCTATGAATTAGTTTCTTACAACAGAAATCTTGTCACCATTCCGATAACTCTCTCTGTTCAGGCACAACTTCAGAATGAGGCCGGCCCTTGTTAAAACGATTCAGAAACACTAGACTTCGTGATGAATTATCACTCCTCCTGCACAAGCACATTATCTATTCAATTTAACCAAACATGAATATGTTGAGCACATTGAATCCAAGCAAAACCACGTTAAACCTTGCCCTGAAATTTTTGCATAGAGTATTGTTAAACGATGGTTTACTCTCAGAAATCTCTATACAAGGATCAGACATGAGTGGACCCCAGTATAATGTCCATGTGTACCTGACAGGCTGACGTGGTAGCTTTTAAACAGAAGTGTGACACACTTCAAACCATCAAGCCATCTTTAATAAGAGGAGGATAAAAGAACCAGTTGGCATGTAATGTATGAGGACAAATGCCACACCATATATGCAACCATGTTTTGATGATTATATGATACCAGCTTTTACGTTTGTACATGTAAATTCTATTTCAGTAAAGCTTCAATAACTCATATCAATGGTATTACAAAGCGAATTGCTGACCTTGATACTGAAGAGAATACTGCCATCAGAAACCTGCTGACCAGCTGCTAGATGAAGCCCACGGACATAGCCCGCTGATGGTGCCTTTACAACATGCTTCAAAAAAGAATTTTTAAACAATATATTAAATATTTAAATTTAAAAAAAAAAAAAAAAAAAAAAAAAAAAAAAAAAAAAAAAATATTCATGCACAAGGAAAGAAAAGTTTAGATGCAAAATCCAAAACTAGCAGCAGTACAAACCTCCATACTTCATTGCCTCTAAAACTAATATTGGTTGTCCTTCCTCCACTTTTGTCCCATCCTTCACGACAACCTTGACAACCAAACCAGCCATGGGCGCAGCAACGGTCCCCTGAGGGTATGATGATTTGTCAAATCTGGGTTTATGTTCCATTTCATCTTCATCAGACAATTCAAGGCCGGTTTTCTGCCTGAAATGATGATGATGTGATCCATACCATATATCAATGTGCTTGGTCTGATCCTGTAGCCCAAATTGGAATCAACAAATTAACAGAAGTTTTAAATAAAACATTGAACCATATTCAATAATGCTGATTAATTATTCTATGTAGACCTCACAACTGCATGCAGATAAAGATATTTACCTTGGAATAAACAGCTAAGCTAACATCCATGTTTACACCATCAGCTTCGACTCTGAATTCATGGTTGCCTATACAAGTTACTTTGACCTCCAAACCTGGGAAACTCTCTTCTTCTGTCTGCACAGACATACAGAAACCTTGCTGATGGAATGACTCAGTGGAACAAAACAAAGAAAACAACTTGCACATAAGATACTATAATTCCAAAGTTGCAAATATGGCCAATTAGCATAAGACTACCTCAATCAGATAGCTCCCATCTGGTTTATAAGTGGTTGAAAGTTTCAATGACTTTGAGCCACTGCTATCATATTCATTCTCCCACTCAAGTTCCACTGTATGCCTAGCACAATGATGGACTCTGAAAGGGGGAGAAGAATACCATATGGAGATTATGCTGTCGCCACCTGAACAGGGAGATATAAATATTATAAGGGCTTTTACGAAATGGCATACATTTGAAGAATGGGACCTTCAATTTACCACGAAGATTTGCTCTGAATAAAGAATTTTCCTTTTCAATGAGACACGCAGCTGCCAGTGTAGCACTAAATCTAGCAGCACCAAGCACTTTGTCCACTAACAGTGAATTACTAGGGTCAACAAACAGGTCATCTTTAAAGTGTTCAATAAAATGGGTTTCCACATCGCCATTTTGAAATGCCCGATGGTTAGCAAGTTTTAGAAGAAAATTGATGTTGGTTGGTAAACCTGCAACCTGTCTAAGAACATTAGCATTGAAAAGGATCGAAAACAAATTAAACTGCAGGATCAATATGAAATTGCAATTTGCCTTCCACATTTTTCTTAAAGCCGTTTAAATTTTGCAGCCTTGTGGGCATCAGATATCTAACTCGCCTAATAAGATAGCATATGAGATTGAATGATTGGAAAATATGCTTTGATGTGCAGAGGATACAACTCTAAAATTAGGTGTACCTGAAACTTTGATAAGCAATCCTTCAGTTTTACCAATGCCGCAGCACGATTTTCTCCCCATACTACGAGTTTAGCAATCATAGGATCATAATGCATGCTAACAGTGTCTCCCTGTTCAACTCCAGTCTCAACTCGAACTGCTCAATGACAGATTTAACATAAGCAACTGACAGAAATAACCAAAGGACAAGAGATGATAATAAAAGCACTTGTTTAGTTGTGACGTCCTTGGATAAAACAAGTGGTGCTTAAACAATATAACCTAACTAGAATGTTGGGGATGGATTCCCTTTTTTCTTTTCTTTTCGGTTGACTGGGGATGAATTCTTTGCTTTACTATGTATGAGTCATATGGCTATTATAATGTGACTAACCTTGTGGTGAGACTGGAACATGATGATAGTGATGAAGGACCCCAGTTGCTGGAAGGAATCCTTTCGGTACATTTTCAGCATATATTCGGGCTTCGAAAGCATGACCTTTCATCACAATGAGTAACTATTAAATCCAGTAACTCAAGAAGTTTGTGGATTCAACATATAGAGTGAGTAAACTCATATTAGTTATAAGATTTTTCATATCCAAGTTATTATGAATACGAAGTATTCACTTTGTGTTATAAAGGAGCTTATTATTTACCTGATGAGATTCAAAAAATCTTGGCATCTTTTTTT